ATAAGAATAACATGGGAATTTAAAATTAAACTATTTTTGAATTTTCTCCGTGACCGTTAGGCATACAACAGCGCTTCAATATACTAAATTATTTCTTTTTTTAAGCTCTACAAAACGGTTTACAAATAAATTGCAAAATTTTTTGTTTTTCGGGTAAAAAATGGGGAAAACACATTTTTACCCCATAAAACCCCCCATAAACCCCTGTTCCCATGGTCCGATTATGCTGGATCGCGAACTCGTTCAAATAAACGTAGGTTTACACGTTTGTACCAAATTTCATCAAAATCGTATCATTTTTGTTCGAGTTATCGCGCTAACGGACACATATATATATATATAAATATATATTTAAATATATATATATATATATATGAATTTGAACGGATGGTGTTTTTGGCCTCTAGGGACCTCAAAATGAAAAAGTAAATCGGTCCCGCGTCCAGGTCTTACCATGAGTACTACGGTAATAGCTTATTCCCTATATGGGAAATTCGCTAACACCAATAAATAATAACAATGGTATATAAAAAGCTGTTGTGTTTACTATTTTATATTTTTAAAGTGCATATTATGCAAATATTGACTACATCAGAACTTATGTTTAGAAACAAAGTAAAAAATAATTAAAAGAAGTATAAAAAAAATTATTACAGCTGGAAATAGTGGCATTGTAAATGATCATTCAATTTTAATAGTTTATGTAGAACATTTATTTTTAAAACATATAAAGTAAATCATAAACAGTGGTAATTTATCACAACAGTCCGTACTATCACACCTCACACTAATAACAAAACATTTTTAAGTCTTCAATCAGTTCACCAGCACCTCAATCAATGACTCTGTAACAAAAAAACTCTGTTTTAGGTTAATTTAATAAACATGGGCAACACATTCAATGTGAAGCCTACAGCGTAGTTCACACTAGTAAACTTATTGTATGTGGTACTATGGGGTTATTGCATGAAGTTTTGGCTGTTATTTTTTTTTTTCGTGTCACTATAACATAGTAAAATGTACAGTACAATAGACTCCCTCTTATCCAGACTCTCGGGACCGAGGTCAGTCCGGATAATGGGTTTTCTCGTTAAACTGACGTCCCACAAACTCATTAAAACTGACCGTTTAAATGCATACTGTATATACAGTATTTGACTAAAATGTAGTAGAGCATAATCACTGTTCTCATATCCTTAACACAAGAACAGTCGTTTCAGTAACGCTTACCTCCCACTTCCTGCCGACCTAGTCCGGTTAAACCGATGTGCTGATAAAAATTGCCCGGTTAAAGGCCTATTTTGCTTGGAGCGATTGCAGCGATAGTCGTATGGCGATAATCGCTCCGCGATAGTAGCCGGGCACTGCTCTGACGGAGTTTGCGTTGTCCTGTTTTGCTTGGAGCGACTATTGCAAGAGTCGTGGACCACTGCCCCGGGGACCAGTCTGAGCGATAATCGCGCCGCGACTGATGCGCAGAACCTCAAAACAGTGCACTTCACTCAGTAGGCACATAATAGGGGTTAAATTAACCATAATTTACTTTTTTGTTCAAATAATTTTTTCTATTCATGTGCTGTTACGATTCTACTGTTTTGGTTATATTTCATTACACATTAATTTCATTTTCTAAATTAAATTTTAGTAGAAACAGACGACTTGTTTTAATTTGTTAAGGTAATTTACGTCTATTCAAATTTATTAAATATAAAATGCTTGACTGTTCCAAGTTGTTATGTGTTATTTACGTAGTGTGGGCGTTAATACTGTGTCAGTTTTTGTATGAATATTTTTTTTTTAATTTAGACTCCAGGTTTTATTTTCCGACATTCATGTACTCTTATTGATATCACTATTTTTTTATTTATATAAATATATTTTTTCATTGATATCACTACAGTTTTCTATTTATGTCCTATCTAGTGACCTCTAGTGATACGTATCCATCCCTAATCCTACGTATCACTATGTATTTTCAATCGATCGTCCATTGATACTTCCACTAGGGTCGAGTGGAGCCTCGTCTCCTAAATCCTCACAGAGGAGACGCTTTAATGACTTACAATTCGCACTCATGACTTCACCATTGTGAGTGCTGATATTTAACTAACTATGAAAAATCGCTGTGCGACCGAAGATCAATCGCTCTAAGCAAAACGGCCGCCTTGTCAGCTATAGTAGCTGAGCGATAATCGCTGTGCGACTATCGCTACAGTCGCTCCAAGCAAAATAGGCCTTAAGAGATGTAATTTCCACCGAGTGTTGTCTGGTTTAACCGATGTCAGGTTAAAAGGTGTCCGAATAAGAGGGAGTCTACTGTACCTTATCATGGCTATTAAACATAGTAATAATGTTCCCTAATATGCAGCAAGGAAAATCAATTTTACTTAGCCTAAATACAAAGCGAAGAAGACTGATTCTGAAAATTACATTGCACTGCAACAGCAATGTTATGGGGTAAAGTTCTGCAGAGAAACTTTAATGTATTATACTATCCTATCAAATTTTCAGTTTCTATAAATTAATAGGCCTACTGACAAGAGCTTCAAATTTATATAAAATATATTGATTAAGAAATAGGCCTGCTTATTAATCTGTTAGCCTATGGGTCTTTTTAAAAAGAGGACCACCCGCCAATCTTTTACAGACCATTGCGGCGTTTAGGTTATGTTAGCTTATAGGCCTACCACATAGAAAAAAACCACGCACCTGTATGAGTCGTGCATGCAGGACAGCAGGAGAGTCAGAGTGGTGGGGAAAGACACCTCGCCCCAACGACTTATCCCCACCACTGCTCCAGGCCCTTCCCCACCATCACCCTTCACCCCTACATGCGCGAGACAGCCATGGTTCTGCGCAGGTTCTTTTGAAAGTGGTAGGCCTATAGTTTATAAACAAACAAGGTATCATTAACAAAATGTTTAGCTTTTTTCTATAAGCTAAGTTACTCATGAAAAGACACGACTAGGTATAATTTGGCGCTTTTGACAATCAGTTTTGATAGAAAACTGTACAACACTAACCCAACCCAATGATGATGCTATTGGAACAATTTGTACTGTATTTATTTAGGTGTTACCTGGTTTTTATTAACATTAACTAAACCAAACTGAACTAACCTTGTTTAACCACCACGGAACAGTGTGAAAGTCTATTTGAAAAGAATCTATGGCTTTAAATATTCATATCACGATACAGTACCTTTAATACTCAAAACAAAATTTGGAATTTATATCGCAGGGAATAATATAAAGTACTATTTGTATAACGAACTGATATTTCACCCAATATAGGCCTATATTGAAGGTACTGATATTGCAGGTTCTCTAAAGGACTTTACTGCAGTTCTTAATAGCCTACATTGTTTATAGTAAAACATTCTAGCATAAAATGAAGACTGTAAATGTATTGTTATTTGTTTCATCAAAATTACCCCAACTAAAGAATAAATTGTAGGCCTAGTTATTTTGATCTTTATAATAATGACCATAACAACCTGTATAATGATTTTTACATCACTAAGTAAGTAGAGGACAAATTGTTTATTCCTAAAAGTAGGTAACGGGACAACAGTTTTTGGCCGCTACAAATAACTAGCCTACAGTTTAATCGTTTATAAAACTTAATGTATATTTTCCTGTCGTTGGAGTTTCAAATAGCATGTTTCTCATGGCCATGTTACTCTAAATAATTTCAAACAAACCGCTATTTAAATTAAACAAACGATGTTTTAATATTCTGACTATTACAACAGCGTGAGGAAATGCCTCGTTCAAAAGGTTACAGCATTCTTATTAAGTTAGAGACTATATGTGTGTATGAGTAGCAAGTATAATCATAGACAAAAAGAATTAAATATAGACTACCAGGCGTGCTGCGGTTGCCATGGTTACCATAGGTTCCGGCGCACACCGCTGTAGTTTACGTAGCGCGTACGCCGTAACTACCGTGGTGCTCCAAGCGGTGTGCGCCAGAACCTATGGTAACCGCAGCACAGCTGACGGTCTATACAACTCGCCCAAGGGTTTCTAATATGAAAGGTACACCGCTTGGTAACTTACTTTGTAAGTGCCTTTTACCACACAGCCTAGACAGTGGGTACACTTCCATATTTGTTGGCACAAACAACCGAATCAGTAATATTGATTATTCGATTGTTTAATTTGATATATCGTTTGGTTAGTTAGGTTAGGTTAACCTTACCTAACTAACCAAACGATATATCAAATAATTATATAATTATAAGATTCGTCCTTTTGCAATGTTTATGGGAAATGTCGGTAGTCCTAACTGTGTGACCCTACAGGGGTACAACAGTTTCTTAACTGGGCTACGCTAATATCGATTGGAACTATCAAATTGAAATATTGATTAATAATCGATATTTTAAAATATAATGTCTATTATAAAATTAATCTATCATAACCTAACCTAACTAACCAAACTTGTTGATGGTGAAAAAATCGCAGTTTACTAATCGAATCGATAGTTTCAATCGATATTAGTGTAGCCCAATTAAGAAACTGTATCCTTGTTTTATTTGGACAACACTTGGAACAAAACACAACAAACACTTTTAAAGATTAGGCCTACTGTATAAAAACTAACTTTAACTTACAAGGGTGCACGGGGATGGCACGGTAGAACGCATAACAATAAACACTCTTTTATACACTTAAATCCGACTTCAAAACATACGATACTTCGATAAAACCTCAAATTATTTTTAAAAAAACACAGCTTAAAGACTTTGAAAACTACAATCGCTGGGGCACGGCAGGGGCAGCGGCAGACAGATAAAAGAACGACAGAACAGTAAACAACTCTTTTGCTTCAATTGTGTGAGAGTCGTTCATTTGAGATCAGCTCAATTTTACGGTTTGCGCATGCGCAGTTGGCTAGTCCAATTCCTGCCCTGAAACGCTCGCTGAGGGCCCCACCGTAATAATAACCACTCATTCGATTTTGAGGTTAGTTAGTTACTTACTCTCACAATGCAGACCTAACCTACAAAGCTACCACCAAGTTACTGTTAGTTTAGTAAAAGTTACTACTAAACTTATTTAGTTAGTAAGTTAGTATGAAGAAGTAGAGCAAGCTGGGCCGCAGACGGATAGTCTTGTATAGTTATTTTTTTAATTAATGTTTTGTGTCAATGTCAATGGACAATTATGTTAATCCAAATTACACTAGACAGTAGGCTAATCCTGAAGTCAATAAATATTTCATAGTCTATAGGAAGGTGGGGTATATTAGATATGACTAATTCTGGAGAGGTTGTCAATTCTAAGATTATGGATGCTGATTCCAGTAGCGAAGAATATTTAATTTTTTCAAACAGCAATGTTAAAAATGTAAATATTGCTAACACCAGTGTTAGCAGGTTAAGAAGGAAAAAGATTAAGAAGGGTATCATTTTTCTATCAACCATTCCGCCATTCATGAACGTTACAAAAATTACTGAAATAATGAGTCAATATGGAGAAGTTGGAAGAGTGTTCCTTCAGCCTGCTAAAACAAAAGGTAATAGGCTAACTTACACACCTTAACCAAAATGGGTACAGTTTCTTAACTGGGCTACGCTAATATCGATTGAAACTATCGAATTGAAAATTTTGATTAATAATTGATATATTAAAATATATCTAGGCCTATTATCAAATTAAACTATCATAACCTAACCTAACCAACCAAACTTGCTGATGGTGAAAAAACCGCATGAAGGTGTACTAATAGAGTTAGTTTAAATGATTTGTTGATGACCTTTTTATTGTTAGGCCTATCTTGTAAAAATACTGTCATGGCAACCGATCAACCCATGTTAAATTTAGATAAGTTTACATTCACGTCTAGGGAAAAGCCCTGTTGTCCGATTTGTACCATTTTAAATCTATAACTTCCACAGTTACTACGACTGTGCTAAATTTTGTGTGAATGGCTTCAGCCGTTGAGGAGTATTTGTAAAACAAAAGCAGGAGTGTAGTTTAAGAGCTTCGCTCGCTCCGTCCAGTAATGCTTATTATTATAAGTACTGGTAGCCTATATTTTGTTTAGTTAGACAACGCAAATAAATAAAATTAACCCCACCTCAACAAATCTGCTGACTAAGCGAACGGAATTACAATTTACCCGGCTGGATTTCTACTAAAATATTCCCTAAAAACCGTCAGATTTATTTCTTATTTAAATAACATTAATTTTAGTTTGAGTACTTAGGTTTGCTGCTACAGGGAAGATACTGAGACGTGTATCTACAGGAATGTTGATAGCTTAGTATGAAATAAACAAGATTACCAAATTTAATTAAAATATATTGATAAAAAAGAAAACTACAACAGTTTATTTATTCTCCATAAGAATAACATGGGAATTTAAAATTTATTTAACTATCACCGTAACCGTTGGGCATACAACAACACTTCAATTTACAAAATTATTCACTTTTTTAAGCTCTACAAAATGGTTTGACGAGAAATAATGAAATTTCGTGTTTGTAGGGTCAAAAATGAGAAAAATCTACTTTTACCCCATAAAACCCCCATAAACCCCCCTTCCCATAAACCGATTATGGTGGTTCGCGTTGTTCGAATAAACGTAGGTTTACACATTTGTACCAAATTTCATCAAAATCAGATCATTTTTGCTCGAGTTATCGCGCTAACTGATACATGTACAGTAGAGTCCCGCAAACTTGGTGAAATGTAGACTGGAAGAGTGCCGAGTTTGTGAAATGCCAGGTTATCGGGAACTAGGGTTAAAAATAAGAACAATCAAATTTTTAAGATTTTTAACCGCCTTTTAGCGAAATTACCTATGAATAAGCTATTACCATAGTACTCATGGTAAGACCTGGACCCGGGACCGATTTAATTTTTGATTTTGAGGTCCCTAGAGGCCAAAAACACTATCCGTTCAAATTCATATATATATTATATATACATATATTATTTATTATTCATATAAATGTTTTTTATATATTATTTATTATATATTTATTTATTTATATTACCGTATATTTATTTATTTATATTATATTTATTTTATTTATTATATATACTAGCTGTTACCCACGGGCTTCGCCCCGTTTGACATCATAAGTATTATTGATTGGTTAAGTTAACCTGAAATAAACAAAATACAGTAAAAGAAACAAATAATCCACACCTGATTTTAATAAGGTAATAAATTGAAAGAATAACAAACAAATAAGTACAGCTGAGGTATTTTTAACATTAGGTATATGAAAAGTTCCCTTTAGAAAGGAATTACGACCTTAAAGGGCAATTTATGACATAGGCCTAATGGATAATTTTGCGCAAGGTTTCTCGTCATGACGAACATTTTAAGTATATGGTTTATGGGGGTGTGACTTGTAGTTTTCTCAAAAGTTCATGGGTACTTTTGGCTTTATATATAGATATATATATATATGTCCGTTAGTGCGATAACTCGAGCAAAAATGATCCGATTTTGACAAAATTTGGTACAAACGTGTAAACCGATGTTTATTCGAACGAGTTCGCGATCCAGTATAATCGGACCATGGAAACGGAGTTTTATGGGGCAAAAATGTGGTTTTCCCATTTTTGACCCTAAAAACAAAAGAATTTGCAATTTCTTTTTAAACTGTTTTGTAGAGCTTAAAAAAGAAATAATTTAGTATATTAAAGCGCTGTTGTATGCCTAACGGTCACGGAGAAAATTCAAAAATAGTGTACTTAGGCATTTAAAATATCCATGTTATTCTTATGGAGAAAATGAAAATTGCTGTAGTTTACTTGTTTATGGATATACAGGGTGTTTCCGAATTGTCTGGACATATTTTGTGGACTTGTTCCCTGGGCTAAGACAAACATAAAACACCATAGAAGTATGGGTCTAAAACGCCTAGATTTCTCTCTGTCGGTCCGTTTGTGATTTGTATAAATTATTTAATATCTTTGGCATTTTTCAAGATAGAGATTTAAAATTTGGTATGAATGTGTAGTTCTAAAGGTACAAAGAACTGTGTAAATTTTTTTCCAATATCTCAAGCCGTTTCATGGCGGATATTTAAAATCTTTAATACCAAATTTCATGAAAACCGTAAATATTAAGACAATTTTTCACCTCACCAAAAGGATAGAGAATTTTAATACAAATCAAATGAAACCTTGTTCGTTAAAATCAGATGGAAAATGACTGAGTTATACGTTTTTTTACACCTTCGGATATGCAATTTAATAGAACTACCATGTACTCAAGTATGATAGGAGATAGGTAGCAGATTTAAGGGGATGGGGAGGGCAACACGAAGATTTATACAATACTTAATTAATTTGTTCACCTAATTGTTCATAAAATATATTTTTTTAAATCTATTTAGTGTTTTTAACTTACTTACGAAATGTAGCTCAGTCGTGGTGACTGTGGGAAGGTATCGATCTGAAATGGTACAAATCGGACAACAGGGATTTTCCCTACATGAATTTAAACTATTCTAAATTTAACATGGGCCATATGGGTTGATCGGTCGCCATGACAGTGTTTACAAGATCTATATAATTAATACGCTACGTGCAACGTTGTCGGTTGAACTTCTTAACCGATTTTATCCTTTGACGTCTCATTGGAAAGAGCGTGTCGCTTAGATTTGCAAACTGACCTTACATTTTTTTAAAAGTCCCTTGGGCTCTGCCCCAGTGGCTGATAAAGTTCCCATGTTATCCTTATGAAGAACATAATTGTTTACATTTTAATCAGCTGTATAATTCAATTGCTGTTATTTACTTTTCAATTCAATGAAACGCATTGGGTACATTTACTGATTTTGTTGAAATTAAATATGTACAATTTTTATTTACATTCATAATACATATTACAATGTAAAAAATCGAGAGAAAGCCTGGACAGTTTGATACATTTTACCGAACAAGAAAAATGAATTGACATAGTAGGCCTACTGTATTTCTTGGGAAATCATTGAAAGAACCGATTTGTTAACCATGGAAACATAGCAAAGTTATAGAACGCCACCAAGTAGAGGAAATAGAGATTAAAAAAAATTACTATTGTTATCAACCTATATTGTATTGATTGTAAATATTTAACAGCAAATAAATCTTTGAGTAGCTCTTCAGGCGTCCGTCAGTCAGTTTCAGATTTCTTTTCACCGATATTTTTGGATTGTTCGGACGCCTGACGGACGTTTTTCAGGTTAGAAAATGGTACTATTTTTAATTAAATGATCGATTTTATATTTTAAGTAATGCTTGTAACAATTAACAAGACGAACGATCAAAATTTGATAGAATATTGTGTTGTGTTGTAATTAAACCTTTTTGGACTTTAACAAACCCTGTAAATAAAGTGACGATAGAATGACTGCAACCAAATGACTGACAGTTTTGACTGAGAAATTGTTCATTATATAATGAAGACACCTACAGCTACAATATGAAGATTCCCACAAACAATGAACAAGGATGTTAGACGAATACTATTTTGTAGGAAAGCTTTTGAAAAGTGATCAAATATTTACAAGAATTGTTGATTATATGGAACTGTTAGGTACCGTACGTAATATATGAGTTCAGTCTTAAACTCATCTGAAATTATGATGGCTTTTATTTGTTTTTAAATAACTACTTTACTTCTTTGCAATTGCTTTATTTCGAGCAACGTGTACACTAGTGACAATAAAAAGGTAAGCAAAATAGGCTTAACGTCTATCAACAAATCATTTAAACTAGCACATTACAAATGAACAAAAGGGGGAAACAATCGGATTAATAATTTACCACAATCGTTGAGCATAATTTACGACAAAACTAATAACCTAATTAGGCCTAATGACACAATATTAGGCCCAAACTTTATTGGGCACCATTGACTTTAGAAACTGTGTAGACAAGTGAACCAGACATACTTGACGTAAGTGACTTTGGATACTTTAAATAAGCATTCCATTTAAGTGAACAAGATTGGATACTGATTGGTGACTTTACTTTGGGTACTGCAAGTAGACATCTCATTTATGTAAACCAGATGTACCATTGCCATTTGGATACCAACTGCAAGCAGACATTTAAATTATGAGAACCAGATTAACCATTGACTTTGGATAAATTACTGCAAATATAAAGTAGATACATCATTTACGTGAACCAAATGTAGGCCTACTATTGACTTTGGATACTGCAAGTAGACTTTCCATTTATGTGAGCCAAACGTACCATTGACTTTGGTTGGATACTACAAAGAAACATTTCATTTACGTAAAACAGAATGACTTTGGTATTTGATTAATATGCTTCCTCCGCTCAATATTGCAGGCAGACAACTGCTTTGTACACCTAGTTAATTTGGTTATGTAATCACTGATATTCAGTTTAGTGTATTATTTTATCATTTTATGATATTTATCTCAACGCTGCGGAGCAGCACGGGTCCTCTAGTAGGTACATTAGAAAAGCGAAATAAAAACAAAGAAACAGATAGGAGACTGAATACGTTTTGAAATAGAATTCTGTTATCTTGATGTTTGTTATAACTATAACCATTGTTTTATCTATGTTATAACTTAGATGAAGTTTTCTGACCGATGGTAAAACACGGTTGTTGCCAAAATGCATTCTAGTTTAAATTTTAATTTACCTCCCTGTTTTCAAATCAGATGCCTTCCAAAATGTTATCCAAGTTTGTTTTTATACAACCAGAAATTTGTTGAATCTGAAGAAGGTGTGTGTGCTATTGTATGTTTAAACAGTTGGTAGATCTACAAATAAAATTGTATTTACTAGGTCTGATCTCTTTTTGTCTGTTTAGGGAAGAAGCCTTCTAAGCATTTCACAGAAGGTTGGGTGGAGTTTCTGAGTAAACGAGTGGCCAAAGAAGTAGCAGAGAATTTGAATAACACCACCATTGGAGGACGGAAGAAAAGTAGATTTTACGATTATATATGGAACTTGAAATATCTCCCCAGGTACTGTGTGGTTTTTAACTTATTTTTATTGGATTAACTATTCTTAAATAGCCTAATAGTCTTTTCCCCGCCAATTCACCACTTTTAGCGAATTTCCCATTTAGGAAATTAGATTTTACCATAAGTCTCATGGTAAGACCTGGACCCGGGACCGAATTACTTTTTTGTTTTGAGGTTCCCACCAACTGATCAAATTCATATTTGTCCGTTAGACAATAACTCGAGCAAAAATGATCTGATTTTGTTGAAATTTGGTGTAAACCTACATTTTAATTATCAAATGTTACTTACCCTATCTACCTCTTTGCCGTTTGGTCAAAGTCCATTTCACAAAACTTAAAAAAAAAAGCAAATATGATCTAGGCCTATGAAAAATAATACACTTTTCAAACAAAGACTATTAACATTTAGGAAACTACAAAAGAAACACATTTGAAAAAGAAATACTAGGCCTAATTAAAAACTGACTTATATTACATACCTACAATACTTTACAGATTTAACCTCTAAGGTTTATTTTCTTGTTGTTTTTTTTTCATGTAACAGGAATTATTTATTTATTATTTATAGCCTATAATGGATTATTTAGGTTCTTAATTTATGTTTAATTTATTTATTTAAAATTATGATCTCTGCCCTTTTTTCTAATTTAAATTTTTCTTATCTCTTCTAAATTTTTAGTCCTGGGAATTATAATTGAATTTCCACATACTGATGAGAATTTGGAGGGTGGATGATCCCGCGTAATGAGGTCCTTTGGATGTCCAGGTCTCCGCTGTCGGACAACCTTGTGGTTGATCCTGGACCTCAATGACGACCCCCGTGGAACTCTTCTTGGCATGGTGGTGAGCTGGCGAAGTCGTTTGGCCTAGGACGTATCGTTAGGTGGCAGATTTTACCAATCCTAAGATAATAAGGGGAACTGCTCGATCCAGCCCCGTCCTAAGCCTCTTAAATCTTCTTCCACACTGATGCACTGCGAATGGTATGAAATACATACCGTACATAATTCTGGAGTTACTATGTTCTATCCCAATGATTCAGGAAAAGCATTTGTTGGAAATCACCTGCTAGAAGTACAGTTTTAGCCATGATGTTATTGGAACTATCACACCTCTTAACGAGACATTCCTTGCTTTAAACATACTTTATAGCTAAAACACCAAGACTCTTTTTAAACAAGGTTTTACCTTTGTGTTAAAGACAAGTTTTAAAATTACCTTTTGGTATTACTATGCTTATGAAGTATCAACTACAATTGACCGTTTTAGCAGATAAAAGATAGACTAGAAAAGATTTTGATAAATTAAATTGACCAAAGACCACTCTTAGATATACTCATGATTTTACCCGAGCAAAGATCGGTCCCCAGGTACTAAGCTAAGCATTAAGCATAGTATAGCATTGAAGTTAATGCACAGACTTCTGTCCTCACTGTCCAGCACAGACGCAAACTTTGCAATATAGATGCACTGTCATTTTTAATGTTAGTAATTGTTGAGTTCCCAACACCAAACTCATGAGCTAAGCTTAAACCACTTCCACCGTTTTTCAGACGATCTAGTATTTTAAGTATGTCAGTTATACTACATATTAGTTTTGTTGACTTTGCTATAGCGTACTGTCAACAATCACTGACCCAAAGCGAGATTATGTGTACTTGATACTTTAGCGCTGTCACCGTGTCGCTGAGTTTTGTGCAAAGCGTTGCACCGCGTGCGCTCCTGCTGGTCGCTCTCGTGATGTTGGCGTGGCAGTAATTTGAATTTAATGTCCTTGAGGGCGATTTTGGTTTTAACCGACATTACGGATTTATGACAATATTCTGTGCTATTGTAAGTGTCAGACGACTTAGAAGTACAAATAGATAGGCCTATTAAAGCTTACATAAATAATGTCTAATAAACAGAGAGCCAGAAAAATGGGTAGGTGGAAAGAACCGGATATTATTAAATTAATTTTATATACCGGCAAGGCCTATTGCCGCTTATAGCTGTGACGCATAGCGGCACGCTATATTTTTTATAGTGTGTGCAGTTCGCGAAGCCGGGTTGCATGTTTATCTCGTTGCCTGCCGCGACTGCATCAACGCTCTCTCCCACCTCCCTATACTCTTGTCCTCCTTCTTCGTCAACCGTCATCCGGACAGTAAACCTCTCCGAAAATCTCCAGGCCTTCTCTCGATGTTATGGATAAGTGACCATAGTTTAATAAGTAGGAATTAAGTATAAACAATGCTTGGCTAAGTCAGGTAACAAGTGCGGAGCCCTTCTGGCTCACCCGACAATTGAAATGTAGGAAATTACAACTTAGTCCGTTAACGTTCTTAAACATGAAATATTAAACCACATGTTCACAGAATGTAGCTTAGCAATTATCAATCAAATTCATACATGTTAACCATTCTGAATTCAATTTACCTACATATTATTTCACTCACTCCATCAGTATTAGTAAGTGATTATCCAAGTTCAGTTCATAGTTGGAAGGATAGGTTAATATTTAAATAGTTAGTTCAATTAGTGCAAATCAAGGCTGGCTAGGCAAGTGTTCTGATCTGGGTAAAAGGTCTCCGTCCCTCTGGTCCCCAGCAATCTTCCTATTTTATTGGTAGCAGATTCAGCACGCTTACATTAAGTTTGGTCCAGACACTCCTATTCCTTACCTGTTAGAATTACCCTATTTGTTCCCTCCTGATTACCCGAATTCCCACCGTTCTCCCTCCTCCATACCATACCATTACCATAACCATTAACCCCCTATCATCACCCCAACAAACGGCCCCCGGCTACATAGATCATCCTAGATTGTGAAAAAGCTAGAAGCTTTCTTTGCTTGCTGACCCCTTTGTCTTTCATGTCGCTTATAAATTAGTCATTTAACCTGTATTAAATTTGTACAAAATCAAAAATGCATTGTCTCTGTAAGTGTTATCTCTTTAGGCTTTGCAATACAAGCTGGCTAAGAGTTTCCTTAGGAGGGAACAAGCTTTTTGGATGAGGTGGGTAAAGTTGATGTCTTTAACAGTGCTTTTAATTTGCTCTCTCCTTTCCTTGTCCAGGTTTAAATTTAGGAGATATGTTTAGTAAAAACTATAACTTACTGTCATTAAAAAGGTCTTGGCTGCATCCTGTTATACACCCTTTGCAATCCTCTAGGGTATTAAAAATCAAATCAGTCATAATTCTTCAATTCAGTGGAATAAATCTGATGCTATTTTTCAGAGTTGATGTGAATGCCTCCCAGTACACCTCTTTAAAATGTTAATGCATTCATAGAAATAATTGTAACATAGGAATTCGTTAGGAAACACGTTAATGTATTTTAGTCCTAAGACTAATTGATCTGAGTAATTTTTTACTGGAACAGTTTTTTTTTAAGTTCTACACATACTAATTACTAATTAGTTATCGATGTGTTTAGGTTTAAGTGGGTTCATCTAAATGAACGTTTGGAATATGAAAGAGCAGTTATGAAACAAAAACTTAGAACTGAAATCGAACTGGCCAAGCGAGAGTCCAGTCACTTTGCTCAACAGGTGGAACTGAGTGAAAAATTGAAGAAAACAAAAAATAGAAAAACTGGGAATGTGAATGCAGAGGAAAATCATCAGAATACTAATACAATCAAGCAGAGGAAAACTGACAAAGAAATTAGAAATAAGAAGCAGCAAGCAAGTAAAGAAGATAGGTCTGCATTTTTGAAAAATTTGTTTGTTAAATGATGTATACTTCTGTTTATAAATTTGTATAAAATGTTACCCATGGATATAATGTTATGTTGCCTTACTTGTTGTTATTGGGTTTTTATTTTTAAATATTTTTTTCAAACAATTTTTGGACTTGGTGATGCCATGCTGCTGTTAAATTGTGAATAAATATATCAAAATTGAATCGCAGATAAATTGACTGAGTAGCTGAACGGTTTAAAGTGCTGATAATAAACTTATAATAGTTGCCAGTTAAATCCTATGAAAAGTTTGAAATCATTTTGTGAACAGAACTACGGTACGTAAACCATCATTGAAAATTTATCTTTTTAAGTTAGTTTAAGACAGTAAAGAATTTACCCTAGTTTTTCAAAGTTCGTCCAAGCATTCAATTTTTCTCCAGCATACCATATAGATGTATTTTTTAAATGATAAAATAAAAACAATTGATTCGGAACTTAAATTGAACTCAAACCCAGAACATTTCATATGCTAACTGTGTGTTTATCAAAGTTATTTAACTAATGTAACATTGCAAGGTTACAAAGACTTTGAAAAAAGGTTTGCCTTTTTTTCCTAAAATTTCTGAAGCAATACAAATTAAATGTATTACGATTATTAAATTATCGGCAATTTTAGTACAATGGGATTCTTACTAAATGTGTAGCAAAGCAACTGTAAAAGATGTAATAGTTTGTCTAAAGTTTGTAATCAATTGAATTTAAATAATAATTTAAAGGAGTAAAGTTGTTAAACAATTTCTGGGTACACAATGTATCAACTAATCTCATTTTATTAAAATGTTGTGCTGGTTCAAAATTGTGTACAATCAACAAAGCTGAAATAGCAATATTTACGTAGATTTGTCTCATTGTAGTCTACCAGCTGAAAGAACCAACAGTTGTGGTCATTTGTAGAATTGCAATAAAATACATAGCTATTGCCCCAGCCATCTGGAAAAAATAGTAATTAAGCAATTTATAGTTATGGAAACTATATTATTAAATATCATATCAAAATAATACTCAAATATAAAGAATGCTTGTTGACGAATCTAATTAACTTATGATTAATAAACCATTTTGTAAAAATTATAAATACTATCATTTGGTTTAGATAAAAATGCTTGGTTGAATAGTCAAAACCAAACTGTAGGCTTACTTCAATGCAATTTTGCCATATTAACAAATAATTGTTGACTGCAAACTATCTTTTCTATCTTTGAGACATTTTTCTTAAAATTTATTGTTGTGTTTTCCTTCTACGATTAAAAATGTGTTTGTGTGGCAAAAATCAGACTAATTATAAACTGAAACAAATGTTTACTGGATTCAAGTAGTCGAGGATTGAATTTGACAGCTAACTAATGTCAATGAATACAAACCTTATGAGAAGCGCAATGCCTTTGTTAAAAATTCAGTCTGGGAATATTTGAATTTCGGATAGTTCCTGCGGCGGCCACTAGGTAGCGAAGGCGATACTATCGCGAGTGTGCAGCCAAGTCAGCTGACTGAGTGAGAGAGAGAGAGAGACTAAGAACCTGTTTAGAGAGAGAGAGAATAGTGTGGCGACCGTGCAAAGCTCATTTCGGCGGCAAAATTCCAGGCTGACAATTCTACATGAACATTTAGCTTCTTAAAGGGTTTGTATTCATTCCTAATGTCCTAAGTAAAGTCATTGCAAGTAACATTACTTCATTGACTCATCAAATACTGTAGTACCGGTACAGTGTAGGCTTTTGTGATGACGTGACACCGATTCTGCAATAGGTTAGAGCTGTTTTTTTTTTTTTTTGCATTGTGGAATTGAAAAGTACAAAGTATTTAGGTTAATTCAAAGAGTTACTTGATTTTGCAGAAAAAAATGTTGTCTCTGCAATTGCATGACTCTACCAAAGAGGTTATTTATGATTTCTCCATGACCACAGGAGATTTTTTGCCGTGCCCCGTTACCATAGCAAATTTTTACTATTGCTCCTCCGACATCATTGGAAACACATAACTTATTTGAATGATATTCAAAATTGCTCAAACCTATTCAGCCATTGTTGAGTTGAAACTCGTAAAAACACGAGTTGCCTATTATTGCAGTATGTTGGGTTTTTGACATTCATGGCTTTCCCGGAGCATATTTTAAGGGATTTCCACTGGGCGACAAGAAAAGCGACAAAGCGACTTACCGGGGGGCCTGGGGGGTATTCATACCCCCATCAAAAAGGGGGGTCTGAGGCCCCCTGGTAATTTTTGCATAAACTTAAGTGAAAATCACACATTTCTACGCATCTTTTAGTGCATTTTTAGATTAGGCTATCTTGTAAATGGTATCTTGGGCCAAAATCATACATAGCTCAATACTCTAAAATATTTACATAATGTTATTTTAAATTCCTATACATTTAAAATGTGAATCATAAAAAAAATATGCCGGCACCATCCATAGTCACTGGGCGACAACATGTTATTTTATGCCCTGGGCTTTCCTGATGATAATACTAGTGATGTGTCAAAACCAAATCTCAAATCAAAACCATCAAACCATCAAAACTTTGGAAAAGTTTCGGTTTCGAGATTCGTTAGGTGAGGTTCGAGATTCAAAAGTTTCGAAATAGGAAGTTTTGGCTATTATATTTTTGAAAATGATGACATTTTTTGTGTCATTATTATTGTTAACAACATTGTTTACACACGAGTTGGTAGCGATGGAGCAAACACAACTCCATTAACACTTATGAAACAAGTAAATTGTATTCTGAACTGCAACAGGCATCTTAAATACTGGAACAACTGACAATTCAGTTTTGTATATCGATATTCGATATTTGTTAAACACAAAGAAATATTGACCACTAAATGTTCTAATTAATGTAATATTCATGTTTATTTCAATGTCAGGAGTTTCATTGTTTTAATGTTAGTTATTTATTAAAAAAATATGTTATTTTGGATTTGAAGTTTATCTGTCACATTTATGTTATTATGTCTGGATCAGGAGTCAATCTCTTTCAGTTTTGATCGCATAATCTATTATATTATTAAAGTGATACAATCAAATTTTATGTAAACGGTTAAGGTCACTTACAAAGTAAAAATATAGGCATATGGCACATCAAAATGAAGCTTAGAGTGTGTAGATTTGCCGAAAAGTATTTATATATGGACGAATTTCCTAAGAGCTCTGCCCCACAGGATGATTTCCAAAGGGCTACGCCTGGCATGCTTCCATTGTTTAAATGATTTATTTTAATTTAGTTAATGAAGCAGCTGGTCAGTACAATCATGTACAATGAACTGGTATTTGTTTATTTACTCGAAAAAGATGTTTGTGACGCTTTATGTAGATTGAGGAGGGTTATGTTTGGTTTAAGTATTGCTCAAAGTTTCATTTTTTACCTATATAGTTTCATTTATATAGTAAGCCTAAGCTACATGTGAAAAAAGCTTGACTAAAATTGAAGGATTATGGTAAAACATGACATGATGCATCAATATGAAGCAATTGATGCTAATGCTACACTAAGGTATGTTGTCATATTCTTATGGATCTATTAACATCAAAAGTAGGGGTTTGAAAGTAAGTAGGTTTAACTTTTAAATCAGTTTATATTTTCAAACTAAATGATGGAGTTGCTGTATTTTAAAACACACATCAGCACCACTTTAATAGCTCTCTAGGTCACATTTTCTTCCCGTTGCAAAGCACGGGTATAGCAGCTTGTCATAATTAAAATGTTATCATTACCATGTATGTATTTTTATTTTTTAGCAACCTTGACCAGGTTCCTTAACTAAAAAGTTTTGCGTCAGATTTTGAGTTTTGAGATTCTGGATTCGATTGTTTAAGTTTCGGTTTTGGTTTCGAGATTCAAAATTTCTGGTTTTGACCATCACTAGATAATACCATCGCTTAAATGGACAGTGATGCTCTTTGTGTAAATATTTTAAGCTGAATATAATTGTAGAATATCTTGTGAATACCATCACTGAATTTATTATTTATGAAATTATGGATATAACAATGGTCAATTAACCGTTCTATTAAAATAGTGCAAACCCCCTAAATTATCTCTGTATAATTTTCTTTTCTTACATTTGGACCATATGCGATATTTTTAAAATTTTACCTTGATAGATAGACAAGGTGGATTTAACAGTATATTTTGGCAAATTCAATCTTTTCTTTGTCAGTTTAGTAGTTTTCTCAACAAAGTTGTTTAGAAGTTTCTTTAACTTAATTAACGTCAACTTACACTCAGTAAAAGAGAACGGTCCACATCTACCATTCCACACGCAGAGATGTTGACTCTAAACATCTCACATTGGTGAAGAGTATGATCCAGCTAGACATGAAATCATCAAGATTCATATGAAGTTGAAAACCCAACTACAGTAGAACCCTGGTAAACCGAATTCGGGTTAACCAAAAAACGGTTCCATAAAATAATACAAGGCTAAAATATAAGTACTGTAAAATGCTTTAGTAACTTCATTTGTTTAGTTTAAAGTATTTTCTAACCATTGTAACATTTCTGTAGCTGAAATAAAACACTGTATTATATAGACACTGTTTTAAATTCATTTTTCCCACACACCGTGGTAGGCTATTTTTACCATATGATGGGTTAACCAAAAAATTGGTTATCCGAAACGGCTCTCCCCCTTTATTTCGGTTAAACGGGGTTCTACTGTAATTGAGTTTCTTAAATATTATGCTCTGTTATAAAATTTCACCTGGGTTTAGTCGAATAATTTATGATACAAAAAGTAATTGTGCAACGAAAATCCCTCTGAGACTTCTGAATAGCGCTGTGTTGTCTGAGCGATATAAGGAAGTAGTGGTGGCGTGATCAGTAGCTATACAGCGTTACCCTACCTAGAAGATGACGGACTGTTACGTCTCAGAAAAGCTGGTATCTTACATCCCTTAGACAACATTGTGTATTTATAAGGATTGTTTTTCCTTGGAAAACTGCAAGAACTATATTCTATGCTGCAAATGTGCTGTAAAATCCATAATTTGGCACATCCCCAGTACATAGATATATTATGCATTAAGTTCCTAGAATTTGCAAATCCTACACAATCAGCTTTCAAAATTAAGATTAAAATATTTTTGTTACCAAGAAATATTAAATCTCCGCTTGTACAAATTGTTGGAAGACAATTTCTTTTTATTAAATTCCTATATTAGTGCAAACACGTAAAATGCTAATCAAGAAGTCATTTAAAATGTTTTGAAACAGTGTACAGTTTATCTAGGCCTGGTAGGATCAAATCAGTAAAAATACATTGTACACAAATGTTAGTCTTCATCGCGTTTGACTATACCGACATGCAAACATGAGCATTTAATCCTAATAATTCAATACATTTTATATAGTTAATATAAATGTTTGTATTGTATTGTGTGACTTGTAGCATTGACTATACACAGAGTTCTGTGTATAATCAATGCTTGAAGCCATTAATTTTAAATAGAAATGCTCTCAAGAGATGTTAGCTGAAAATGGTGAATTATGGAAAACCAAAACGATAACATACTTTTAATAATTTTATTGCCGTTAGTTTTTATTTTCTTATTGTTAATGAGCACGTTCTGGGAACACTGACCCGTGCACCAGTGTAGGACCGGTGCATAAAACGAGTTCTGGGAGACCGGTGAGTTAAGCTAGCAGACAGATACTTCCTCCACCGGTGCAAGATTTATGCACCGGAGAAATTGTACGGAGCATACATAATACACCGGTTTTTTGGACAATAGTATGCAGCTATGGCAAGATGGCGGGTCCATAAAATAATGTTCATTCATTAGTTTGATGGATTATAATAAGTGAATAATTTTCAAATATTTTATCCCGTGAGGGTAGGTAGATTTGTAAATTATAATTCGATGTGTAACGTAAACCGGTGACTAACCGTTCTGGGATACAAAGACTCTTGCCCCAGGACGGTAACGGTGAGCAAGTCACTGGTTCATCTGCACCGGTGCACCGATACATGTTCCCAGAAGGCGCCCAATGGGATTATAATAACTAAAAATCTACTACAGACCTGAAATTGTGTGTTCCAACTAAGCTCTTGTGTCGGTATCAAGTTCAGATAGTTTTCCATTTGTTGGCTCTGTAAAATATTTAAGATAAGATCCTACTGTAGAAGTCAAATTAAACTTATGAATTGAAACATAAAAATAAATTGTATTAGCAATATGATACATACTTTCTCCCTTTAGCTTGTCAACTACCTGTATCATAGGTAAGTGATGAGAGTGACTAGATTAGGTAAAATCACAAAAGTTTCATTCAATACATGAACTGTAATTTTTACAGGAATGGGAGGTTGCACTATTTTGTTTAGAATTGTAAGAGACGAAACAACACACCAGACAAATTTCAATCAGAACCAGATTTTTTTCAAAAAATCCCATTTTTCGGCCTTTTTGTGGTTCTTTATGGAAAAATAACATAAGTTACAATAACTTTTGAATCGTAATTTTTACAGCAATGGGGGTTGCTGCATGTTGTTAGGAAATTGAAAGGACCATCATCACATACTGATTTCAATCAAATCCGGGTTTTTTTTCAAAAATCCGATTTACTCTTAAATTATGGTTTTTTATGGGGAAATAACATAAGTTACAATAACTTTTGAATCATAATTTTTACAGGAACCCATTTCGTTCAGAATTTTAAGGGCTACAACATACTAAAGTTTGATCAAAATCGTTTGGTCTGTTTTCGAGAAAATTTTGTTTTTCTGTTATTTATAAGAAAATCACCTGTTATTTATAGATTTTATGGGAAAATCACAAAATCTCAAAACCAAAACTTAACCAAAGTTTATGACGGTTTTGACACATCACTACTTAAAACATTAGAATAGGCGTAAGATATAATACCTAAATCCCCCGACTGCTCTACGGCCTCAGTCACAGTAAGGTTTCCTAGACGCGTAATAGATGCGCATCTAAAGGTATGCGCATCTAAGATGAAGAGAACTTGTCTAACGGAGTTTTGTACAAGCGATTTCAAAGGCAGCATACCAAGTGTGTGCACATCAAATATGTGTTCTAAAAATGGATACACACGATATGAAATGTCATACTTACCTCAATAACCAGTAGGTCTGTGTTGAGAGTAACAAAAAACAAGAGGATGAAATTGTAGACGATTGCCAAGACATCATAGCCTGTGATGACATAACCTTTCACAGTGTAGAAGTAGAAAAGGATCCAGAGGAGCTGCAAAATGTAAGCTCCGAAGATGAAGGCAAATCGGATGCCAAAAAGATCATTCAAGGTTTTGGCGCACTGGTTGAGATGGATGTATTGTAAGCGATGGTTTTCAAACTCCGCGTGGTTGTTTCCCACCACTCGTCTCCTGAGGTAAGAGGACTGTATGAAATCGTAAAATACAACATTCATAGTTTTGAATCTGTGCTTAAGCTCGTAACAGAAGAAAGTGTATATGAACAACTGCAGTTGGCTCTGGTAGACGAAGAACCCTCTGATAAGCTCTAGCTTTGCACACTTTTTTTTGTTACAAGTTTCACCGTTGTATGTCGCAATCCCCACCTTGGCTAGCAGCAACATCGGATACAGGTAGGATGCTAAGACCCAGGCGTACTTGCTGAGCTTCTTGTAGTAGAATGCTTTAGAGTTGAACAACATTGAGTGATCAAATGTGTTCATCTTTTCCACCAGAGACAACAGATGGTGTTGTCCGTACATGAACCACAGGTTGGACAACAGGCAACCCCCGGCTTCTTTCCAAGGGAATATTTTTTTCCCACTGTCAAATGACATAATTCTGCTGGGCAAGAAGTAGCCTATCAGCAGATTCAAAAAAGGTACGGATATGATTTCAAGACTAAACCATTTGAAATCCAATTTATTTCTTTTAAAGATTATGTTTTTAATTGGCAAAACCAAGCTGATTTTTGCCATGATTGCTAGAGGCCTAAAGTCGTCATAGAGAACAGGGGGGTCTGCCTGACTCGGGATGGAGTTGAACTTTGAATATTCAGGCTCCTTACCGACCCATTTTGGCTTTACTTGCATTTTTGGAAAATATACAACTGTATTCAGAATGTTTTCAAAACTCTTTTCTTTAGTAAAAATGTAAAGGGTCCATTAGTCTTTCAAAACACTAATACTGCTGATAATGATAAAGCCAGTTGGATCAAATCATGATGATTATGTTGTTAAATATCATTGGATGGATAAATAAATAACATTATTATGCTAAATTCCTAAGTGATGTGTATAATAGGAAATTATATGTCCTTAAATGGACTGTCAGGATAAATGGTTAAAGACTAAATCGACAAAACTAAGTACCTCATAAATATTTAATATCATTGACTTGCTTAATTTTGTTTAACAATTTAGAAGTACATTAAACAAAATTACATTACAAAAGCATACAAAACAGCAGCCTCACACATAATGTTTTATTGCTGCTATACAACCAGTGACCATTATTTTGCAAATCAATTTTAGTTTTAAAGCTGCAAGTCTTCCTATGTTTTGGAAAAAAATATTGTAATTGTTATATTTTAACGTTGAGACAGGGACAAAAAGTTTTTTTTTTTACCTGAATAAGAATGAAAGATGTGTGTAGCGTATAGAGGGATCCTTTTGTAGCTAAGTTGCTAAAAGTGCATCCGTTTCTTTAGTCAAGGTCATTTAAAATTTAAAAGCATAATAATTTTCAACAGCTGGGTACCATTTTAAATTATGCTCGAAATTGAGCAAAACTGCAACTTGTACAGTAATAAAAGAATAAAATAGGAATCTCACTTGACTCCTCGGAGCTTTCGTTCCTACAAATGTCTGCCATAGTGATAAGAGATTGGACAAATGGGTTGGTGTTTTCAATGTGTAACCCTATTTCCCGCATAAGATTTTCATTAGATTTTTTGTTTGCATTTTTGTTTCATGCACTTTTGGAGTCCAGTGTCAACTTTGTACATATAAATATCTAAATATATCTAGGATCACGACCTTTTCGGAGCTGACCATGGCAAAGTAAATTGAATTGACGAATGTTATCCAAATAATTTCTAGATTTAAATAATTTCTAGATTTAAGTCTTGCAGTCCTGTTTTCAGATTGGGAGTTTCCAATCCTGAATGTATGGTGAATTCCGCAAATGAGCGAAACAAACTTTTCCTCAATGGCAAAAAAGTGTAAAAATTGAACTGTCTCGGCCAGTCTTTTCTTGCTTAAACTGTAAGCCACTTTCGCTCTGTATCCATGTTCCATTGGGAGGGTGATGCTAGGGGTCAAGGTTCTCGTTCCCTCCGGCCACTCACAGTTCTTCGTCTTCTAGGTGGCATTTAATTTGAAATTTAAATAAAACACTAGAAAGAGTCAAGAGTCATACGACCCAATCCCATCATACGACAACCCAATCAATATAGAAGTTGAAACGTCCCCCCCCCCACATGTAACATTATGTGAATTGCAATGTATTTATAAAGGTGTATTAAAATAAATCTGTTCACATTGATTACATAGTAAATATTTTAAAATTTAGCTAATTAACTTAATAAATAAATGTTTTATTCAATCCAAGCAAAGCTCGGTCTCCCGTTACTTTGGCCTAAAGTTTAGTTTTTATTGTTAAAGTTTAGTTTTTTTTAGATATTATTGGTTTGTAAATATCTCGTATAAACATCCCATTTTCTGATTTATAATACTTTGATTTTACAAATGAAAAATCAATAACTCAAATAGTATGGTATGGTAACCAATGTTCAAACTCAAACAAATTATGACGTAATAGTAATTGTGTAATGGACATTAAAATGTTAAGGTACCAATTTATTTGCAAGTTTCAACATTAATCCACTCAACACCCTACTCGAACCCATTAGAGGCAGAATGAAGATACTTGTGTTTATTGTTGAATTTGCTGGCTAATATATTTTCTGTCCAATAGATTATTTACGGCAGTGAATAAAGTGGCCCATTTTTTTAAATTGCCTTGGAAATAACAATTTGCATTTGTAAGAAATTGATTAAATAGGATTTTTGCCCAATAGTAATTAAAAATAACATTAGAGTAAAAGGGTAAAATAATTCCATCACTGTCACCATAAGATAAACAATTTATTTTGTTTTAACACATTATCTCAGATGAAAGAATTTGTCAGTAACACAATTTTAAACCTGAAGAATCTAATAACTCAAATATTACATCTAATAAAAAACAACTAACTGAGACTAAACCCATAGAACAATTGGTTTATATCATAAACAATGTTTTGGTTTATTATTATCTTTTAGACTAAGGATCTATTCAAACGATTAATAATTAAAAAGGTTGTATTGTAAAACATAGTTGTGACATTGTTCAATATCTTACTGTACAACAGAACTAAAATATCCACAGATAAACTTATATACTATTGTGATAACCATGAGAGTAGCAAAACACTTTTCAAAATATAAAAAACAAATTAGTAAACAAATTAGCCCAATTCTTGGCTTAAACTTGTTCTTGAGAATGCAACTTCATCTTCAGACAGACACTAAATGCTGATTGAGTTACTGGCATCGTCCTCTTCACCTTCTATGTCTGTTTCAATAGCAGAGCTTTCTCCGTCATCCTTTTCCTTTTCTTGTTCTGAATCCGATCCATTGTGTAGACTATTTAGTCCTTCTTCCTCAACTTCAATCTAAGACAAAATTCCCAATAAATTACCGGTAATTAGTGTCATCCCCTTAAACAACTATGACTTTTAGCCAAAGAGATAAGAATACTCTATCCATGTATCTGTCCTACTTAATATGCACACTTCTATATGAAATGACATTCTATATCATTTTCAGATCTATAATTTGCATCAACCTAACTCACACTTGACCCCCACATATCATCCCTTCATTCAATTTACATTTAGGTAGGGTCGAATGAAATCTAATCAAAAATCATTTATTCCATAAAAAAATATGCAACCTTTCATACAACCTATCTAGGCTACTCTCATACTTCAGATAGTATTTTTAAAGTTTGTCTATTCTAAAGCACAAAGGTTTTGTTGGATAACTCGAGTCAAAATCATACGATTTTGTTGATATTTGGTACAAATGTCTAAACCTACATTTTTGAACACGTTTATGAACCAGAAAACCAGCATTATAAAACCATAGGAACATGGTTTTATGGAGTAAAAAATTATTTTTCCCATTTTTGACCCCCAGAAAAAAAATCTTTTGGAATTTCTTTAAAAACTATTTTATAGAGCTAAACAAGAAAATAGTATAGTATCCTTATATATAAATGATTGAACCGTTGTTGTGCACCTAATGGTTACAGAGAAAATTAAAAAAAATGTAAGTTTAAAAATTCTATTTATTCTTACTGAGAAAAAAAAGATAGAGTTTGTTTATTAAGGGATATATTTTGGTCAAATTAGGTAAATTTGTATATTAAATTTAGACTATTTCAATTTAAACAAATTTCAATAAAAAATGTTACTATTGCCTTTCCTGTATCATCAAACCCAAGTACTCATAAAACCTAATGTTATTTAAATATAAAACAAATATGACAATTTTAAGCAAATATTTTAGTGAAAATTCAACCAGGGAAATGGAGATTCGCTTAGCCTGCAGGTTAGCTGCGGCAGGGGTACTATAACAGGGTGTCCACCAGGCCAACCAGGAAAAATTCATGAGTAAAAAAAATTCCAGGAATTACAGTTCGTACTTTTCATACTAAAATTTCCAACGTGTTTTGCGCCAACTCCAGCAATGCTGTTTTAGCGCTAACACAACTCACTATTTTAGTTATTGGAAAGAGCATTCTCAGTTAAAGAAACAAAATTTATGATTACTGTACTGTAATATTGCCTTACACAAGTATTCAATTTTTATATATTATAATTTCAATTTTACCAAATTTTCTGTAATGATTACTACACCAACCCTGTCTTTATGTACTTTCATAGTATATAATTTTAGAGTTATAGGTTGTTTCTCAAGTGACCTACAGAAATAATTTATGCAGAAACTAGAAAAATTTCACGTAGCCAATTTAAATTTTAAACCCTTCTAAACACATTAAATAAATACCACGTTAAAGGTAAATGAAGATATTACAAAATATAAAAGATAAAACTTTCTAGAAGTGTGCCATTTTGAAATTTTTGGTCAAGCCAAACTCGAGGTTATATATCGTGATCATCTAACACTGTCGTAGAGACACCATCATCGTTTTCTGCGATAACTGAAAAATAATGAATATCTCACTCAGTAACAGAAACATCACCACTGTCTTTCGTGGTCGTGACAAAATCCTGATATTTTTCAGCGGTAACAGAAACATTATACGAAAACGTCGTCGTCGTCTCCCGCGGTCACGAAAACGTCATTGTCTTCTCCCGTGGTCACGGAAACGACATCGTCGTTACCCGCGGTCACGAAAACAATCATCGTCGTCTCCCGCGGTCACGAAAATGTCATCGTCGTTTTGTAGGTCCTAAGAATGCCAGGTCACTGAATGGAATGGACACTTATTTATTGGACACTGAAAATAATTTTCTTTATGTTTTATTTACATTTCACAGAACAGTTTACTGTTTAGCATTTTGTATTCACCATAATAAAAATCCAGTCAGTAAACCATAGTGGAACACTAAATTCTAATTCTCTCAAATAGACATGGTGTGCTTACCTGAGAAGGTATCTCTTGGCCTTTGAGGTCCCTGTTTTTCATGCTGCCCATGAAGAATGCGTCGGTGCAATTGTTGATAACTATGATGCTCCTGACCTGTAGAAGGATGGACTCCAGCACAGCTCTGATGGGAGGCAGATACTGTGTCAGTCCAGTGTCTTTACTCACCTAGGACACAAAACTATGATAAAATACAACTCACTAAGAGACTATACTATGAATAAATCTTTTGCTATGAAACTCTTTCACTAAAGAGAATCGTTCATTACATGTGGTTAAAAGTTCCATAAACCCGGGCGTAGTGTGACTTGGAAGAGGACTGTGTTTGGAAAATGCCCGGCCATCAGCAAAAAGTACCAACAGTTAAAAAAACTGAGACATAATAAAGAAATTAAATGAAATGTGTCTTTATTTTACATATAAAGGACCTAACAATGAAAACATTCCGCTTTTATTTTTCATACATAGCTACTAAATTTACACCATAACAATAAAACATATAAATTTAACTTAGTAAAGAAAATAATTTTTCCCAAAATTCATTGTTATGGCTCTAAATGACTGGCTAGGCTCTAAGGTATACTGGTCTCTATGTCCGCAAGTAGTAGGTTTAAATGGCAAAAGACATATGCTCTAGCTAGTAGCTATGTAACTTTTGAAGCTACTGAGTTTTACAGTTGACCACTATAGGGTCGCTTGCAGGGTGCTAAATAAAGTTAAACACCAACAAAAAAAAACTCACTATGGATTTGCGGAGAAATCTAAACTGTCTGGTTATTAGGTGCCAAGTCTGCAGGACTTTACTGTAGTAACAATTTTTACAGTGGATCACATTGATAGCCTACCTTCACATAGTTGCATATTGTCTGTAAGTATCTTGTAGTGACTTGAAGCTTCTTGAGCACCTGAGACACAGTGGCAGGTTCGTGTTTGAACATGAATCTGCATGTAGACATTCCTTGAGACAGGAAAAGCTTCAACACTGCTGTGCAGCCCTAAAAACACAATATGTGCAGATCGGGTTGTTTGTAAGATAGTTTCATCTGATTGACATACAATTGCATAGATTACCTGGCTGCAGTTGGTAAGAATAAGTCTTTAAGGAAGGCTCATTCTACTCATTTAAGACAGATTTGTTACATCGTAAAAAAAAAACAAACAACAGTACCACATAGTCTAATCAAATAATTTCATCATCAGCAATCAAATCATAAAACTGATTTAGAAAAAAAAAACAACTACAGAACCTTGACGGGAAATTGTAAGATACACTCTGTTTTGTTGTGTATAGTATTCAGAGGTTTGTCGGCCTGACTTTTTTACTTCAGGTTGAGTTGGGTCAAACATTTTTGAAAACGTATTGATTTTTCCAAATATTAATTGTCATACAATATCAATTTAAAAATAATATTGTACATGATCTTCCCCATATTGCGGTAAAATTATGAACTTCTTCCATGTTCACAGCAAAACCGTGAACATCTTAAGTCACGGTAACATCTAGAACATCTTCTGCCACCAAGAAATCATGAACTCGCACTCGCAGAAATACCGTGAACACACAATCATGATGAAATCGTCAATTTTCAATGGCTAATCTCCGCAGATGTTATCTTCGATCCCAAAAACAAAAACATGGCTCCAACTGGCCAGAGTTGGACCCAACCTGATCCCTTGGATTTGAATCAAATCAATCTAACTGTTTCCTTGACCTGACCCAAAAATATCAGACCCCTATTATTAATAATGAATAATTAATACTAGGAGTCTGCGGGTCCCCGATATTTTCAATTATTGTTCATTGTTTTTTTTTTTTTTTTTTTTAAATGAAATGAAATTAAATATTACTTTATTATCACAAAAACATTTCACAGATCCAGCGTTAGCTGGTGAAACAGGTGATATTGTCAGAGATCTTAAACACTAAGTTACATAACAAAACTAAAATCCACATAGCTTAAACTAAAATATATCTACTTATTATTTAAATAATCGGAAATATTATAATAATTTTTCTGTAATAGGTATCGTTTGAAATCATTTTTAAATTTTGAAATACTGTTAATTTCTTTGAAATTAGTGGGTAGACTGTTGTAAAGCCTTAATCCCATAAAAAAAGGATATCTTTCATATAAACAAAGGCGATGTCTTGGATATTGAAAATTTTTTGAGCGTGTAAGATATGGATGACTGATTTGTTTATCATTGTACATTTGATAATTAATTTTAAAATTCACCATCATTTTAAATATATAAAGTGAAGGCAAAGTTAATATCTCATATTTAGCAAATAAAGCTCTGCATGAGGTTCTTTTAGGCATAAATGATAAAATCCTTATAAATTTCTTCTGAATTTTGAAAACTGCTTTAGAAAAAGAAGTTGCTCACCATAATTCAATCCCGTATTGCAAGACAGAAAAGAACATTGCATAGTACACTGTGAGTTTAGTTTTTAAATCTATTACATTTCTCAAAACATATATTTGAAAGCAAGCCGTATTTAATTTACCAACTACCATTTTTATGTGTGTTTTCCATGTTAAATTCTTATCGATATCTAAACCCAAAAATTTTGCATTTTCAGTAAAGGATATAATATTATTATCATAAGATAATTCAACAGTGGAGTTTTGCCTATTCTGAATTGTTTGAAATAACATCACCTGTGTTTTAGAATTATTAAGTTTTAGCCCGTTGGCTGTAAGTAAACCAATTAGATAAATTAAGAATAGAAAGACTGATTTCTTGTTTAAGATTTTGCAAATTATTTGATTTAACTATTGCTGTAGTGTCATCAGCATATAAGATAAGGTTAGACGATACATTTCGAGGTAAGTCATTAATGAATATTTGTTTACCTTCATGAAAGCCCTGAGGTTAGGTTTGCTGTCGTTAGCCTTGACAACAGCTACCAAAGTCTCCAGTCCCTGTGTAAGAGATGACCACAACTGTAGCTGGTCTCTGTCACTGGACTGGTCTTCCAATCTCTGCCTCACAGCACTCTCCAGTCCCTTCAGTAGACCAGTGATCAACACATGCAGGTTCAACCTGTTACAAACATGAAACACCTCAATAATTTTTTAACGTAAACGCAAAGCTTCTACTTTCTGAAAGACATTTAAAATTTTTTAAACTTATTTTCTACTAAACTGTTTATTGCAGCAGTAAAGAAATTCTCTAACGGTATCAGTTCAATTTTGGGTGTAAATAATACTTACCATCCTAAAACCAACTCGAAACTATGTGTTGAGGCCAGTAAATATTGTCAAAACAAGTCACCATTTTTAGATCAAACATAGTAGCAGTAGCATGAATTACTTGGAAAAAACAAATAAAATAGTTTACTTTTCCAAGACTACATACAAAGTACTATAACTCAGTAGTAATCTAAGGATGAACAATTTGGAAAAACCGAGCTGGTCTAGTGGTTAGAGCGTGGGACTTAGGTCCATGAGGTCCTGGGTTCAAATCACAAATTGATTTGATCTAAGTGATAATGTTGCAACCCCTAGTTCTAGCTTGAAGTAATGTGAAAAACAATCCCAGGCTCGTGCCTAGCGTCCTAGAACACAAAAAAGGATGAATAATATGTCTAGGTTTTAAGGATTTTGATTGAAGAAACAAAAATCAGTAGTTATCTAATTTACCAATGGTATATATTTCCAAGCTTCTTTATGGTACACAGGCCAAAATCTAACCTAGAGAATGAAGGAAACGTAGAGAGAGCTCCATCTTTTTCAGCCAGCTGCTGGTGTTGGGTGGACAGCCAGCCCAGGATGTCCGTGACAGTCTTGAGCTGGTCAGCCGAGTGTGTAAGATAGTTGGACAGCAGTTCCCCCACCTGGCTGTTGAGTGCCGCTCCTTTCTCACGATTTCCTTTCATGTCATACCACCGTCTCTCCAGGAACTCACCACAGAGATTCGCTGTTTAAAAACGTTATGTGAATTATACAGAGGCAATCACTAATCCCACAACTATACTATACGGGGTGTCCCATAATACTCCCCCCCCTGGTTATTCTTGAACGGCTGCATAAATTCAAACACGCTTCGATAACAGTTACTAGGGTAATGTAAAGTTATTTTTGGTGGTATATTGAAATCCACCCCCCCCCCCACCAACCGAATAGGGGTAGCTTAAAATGTTTACTGGTGGGGTTTTGATTTTTTTTAATTTGAAATTTTACAGCGATGGAAAAAATAAAAGTGCTGGAATGTTAAGTTCCAGTTAAACTAACCGGCAACATGAACGGATGGTAGCTAATAGAAATGACATGGGAACAAATTCCCACCCCAACTACAACCAAACAATCAAAAACCCCTTCGGCCAGAACAGCAGCTCGTCCCAAAACAGTTGTGTAGTTCTGCAACCAAACAACCATTATGATGGCAAATCTGGTTTTATTAGTTTTGTAAATTTGTAAGCCTACTATTAATTATGTCACTATTGCAAGTGTTACCAATTGATTAAACTTGTTTTCTCTGATATTTTCAAGTTTGTTTAACCCAGTATTATCTTATCATCCAAATGAAATGTACTAAGTTAACATGTAATAGGCTACATTAAGATCTACCAGTAGTTTGCTCCTCATTTAAACTAGTTTTATAAAGTTTCATTAGTATTTTGTGATTTCTGAGTGATACGAACTTAACCTACAAGTTACAGTGAGTCATATAACAGCTAGGGACTCTATCTTTTCATATTAATACTTACAATCCATCCAGTTTTAGTTTTAATGTGCTTGGATTAGGGCTGTCTAAGTTTGCCTTCAAATTTAATCATTTCATGTTAGAACATTAAAATAACCGCCAATTTCGCATCTGACATTTCATAACCACAAAACACACTACCCACTGTCAGTGCTGTCAACAGAATCACATTTGTCATCTGTCCAAGAGTTTGGCTTACAACCTTCAGCTTGTGCAGTCAGTTCTAAACATAATAGACCTCATCCTCGACCAAGAGTTGGCTTACGACCTTTTACTTGTGTAGTCAGTTCTCAACATAATAGACCTCATCCAAGAGTTGGCTTACGACCTTCAACTTGTGTAGTCAGATCAAAACATAATGGACCTCATCCTCAGCCAATAGACCTTCAACCAATAGTTGGCTTACAACTTTCAACTTGGGAAGTAGTTTCTCAACAGAATAGACCTCATAGCATCTAAGTCTCATTTTTTTCATTGCAGCAAAACCAATCCAGTATATTATTGAACAGTCAACCCAAAAATCTTGCACAATTTACCCTTTACTTAAGTGTTAGTAAAGGGTAGATAATGGATAGACCTAGAGTGTACAGTTGTGGAGTCTGCAACAAGAACGCTAAAAGTAGTGCCATACTTTGCACAGGTCCATGTGGTAAATGGATCCATTTCAGATGCATAAATTTGACATACTCTGATGTAAAAACAATGTCCAAATTAGAATTAGGTAAATGGAATTGTCCTTCATGTATAAACGGTTTGGTTACTGAAACATCTAATATCAATGTGGAAAATGAGTTTGTTGAATCTGAATTAAACCTTTCCCTCGCTGCAGAAATTGGTGGCGCTATCCTCCAAGAAAATGAAAACTTGAAACAACAGTTGCATGAAATGAAGAATAAAAAGTCTTTCTATGAAATGGAACTTGAAGATAAGTTGCAGCAAAAAGAAGTTGACATAAAAACAATGACTTCAACTCACAATGAGAGAATAGAGGAAAAAAAATGCACTGATTGAAACTCTTGAGAATAAGTTAAGAACCGAGTTTCAGCTTAGGGAAGAGCTTATAAAACATGATGAATCGAACAAATGTACTAAAACTAAACCTATATCTAAAGACTATCAAACACAAATTATTCTACAAGAATTAAATCTAAAAAAACAGGAAGTAAAAAATCTTAATGCTATTATTAAAGTGTTAGAGCAAGATAAAAATACCCTAGAAAGTGAGGTATCAAATCTCCGTTCTCAGAACTCCAATCTGTGTTTGCACTGTTACCCAGTTTTAAAAAACGTTCAGAGTAATGATAGGAGGGTATTACAAAGGCCAATTCCAACTCAAAATGAAAGTCTATCATTTAATATTCCATGTAGAAATCGTTTTGATATTCTTACAGCACATGATGCTAATGTAGCAGAAAACGATGACAGGAGCGATATTTGTGCTATTGGACCTGACTCTTCCGCACCTGAAGTCACCAAATAAGTTTATTAGTAAGCCTGTGAAGAAAAAGATTTCTGGAAGGAAAACATCATCTAAACTGACAGCTTTCAAAGATACCCATTCGAATCAGGCCTACAAAAAAGCAGAAGACAATCCAAAAAAGCCTGATTATAGGATGTTGGTGTGCGCTGATAGTCATGGACGTGAGTTATCTCGGAACATAAATAATATTCTTCAGTCCCACGAAACGGTGGCCTTTGTAGCTCCTGGTGGGGGGGCGAAGCTTGTTCTTAACCCAGCAAACCTGAGGGGTGAGAAGCTGACAGAGGAAGATGTATTAGTAGTTTTGTGCGGGACTAATGATGTTTCACGTAATGAAGCACATGAAGCTATAAGTATAATAAAGGATGCTCTTGACGAACACGTTAATAAACATATAATTCTGGTGAATATTCCTCATAGATATGATCTTGCAGAGTGGTCGTGTGTTAATGAGGAAATTCGGAAAACAAATAGAATCCTGAGTGAACTGAGCTGTAATTACTCCAACGTAAAGATGGTAAATGCATATGAAGCAGGGAGGCACCTTCATACCCACCATGGCTTGCACCTGAACAACAAAGGTAAACTATGGTTATCCCAAAAAATCTGTGGGGTAGCAAAGTCTTTTTACGCTCCCATGGAGAAGATCGATCTTCAGACCCATAATCCATTGTCAGAAGTTCCTAACATGGCTGCTGTACATATTCCTGAGCCCAACCATCCACTGGAGGAAACACTGCCGGAACCATTAGTAAGAAAATCTAACACAGAAGAGCCTGGTGTGTCTGTACCAGTGATGTCAAGATGCCCTCAGAGACCAGGAGATACGAGTCAACCACCTCCTCCAGGAACAGAGTTGCTGTCGGGAAACTCCACCCCACCGGCTTCAACGGTTCATCGACAACAACTAGACCCTCTGACCCACCCATAGATTTAATAAATTTTACTAGTTGTGATGAAATTAGCTTAAGTAAGTCCAGCAAATGTAATAATGTTTTAATAAATGGTAGAACCACAAACAAGAAAAAAATCAATAGTTTTACAGGTAATAAAAGTTATAATAATGTTCACACAAAAAACACTGTAACAATTTATCACCAAAATTGTCAAAGCCTTCTGAATAAAGTCAATACATTGGAATTGATAGCAAAAGAAATGAATTTAGATTTTCTTTGTGTAACTGAACACTGGTTAAAAGTTAATGAAATTAACATATGTTCAATTAGCGACCTTCATCATGTAACTAGCTATTGCCGAACTTCTAGAATTCATGGGGGCTCAGCAATTTTTTCTCGCTATGACCCATCATGTATCAAAGTAATGGATGATATGAATAAATTATCTGTTGATTTAGACTGTGAAATAGCAGCTGTTGAAATAATAAACATGAATTTATTGCTAGTAACCATATATCGTAGTCCTAATGGAAATGTGCAACATTTTTTTACCATCTTAGAAAAGTTACTAAGCCAAATCAATCGGCAGAAAAAACAGTCAATTGTATGTGGCGACTTTAACATTAACTTTCTTAGTAATGATAGTGACTCTGTAAACCTTTTAAACCTTTTTAGTATGTATGGGTTGCATATGACAATTTATGAGCCTACGCGAGGTAATAATTGTTTGGACAACATATTCACCTCATTAGAAAATAATTATACAGCCTCTGTGGTTAATAAACATGTTAGTGATCACCTTGCTCAAGTTTTTACTTATAATTATAGGGTGGAAGAGAAGGATTACTTTCCTGTATGTAAAGGTAAAACGGTCACAAAAATAACTGAGGCTGGTATAAGAGAACTCAAGTATTATTTAAGAAAAGAAAATTGGAAAGAGGTATTTTACATTAACGATGTTAACTTAGCATTTAGTAGTTTTATAAATATTTTGTGTTTTTATTTTAACCTTAGTTTTGTAAAACATGTAAAAAAATGTCAAAGGAAAAAGAAGACCTCCAACAAATGTTCTTGGTATAATTCAGAGCTACAAAAACTTAAAGAAAGATTGGATTCTCTCTACCATTTATATAAAGACACAAATGTTGTTTGGTATAGAAATGAGTACAGAAAACTTAAAAATGTGTATAGATGTAAGATTAAAAATGCCAAAAAAAGGGAAAATGCTAATGCCATAGAAAACGCCAAAAATAAAACAAAAGCTTTATGGAATATTGTAAATAAACATAAAAATAAGTCAAGCAAATGTAGAGTAGATAATTATTTTAAGTCAGATGAATTTAATGAATATTTTGTGAATACTGCCTGTGATAATGTAAATTCTAGTCAAAATGTAGGAATAAGTAATTGTTGTAACTTTACTCATTATTTAAGGAAAAAAGTAGTACCTGATAGTGTTAGAGATTTAGTTTTTAAATATGTGACGGAAAATGATGTTTTAGATGTAGTAAAACAGTTAGCTCCAAAAAAAAGCACGGATCATTTTGGAATGACAAATGCTCTCATTAAGGAGACCATACCTTACTTAGTAACCCCATTAACAATTTTGATTAACAACTGTATGGCTCAAGGTGTGTTTCCTGATATCATTAAAATAAGTAAAGTTCATCCTATTTACAAAAAAGGAAAAAAAGATGAAATAGGTAACTATAGGCCTGTTGCCATTGTTCCTGTTCTGTCTAAAGTTCTTGAAATAGTTATTGGTAAACAGTTAATGCAATACTTAGAATCAAATCAACTCCTTTGTACAAAACAGTTTGGATTTCGTAAAGGGCTTTCAACGACACATGCCATTACTTCCTTGGTTGATGAAATTCTCGACTGTTATGAAAATAAGGATTTTGCTGCAATTACATTCTGTGATCTTAGTAAAGCTTTCGATCGAGTATCACATGAAATTTTGTTAAAAAAATTAGAATATTATAACATTAAAGGTAAAGTGTTAGATTTATTTAGATCTTATTTGTCAAACAGAACACAGTATGTAGTTTTGGGAGAGGATGCATCATCTATTAAGCCTGTGTATTGTGGAGTTCCCCAAGGATCTGTGCTTGGGCCTCTGTTGTTTTTGGTAGTAGTTAATGATTTAAGTGTTAATATCCCTGCAAATATTGTATTATATGCCGACGACACAACCATCATTACTAGACATGCAGATCATGAACAACTTTTGGTTGACTCTATGCATAATCTAAAGCTAGCTGAAAACTGGTTAATTTCTAATAATCTTGTTCTAAATAATGATAAGACAAAAACTGTTTTGTTTAACCTTCGTGAAGTACACAGTAGGCCAATGGATGAGAGAAATCCAAAATTTTTAGGATTAACTTTTGATTCTACTTTGACCTGGCATGACCATGTTATAGTTTTAAAAAATAAACTGAGTTCAAGTATATTTGCTCTTAAACAATTATGTGGCGAACTAGAACGGCCTTCTCTCATACAGGCATACTATGGACTTTTTCATAGCCATATAAGCTATGGGTTGCTTGTTTGGGGGTCTTCTGCTCATGCAAAAGAAATTTTCAATTTGCAGCAAAAGGCAATAAGGGTAATAGCTGCTGTAGATAGGCACCATGATTGCACTGAATTTTTTAAAGAATACCAAATATTAACACTGTTTTCTCTATTTATTAAGCAATGCCTGTTATACTTAAGACCACAATTAGATAAGTTAGATTATAGGAGAGATATACACTGCCATAATACTCGCCATAAATGTAATATAAATCTTCCTTATGTTAGACTTGCTAAAACTGATAAAAAACCATTAATTTTAAGCAGTAAATTTTATAATAAGTTACCAATAGCCATAAGATTACTTAATGATAAGGATTTCAAGATTAAAATAAATAACTTTCTTTGTAATCAGCCATTATATTCAATAGAAGATTATATGTCAAGAACACTGACTCCACTAGATTTTAATTAATGTTATATCTTATGACTAATTTGACGTGCCAATGTATTTGTATGGAATATTAACTGGCAAATAAAAATCTCATTCTCATTCATTCATCTCATTCTCATTCATTCTCATTCACTCATTCATTCTCATTCTCATTCTCATACCTACTTAAAAAAAACTGTTTACCTCAAGCATACAGTAAGACATTCTTTGAGAGATATTTTTTCCCTCCGGTTAGTTATTTTTTTTTGTTATGTGCTCTTCAACGTAACCAAATACTTCATCAAACTCTTCCTTAGATAATCGGAAATATCCTCTTCACTTATCCTCATCCTGTTCTAAATACTTCATAAGGTGATGGTATTCACCATTCAATTTAGTTTTTTTGTTAATGGGATGCACCAAATGTTTGATATTAGGTAATGAGTACAACAGCACCAAGTCCAAATCATCATCCTGGAATCGTCGTCCTCCCCTAACTTCGTAATGCATTTATGAAAATCATTACTGCACCACACTACGTTGTTACACGCCATTTTAAAACACCAAACTAGTGAAAACACAAGGTAGAAGGGAGAAGAAATAGTCCGCCTGCTAGCGAACTCCTGCGGTGTTACAAAAAATCTGTCTGCCTGCAGGAGTCTGTCTGTCTCTGTGTGCGCCGGCCTTCATAGTACTGTAAGACATGTGAACAAAAAAATGTAAATACCCCATCTGTATTTTGTGGCTTTAAACATGATTTTGCCATGTTGTATGTTTCAGGTGGCCATTTCTAGGTCCAATTAAGCTTTTATTTTTGCAATTGTAGCCCAATCTAAAATTAAAAATTTGTCTTCGATCGCAGGTGATGTTCACAGTTTTATCTATCCTAGGAGACAATGGTGATGTCCCCATGGTTCCGGATTGGGTTCACGTTAGGTTGACCACCATATGTTCTCAGGTTGGGGTGGCCACAGAATAGGTTCACGATTTCGTCTGAATGTTTTTGAATTTTCCATAACCGCGCGGAAGATGTTCATGGTGTCTCCGTGATAACAGAAGACCTATGCTATTTTCCTGTGACCACAAAAGACATTCACGATTTTGCCCTGACCGCAAAAAAATTATCTTGATTTTGTCGTCACTTCAGAAGATGTTCAAGTTTCACTGCGATATAGGGGAGATCATGTTCAATATTGTTCAAGCCAATTGTAGTATTACTATTCAAATATTTTTTAAATTTGTATTTTCCAAAGCAACCTGATTTTGGCCCCTCCTGGTTTTTTCACCTCACCTGACTCAAATGGAAACTAAAAGTCTGGCTCACAGCTCCTACTAGAAACAAAAACTAGTTAAATAAGAGAGCTTTTAATCTCACCTATCTGGCTTCGGATGCTGTTGTCTTGTTCTGCATGATGCATAAATGCTTTGATAGTGTCAACGAGAGTGCAGGCCGAGGTCAGATCTAGGACATGCTCATGACACTGTGTGAGGTACTGTACACAGTCTCTCACCAGCTGAGGTCTGGACTTGGTCTTGGCCTGCTCACCACTCACACGACCAGCCACCTTCTGTAGTGCAGCTGACAACAGATAACATAGAATATAGAATCCTATAAATTTTTTGATTATCTGCAATCAGATGTCAATGATTTTTTATGTGCCTAACAGTAGGTGAATACCCATTCATTCATTCATTTCAGCGTCATTCAAATAGCATTAGGTTTAACGAGTACATAGGTTTGCTGCTACAAGGAAACTAGTAAAGTGTGTTTTTAGTATAATATTATTAGCTTAGTATAAAATAAATTTGCCAAGTTTGATCAAAATCCATACTAATATATAAAAATGAGATGGTGTGTGTTTGTGTGTCTGTCTGCTACTTTATAACGCAAAAACCACTGAACCGATTGAAATAAAATTTTGTATGAAGGTAGCTTATATACCTGGTTAACATATAGGCCTATTCCTTTTATCATATTCTCCTTGGGCTACGCCCCATGGGCTTCCAAAGTTTCAATGATTATATTTTGGAAAAATGTAAATAGTAAAAAATATTAATTGAAGTCAGCTGTAAATACTATAATTTGACAGTTCAAATAGGTACACTTCAAATAGGTTGTTAAGAGGTACAGGTTCTGCTCCCAAGATTCTAAAGCTTTATGATTATGAGAATAGTTTGATTAAAATATTTATGAAAATTGAAAATATACTTATTTTCAAGGAAACAGAAGGATTTTATTCATTACAATGTATACATTTTTGGAATAATTTTGATATGGTAGCTTTTTGTTTACGAATTTGATCTGATAAACAAATGTTTGGATCAGGATTTTAATAGGTTTTAAAAACTAAGAGATACCGTATAATGTATATATACTGGTACAGTTTATAAAATTTAACTGACTCAATGTTTACACCTATTTGTGTTTTAATTAAATTTACAAACTAAATTTCAACTAAACCTACTTTTATTCTGTCCAGAGGTAGCTACTACTTATATTTACTTCTATCATCTACTTCACATTTGCTTTTTTTTACATTTACAGAAACCTCCTTCGTAGTTGTGGTTTTACAACCCTGCTTTAATTTGACAATGGAGAATATCACAAAACTATGCTGCACGCAATTCACTTTTGTTTCTAAAATCAATTCAATATCTGTAACATAACTATGTTTCTTTAGTCAATGTTTTCAACGATGATGTAAATACAAATACATACACGTTTTGAACTATGGAACGAGTTAAAATAATAACTAATTTGTATTATGTTGTTGATTTATACTTAAATTGATGATATTTGTGCCTGATTAACAATAATAGTGGTTGGCTTTCAAACAAAAGGTAATACAAGTTTTCCATTAGTTTATTTTAGCGAATTTCCCATATAGGGAATAAGCTATTACCGTAGTACTCATGGTAAGACCTGGATGCGGGACCGATTTTTTTTTTCGTTTTGAGGTCCCTAGAGGCCAAAAACACCATCCGTTCAAATTCATATATATATATATATTTATATATTTATATATATATATATATATATATGTGTCCGTCAGCACGATAACTCAAGCAAAAATGATCCGATTTTGATGAAATTTGGTACAAACGTGTAAACCTACGTTTATTCGAACGAGTTCGCGATCCAGCATGATCGGACCATGGGAACGGGTGTTTACGGGGGGTTTTATGGGGTAAAAATAGGTTTTTCCCATTTTTGACCCAAAAAACTTAAAATTTTGCAATTTATTTCCAAACCATTTTGTAGAGCTTAAAAAAACAAATAATTTAGTATATTGAAGCGTTATTATGCGCCTAACGGTTACGGAGAAAATGCAAAAAAATTGTAAATTTAAAATTCCCATGTTATTTTTATGGAGAATAAGTAAACGGTTGTAGTTTGCTTGTTTATGAACATATTTTGATCAAATTTGGAAAATGTTTTTATTTCTTACTAACTATTAACATTTAAAAAAAAACAATTTTACCCTCCCTGATGCAGCAAACCTAAGTACTTGTTAAACTAATTCTATTTAAATCGGGAATAAATGTTATATTTTTAAGTAGACATTTCAGTGTAAATCCAATCAGTCAAATGGAAATTCGCTTAGTCTGCAGGTTTGCTGCGGCGGGGGTATTTTCTTATTATTGTGATATATACACACTGATCTGCAGGTAAAAATTGAACTTTGAAAAAGCTCAGCTGCTATGGTAAAACATATCAATTATATGTGGTTAAATCATTATAAACTGTTTTTTTCTTTACTACAGTGCCTTAAGTTGTACGATTATTTTTCCTTATTTAATTTATATGTACGTTTTTCAACGAAATAAATTTTTAAGTAAGCTTATCATTTGAAAATTGAATCGTAAGGGTACATTATTTCCATCAGCGCCTCATATCATTCCTAGCCTTATAAGTTAGCCTAGCCTTAAAGAAAGATACTTTTTTAAACTTAGAGTTTCAATTGAGTTATGTTCCAGAAAACAAAGGGGAATGTGTAACTATTTCATACAACAGAATTCAAGATCAAATTTTTCACTTCAATGTCCTCTCCGTTGCCAAACACGGGTACAACAGCTAGTATCCATTAAAAAGAAAACTACAACATTTTACAATATTCTCCATAAGAATAACATGGAAATTTTAAATATACAATTTTTTGAATTTTCTCCGTTACCAATAACTGTACAAAAACACTTCGATAAACTAAACTATTTGTTTTTCAAGCTCTTTAAAAAGGGATAGGGAGACATTGGGAATTTTTTTGTTTTGAGGGTAAAAAATGAGAAAAACCAATTTTTACCCCACAAAACCTCCCGTAAAACCCCGTTCCCATGGTCCGATCATGCTGATTCGCGAACTCATTCAAGTTTATCCCGCATTACACCTTGAAACCAAATTTCATCACAATCAGGAATTAGACAAAAAATACTCAAGTTATCGTGTTCACGGACACACACATATATATATACATACATGCATATACATATATATATATATGTATATGCATACAAATTTGAAGGAATTGTGTTTTCGGTCTCTGGGGACATCAAAATAAAAAAGTAAATCGGTCCCAGGCCTAGGTCTTAGCGTGCCACCTACAGTAGTAGCTACTTCCCTATAGGGAAGTTTGCTAAAAGATCGAATGAGCTCAACATTTTCAAATAGAAGTATGGTCGAGTTTGGTATCATTTTCAGGTCTTAACAAAACTAAACAATCAACATGAATAAAATAGAAATCGGACCACTAATAACAAAATGGCAGCTAAAAATGGTTAAGACAATGGCCATTAAAAGTAATTTTTAATAATAATAAGTTCCTATTAAGTTATTCAATATTTAAATACAATATTGTGTTATAAAAACCAATAATATGGGTTAAATTTAGTGTTGCGGAAGAATAAAACTCTGTATACGCCTGTTCCTGTTTTTCTGGTGGCGCTGCTCTAGGGTTAGCAAAAAGTTTATATTTATTATTTACGGAAAGTAAATAAAAGAAAAGTCTTATAACACTTAAAACATATATTTACGCATATACTGTTACTCACAAGACGGTAAATATACAAAAAAGGTGGTAAGTGGTATATTTACCGTCTTGTAAGTAACAGTGTAAGCGTAAATATATGTTTTAAGTGTTATAAGACGTTTCTTTTATTTACTTTCCGTAAATTTAATAACACGTACAATGCTGATCAAGAAGTTATTTATTTATTATTTACATACATACTAAGTTTACTAAAGATCGGTTGAAAAACTTCAATAATAAAAATGATTATGTATAAAAAACTGAATGGTGGATATCAGGGTAAAAATGTATTTTCGGACATGGCTTTACTTACATAAACCTTTTATTTCTTTTGGTATGAGGATCAATATCCCAAAGTCCTAAAACGTTTTTAATGAACACTCTGTATATATAGATTTTTGGCCCAAAATTCTGCTGTTTCCTGACCGTAATCTGTTCAGACAGGCTACTTATTGACCATGCAGTTTTCTATCTTCCTATGTAGGTTGACCAATGACCATGGCAGGACAGGAGAGAAAATGCATCACCTTTGATGTTAGTGGCAGCTGACAGCCCTGGTCACAGGCTGTTGCGTGTAGCCTTGATTATCAGGCTCCTAGGCTATGTTTCTGGTGCGTGTGGTGAGAAACTGCAGTCGACTATATCATCATACCAAGTTAAATAATGGTGCTTTTATCTTACCTAATAGGTAGTTGCTATTTGCAGGATTTTGTAAGCCAACCCAGGAGAACAGTATTGCCAGGATCCTCAACAATCTTGCTTGACACGTCTTGATTTCTGCTGAGCCTTCCATGAACATTCCTGTTGAGTCTAGGATCCCATCATTGACTTTAACCAGGTTCTAGAAAAGAATACATGACATTATTATTATTGTGGGTTCAACCCATTGACACTATGTAGCTCATCACCACATTTTGCAAGAAGGTAGCAATACTGCTAACACACTGTCCCATAAGTACTGTAGTTTGTCCAATCTAACCTACAACCCTGCAAGCACTAGTGCCACCATGTGCTTGTACTGGCACTCAACACTCGTCCCACTTGGCCAAGTTGGTCAGGTTAGGTTTGAATACCAGTAATATCAGGAAATACTATTAGTAGTGTATCTTGAACATAATCACACTTTCCACTATTTTGCTCTCCACAACTATTGGAACTATCATATGTGTTAAGCTAACTAAAGAGTGTGTGTTTAAAAGATTGATAGAAAACATGAAAATAATTAATAAGTTAAAAGATAAAGTCACCAAAAAACAAGACAAACCTGAGTAAACTCGACGGTTTTCTCCAAGAAGCCACACAAGAACGACAACAGCTTGATTGTGTTCTTTGCGATATGTAGCGGGGGGAATTTGTCCAAGTTTTCAAATCCAACCACATTGTTACTGTTGGCAGTTTTGAGGAAGGAGATGCGCTTGTGAGAGGCTGTGAGAGAATGAGACAACTTGGAGACATAGTCGTCCAGCAGATATAGCAGCTCTGACGGGCCCAGCTCTGCGGTGAACTGTCCATCCTGGAAAAACAAGTAGGTAGAAAGGGAGAATATGGTCAATAACAGATCTCAAATACAGTATATTAAATTTCAAATATCTTTGATCGTAAAACACTTTTTACTTGCTGGTTCATAATATGAAAAATACAAGTTGTTACTTTGACCAGTTAAATAACTACTCTTGGGCCGATACCGATTCTCGATACCGGTGGTGTTAAAAAAAAATCGCCGATATTCAATACTTCACTCCAGTGTACTCGATACTGATTCTGAAAAGTGAGGTTAATTATGATGCAAAACTCTACTGACGTTGAAGATTGTAAGGAGTGCCACATCATAGTTTATTTGGAACACTCTAAAGTCGGCTAATATAAATTATTGCAAGTTTATTATATCATTGTTCGTTTTATGATCCAAAATAGTGTACCTTTGCATTTCTCAACAAATAACTTGTTCAACTAACTACTAGTTGAATACTAGTTGATACTAGTTTAATTATAGAGGCTTATCACTTGCCACCTTTTTATCAGATCGAGGGTGATGTTGCCAGATGGTACAAGAATATATAAATATAGTACACACAAAGTGTAAATAGTGTAAATAGTAAATGGTACTAGTATAATTCCTGTTTTCTACCTCTTGATAGGCTTTATGTACATTTCATTTCCAAATGTTTAGAGGAAAAGGTCATAGGATTTGAGTTTTGGTTTAAACACTTAATCAACAGGTCAGAGAATGAAAATAAAATAACACTACTGTATAACAAAGGGTAAACAAATAACTGTAAACTATCCAACCAGGTAATACTTTTTCCAATTCAATGGCACCTCATCTGCTGAAGATCATTTGAATTCTCAAATGAGACTTGACTGTATTTTTTAGTTCTACTACCAAATGTCAAGGTCTGCTCCACTAGTTAGTTACCTTCTCTGGCGTAGGAGCGAGTGTCAACGGCTGAGTCAACACTAACCACACATCAATGTCGAGCTCTCTGAAGTATACCCTGTATTTGGTAAGATCTGCCAACCGCTCTTCTGTCACTTCTTCTTCCTCTTCCTCACTCACATGACTCATCTCCGCCACCGTTCCTGTCAAAGGTTGATCCTCCTGATTCTTTTTGCTTTTCTTCTTCCCTTTCCTTTTGGTTTTCTTTCTAAAAATAGTGAAAATGAAAATATTTATAAAAAAAGAGAGAACCCCTAATATTTGTTCGTTCTACCCCAAGTCTGGGGGAGAAAACAAACAGGTTATATGAGGAGCATTATAAATGACGAAGGCCAGAAAGCAACACTCATTAAGAGAGACGAATACAACATTTTACATAGAAAAACTGCACTTAGCAATATGCATGATCAGAAATATATTAAAATCAAATCAAATCAATTTATTGACACAAATAACAGTAACTGGTGTCTCGTCAATTAAATTATATTGTTATAAAAATGTGGCAGATATATAATCATGGCATGCTATGTACATATTATTTCGTATTTCAATTAACACTTATTAAGGAAAACCTTTGATCTATTAAAACTAAAACATAGCCTGTTTAAAAGACAAACTATACTAAGCATAAAATACTCCCACCTCAGCAAACCTGCAGACTAACCGAATTTCTACTTTTAAATGTGGGCCTACAGTAAAGTGGAAAGATTAGTTTTAAAAAATTAGACCAATTAAATTTATATTTCTAAAAGTCTAATTTGACAAGGGTCTCTTTCTCAGGGTAGGGTGTCGTGCTGGCTTGAATGCAATGATTAAATTAATAAAATATGTCCAAATAATTAAAGTTTAATCTAAAATATTCCAATAATTAAATAAAATGTTGATGTCCAAGTCCACTGAATTTACTTATAACTTAGGTTTTAAAAAGAAAATGTTTACTTAAGTTTTGAAGATATGCTAAATATAAAATTATGTCCTCTTGAGGTGCAAATTGATTAAACGTTTTCTCGAAGATATTCTTAAATTACAGTCTTGAACCTCAATAGTGTTGAAAAGACATATATCTTACTTGGCTGGTTTCTCCTGACTACTGCTGGCCTTGGGTCTGGGTAATGCCTGGAAGTAGCAGACTGGAGGAGTATACTGCATGGCCAGAGGCAGACAGCGTGACAAAAGTCCTCTTAACCACACAATCAGTCGTACACGCATTACCACCTACACACACAAACACATGTTGGACCTTGTATTTGTGGTTAACAGCATTAGCAATACTAAATATGTTTGAGGTTGCAATGTCAGTAATTTAACTGGCCAGTGATGTTGCTGGTTGCTAGTTTTGTGGTGGTCAGTTGCAAATGATTGTGGTAGTGGACTTGTGGTTTTTGTGTGTTTGTGGCAGTTGTATTGCTAATGATTATTTTTTAAGTTGAGTGGGTCATCTTTTGTGACCGTCATGTTGCTTATTAAATCTGGAAGCATCTTTTTTGTTCTATCAAAAAACTTCAAAGCTTAGTTGGGTTTTTTCCCCACTGTCTATAGCAAACTATACGAGGACTGCAAGTTGTATTGCATTATTCCAATAATGATCAACTAACACTTAAGTTTGAACAGAAATATTTCAGTTCAGATAAAACCTCTAAAAAGGGAGGTATTTTCAACAATCAAAAAATAATATGGAAAAATCAATCAAACATACAAACATCAATAGACTGCAAACTGCAAGTAGAACAATAATTGTACCTTTTCGGGTTCGTTTTTCTTGATCAGATAGGAGAAGCAGTTGACGATTTCAATGAGCCAGTTGACACAATGGAAGAGGCAATGCAGTGAGACATGTTGCTGGTAATCAGTGACCTGTCCAAACTCTGTATACACCTGAGGCGCCGGAAGACATATGTGACAACCCAGCAGTGCGTCTATCTCACTCAGGTCACTCATCTCCAGTCCTCTCAGCAGCCTCAACAACGGGTGTAGACAACTCACTCCCACAGTAGACCTCCTGTACCAAATCACAATTACAACTCTGTGTACAGAGAGATGTGACAGCTAAGCAGTGCGTCATTCTCACTCAGGTCACTCATCTCCAGTCCTCTCAGCAGCCTCAACAACGGGTGTAGACAACTCACTCCCACAGTAGACCTCCTGTACCAAATCACAATTACAACTCTGTGTACAGAGAGATGTAACAGCTAAGCAGTGCGTCATTCTCACTCAGGTCACTCATCTCCAGTCCTCTCAGCAGCCTCAACAACGGGTGCAGACAACTCACTCCCACAGTAGACCTCCTGTACCAAATCACAATTACAACTCTGTGTACAGAGAGATGTGACAGCTAAGCAGTGTGTCATTCTCACTCAGGTCACTCATCTCCAGTCCTCTCAGCAGCCTCAACAACGGGTGCAGACAACTCACTCCCACAGTAGACCTCCTATACCAAATCACAATTACAACTCTGTGTACAGAGAGATGTAACAGCTAAGCAGTGCGTCATTCTCACTCAGGTCACTCATCTCCAGTCATCTCAGCAGCCTCAACAACGGGTGCAGACAACTCACTCCCACAGTAGACCTCCTGTACCAAATCACAATTACAACTCTGTGTACAGAGAGATGTAACAGCTAAGCAGTGCGTCATTCTCACTCAGGTCACTCATCTCCAGTCCTCTCAGCAGCCTCAACAATGGGTGTAGACAACTCACTCCCAGATTAGACCTCCTGTACCAAATAACAATATTACAACTCTGTGTACAGCAAGATGTGTCAGCCCAGCTGTGCGTCATTCTCACTAAATTGTACATAGGCCAATCGCTGTATATATGTATGTATTTATGTATATAGGACGCTCTTTCAAAACCAAATTTAAGGAACATCTCCGTAAGATAAAAACTGTCGCAACAACGTTCCAAATTCGCAGAACACTTACCAAATGCCAAACATTTTTTTCATTTTTCGTAGGACGCTAGGCACAAGCCTGGGATTGGTTTTCACATTACTTCAGGCTAGGGTTGCGGCATTATCACTTAGATAAAATCCATTAGGTATCAGGCGGGATTTGAACCCGGAATCTCAGGGACCGAAGTCCCACGCTCTACCACTAGACCAGCTCGCTCCCCATTTATGAAATGCCAACCGTAACTATTGATTAGTTGTCAATTTATTTTACAGATTTTATACAAATCCAGTAAAGGTCCCCTCATGAACGTTTTAGATAACTTTGAAATTCATAAAGCCACAGAAAAATCCCCTCTTGACGTCCTGAGCAAAAAACTAAATTCTGGCTCGAATACTTTATTCGATAGGACAGAAATTGTCAACAATAGATCTAATGCTATAATGGTTACGTACCATTATCGCTCCCCATTACATACCATTACCAGCTGACGTACCCCCACTCCACCCGCTTCGACAACGGCTAATTTTGTTGAGCCCGCCCGTGCTAACTGCATCGGTGTGTCCCTCGTATAAAAGTGGCCGGCCTACCATCATTAAATACTCTTTGTGTTAAAATGTGAACTTTATGTGTCAAAGTGTATCTATTTATTATAACAAAGACTTCCATCGGATACCTGGACCATCCAATTTGATGTGGATTTGAAAATGGGTCATTGGCCAGAATTAGTCACCCTTGACGATATTAAAGACTGAAGACGGACAAAAAGGTATGTAATCCATTATAAATTTCCTTTTACATTTATTATCCTTTAAATGATTTTAGAAGCTTCTTACAAGAAAGAAATAGCAACCTTTCATTACAGTATGAGAGTAAATATCACCCCTTCAGTGATCTGCAGTTCACAACAACTAACCTCAGGTTATTTTAGGAGGCGTTTGTTACTCAACCTAAACAAAATTTAGTGAGTCGGTAGCGCCACGGACTTAGGGGCCCAATGCAGCAATGTCGTGGGTTTGGGTCCTGGTACCAGCCATCTACTTTTTATCAGTACAGTTCACCCTTGTACTGTAAAGGCTCATCCATTGCTTTGCTGCATATGTTCCACACTCAGGCCTCTGTGGCCCATACGGACAGGCAAATGCAAGGTAAAAAAAGCCGTCAACGTTATCAATACTAAATCGGGAGTTGATTGGCTTTTATTTGAGCCATGATAGTGTCAATAAATTATTGAATGATTAATCTGTATGGTTTAAACCCAGCCAAATTATAAATCATAATTGAACCCTGGCCACGCCCGACTAAGCACATCTGAGGCTTAAGGTGTAAAATTTACCCTTCCCAAAATTAACACCTTACAACAAGAAATTAAAAAATTAAACTACTAAGTTAAAATGCCATAAGATGAGCTTTGTTTTCATGCGATAGTTTATAGGGTTAATTATTACTGATGGTATTAAATGTGTACTATACTATAGGTAGGCCTATATGATTTCAATTTGCAGTGTTCTCATTGCCTCACCCTGTATACTATAGTAAAGAAAATGATAGAACTTTAATTGCAAGACAGTACTTACATCCTTTCTGAGTTTTGTTCGTTTACAACCAAGTCTGCCAAGTTAAGAGCTATAGACCCCTCTGGATCATCATCCAAATAAAACTGAAGGGAGGTTTCGATAACATCGCCCCTGAAACATGTAACATTTCTTTAATAAATTATTAAATTAAAACATCCATAAACCATGACTAAGTGTACATCAGTTAATTGTTTATTAATACTGTACATGGAGTTATTGACTATCAACAATCATCTCTTAGTCTTATAAAAGTACAATAGAACCCCGGTTATTAGAAATAAAGGGGGGAAAGCCGTTTCGAATAACCAATTTTTTGGTAAATTCCTCATTTGCTAAAAATAGCCTATATATTACCTTGGTGAGTTGGAAAAATGGATTTAAAATAATGTCTATATAATACAGTATTTTATTTTAGCTACAGAAATGTTACAATGGGTTAGAAAATACCTTCAACTATACAACTGAAGTTACTAAAGCATTTTACATTACGTATTACTTATATTTTAGTCCTGTATTATTTTATAGAACCGTCTTGTTTAACCCGAATTCGGTTAAACGGGGTTCTACTGTATAGGATCATTAAATGAATTTAGTCCATACAAATTTAAACACAGTATTGAAAACGAATACTGGAAATATTACAGATACAAATTTAAACCCCTTCTAATTATATAAGGTAAGAAAATTACATTTAAACTGTGAACTCTTGATATTTATTTTTTTCATTTTTATTTAGACAAAACTCTTAGCAGACTGGCTAATCCACTTAGCTTTATTTGTCTACTATGTGTGGGATTTTACAATTGAAGATAACAACCATGTTACTGTCCCATTTGGATAGACGAGTATTTAAATGAAAAACTAGGTACAGTAGAATCCCGCAAACTCGGCACTCGATAACCCGGCAGTCTGGAAAACTCGGCCTTCACCTGGCTAAGATAATTAGTGATTTTTTGTGTCCGAGTTAAACATTGACTCAAGCCAGGTCAAGTCATATAATTCACAACTCTGTACCAAGGATTTTTTGTACTATATCTGATCACTTAATACTGGCTTGTTATATAAAAAAGGCAGTTAAAAAGCTTTAAAATTGTATTGATCTGATTTTTAACCCTAGTTCCCAATAATCCGGCATTTCACAAACTTGGCACCCTTCCAATCCACATTACGCCGAGTTTGCGGGACTCTACTGTAACTAGAAGTAGAGTGATTACAGGTCAAGTGTAATTTCCTCACATTATCTTTTTAAGAGGAGTTATTGAACTGACATCTGTAATACATATCTGAAGTATTCATTTTCAACACTTTATTTCAATTCAATGAAATGATGCTTTATAATTTAACTGTTTTTTTTTATTCATATATAATTTTATTTTAATTTTAAGATGCTGTACACTTTAGGCACATGAACACAGCACTAACACTTTTGTTTGCTGTCGGCCTTTACAAAACAGAGGATACAAATTGTGTGTGAGAAGCCCCTAATGAAATGTTTGGGTTGGGACACATTTCATTAAGTAATTCCATTGAGCAACCTATTTTATAAATTTCTTACTATGTACCGGTAACGTATTTGAAAATTATTAAGAAAACAAAAGGAGAGTTTTAGAGTATACTTACTTTGATACAAAATCCGAAGCAGAAATCAAAAAGTCATCTTGAAGTTTGTCCCTCATCAGACTAGAGAGTTTTGTCTGAAAACAATAGAGGATAAAATAAAAAAAATATTTCAAGAGAGCTATTTAAGTCCCTGGTCTTTGAGAGAGGATAAAGCTAATGTTGAACAAGTTTATTTAATACTAGCAGAGTACCCGTCCTTCGTACGGGGTTGGCATATAAGTATCAAATGCTTATAGCAGTTATGAGTGAGGAGATGGTTTAAGAAATTTCGGTTCTTTTTGAAGTTCGTTCGCTACGCTCACTCACCTTTAGGTTGGAGCTCGTTCGCTGCGCTCACTTTCCTTCAGGTTAGCTCGTTCGCTACGCTCACTTGCCTTCAGGTTAGCTCGTTCGCTACGCTCACTCGCCTCCAGGTTGAAGTTCGTTCGCTACGCTCACTCACCTTTTGCTGTTGTCATAAATGTAAAAGAAATAATAGTGCTAGTGCTGCACCCTGTTGGTAATCCTTGTAACTTTTAAAGCTATTGAACATCATAGAACATAACCAACTTGTTTAATTGAAACAGCTGTTAAGATTCATTAATTCCATTTCTCATAAGGTTAACATGGGAAACTCCAGAGCCACTGGGGCGGAGCCCCGAAGGATTTTTTGGGATAAAAATATGCCTATATGTTAATCGGGAATGTGAGCTATCATCATGCCAAATTTCAGCCCGATCCGACCAGTAGTTTTTGAGATTAGCTCATACAAACACACACACAGACACCACCTCTTCTTTATAATAGTATAGATAGATAGATAGATAGATAGATAGATATGTTTATTTAATGTATGTGAAGAAAGAATGGCGATATAAAATGATAAGAATGTTTGAATAGTAAGAAGTTAGATGGCAAAGGTTTTTAAAAGTGTTAGAATTGTTGATAAATAAATAATAGTAAAAATAGATGTGTGTATTTAATTTTAAAATTTCTCAGCAAAACCTAAGATCGTGACATGGACTTCATGGTGAAAAACTGTGGAAGAGTGTCAAAAATGACAAAAGGTAGGTTTGAAAAGCAAAAAGTAACACTCAATCAATTTTAGCATTTTAACCACTTTCGAAGAAAGGTTAAAAAACCAGTTTTGTTATGTTGATGATGTCCAATCTTAAGAATCCACACAAAGACATGACAAAAAAAATGTAGGTAGGCCTACAAATTTGGCATGAAGTAGAAATAGAACTGGTCTGGGTGCGTGGTGTTGCTAACAGATGAATCATGACAACGATGAAGAAGATTTAATGGCATGGTATTAGAGATGAATATGAATCCTAAGGTTTTAAACACTTGGTTGTCCAAAGAAAACTTAAATCACCTGACTGTGCTCTACTTGTATTTAATGTGTTAACTACTAGTAACAGTAGTTACTAGTTACTAGTACAATTTTTTTTTTTTTTTTTTTAGGGAGAGGAGGGAAAATGTACAATAGAGTCCCGCAAACTCGGCGTAATGTGGACTGGAAGGGTGCCAAGTTTGTGAAATGCCAGGTTATCGGGAACTAGGGTTAAAAATAAGAACAATAACATTTTTTTATCTTTTACCTGCCTTCTTTATTTATATTTATAATACAAGTCAGTATTAAGTCATCAGATATAGTACAACAAATCCTTTTTACGAGTTGCGAATGATTTGACTTGAGATGGCTTGAGTCTATGTTGAATTCGGACTCAAAAAATCACTAATTTCCTGAGCCATGTAATGGCCGAGTTATCCAGACTGCCGGCTTATCGAGTGCCGAGTTTGCGGGACTCTACTGTAGTTAGTTACTAGTAGTTACTAGTTCAGGCTAGCTGAACGTCAACAATACCAGGTTGGAGACTTGAAAAGCAAGGAGCTGACTTCTACTAACAATTAGCGGTGATCTAATTTACTTTGATTTCATTTTGTGCTTAATAGATAGCGTTAGTAGTATGTATTAAAATTCTACAGTTGGATCAAGGAGCCTGTCAAAATAGTAAAATTATGATGACACAATCAGCTAGCAGAGTAACCAATGCAGGAGGTAAGAAAAGTAGTGAAGATAGTTCTGGAGGTAACAGATTACAATCACTGTGCACAGTGCAAAATTGCCGATCTAGTTGGCAGTAAAGTCTAGTGGTTGTTTGTGCTCAAAACCTGTAATGCTAACTCAATTGTTTAAATAAACATTACACCAAGACCTGATTATATTTTTAATACAAAAAACCATGTATCTACTTGTATTGAAATAAAATAAGATAAATGAAATCCTTATAAATTAAATAAATTAACTTCAAAAATGATATCCTTCACCATCAAACTCAGGATTTATAAGACAATCATCAGACCAGTTCTCCTGTATGGTTCAGAAAATTGGATCTTAAGCAAGAAATCAGAAAGAAAAGCTATTGTATTTGAGAACAAGATTTTGAGGAAAGTGTACGGACCGATTTTTGAGGATGGACAATGGAGATCGAGACATAATTGGGAACTTAGAGAATTATTTAAGGATCCGGATATTGTCGCTGAGGTATGGAGCAGAAGACTGAGATGGGCAGGGCATATTCTAAGAAAAGATGACAACTCCCTATCAAAGAACATCTTGAGGAATAACCCAGAAGGTAGAAGACCCCTTGGAAGACCGAAACTTAGATGGTTCGACCAAGTGGAGAAAGACCTGAGGAAGCTAGGGAGAAGGAAGGAATATGCAAGAAGCAGAGACCCTTGGAGGCAGTGTGTTGGGGAGGCCAAGAATCTAGGGTACCAGTGGCCACAGCAGTAAGTAAGTAAATTAAATCTAAATCCTATCAAAGGTATACTTTACCAAAAGGGTAATGAGGTAAAGTACCCTCAGAAGCAGGCGAATTGTTAACACTACCAGTTTCTAAGTGAAAAACAAGAAAAACCTAGTGGAAATCTAATAAATCATTAATATTGAATACATATAGGATCTACACACCACAAATGTTGGGTCCAATGCTTTGCCGGAGATGAGGAGATGAGACAGTTGGTCCAGTGCTAGACCCTGGGCTTCTACACAGTCCTTAGTGCTGCTCAACAGGAGCTCTGCAAACAGTAGCCACAAGTATTAACCCTTTCAACTCCACTTATTACTCAGAAATTTTTAAATTTAATTAAACCTTTTTCACCGCATTTCTCCTTATCTATAACACAGAAATCTAAATAGTTTTAAAACTAGTTTTCTGTGGACCTCCAGTGAGACACTTGGTAAAAAGTAATATAATGCCTGAAATAAAGAGCACATCACAAAGAATCCACCTATCCCGTCAGCTTCCGCCCGAGCTGTCACTGTTAGCCTGTGTCATCGACGTGTTTCGTCTAACTGCGCGCTCTGGCACGAGAATACTGCACTGAAGACAGTCCGCCACCACGCCGCTGGGTGGGCAACAGGGCGGCCCCACATTGAAGTAGCATTGTACCCGCAGAAATATCACAGTTTTTAACCTCTGCTTTGTAAGCAGAACGTTTCGAATTTGTTTATTTCTTTTAGTTAAATATTAAATATGTATTTTATATTTTATCTCTTCAGTGCAATATCAAAACTATTATATAAACACCCAGAACAGTTTTTTAACATTAATTTTGTATGTAGCCATCAATATATAACGAAGGTTTTGTGGTATTTATCCATTGCTATGGATCATTCTATTCAGTCATTTTGTTTCAGGACTTTAATTTTATAATATTATATAGTATGTAATTTATATCATATTATATTGAGTTTTAATGTTTATTAGATAAATTAAAGTTAAATCACAACTAAAAATGTTGCTGTTGCCCACCCAGTGGTGCGGCGGAGGACTGTTTTCGCTTACCTGCCGTGCACAATCCAGTTAGACTTTACATTGATGGCCTGTGTTACCTCAGGTGAACTCCTCATGAGTTGCACATCAGACCAGATCGAGACAGGATTCAAACCCTAGTGTTCACTGTTCAGTACTATCTCCAAACCTTGAGGCCGCCCAGACATTATACAGACCTAAAGGTGAATCAGGGCCGTAACTAGGCGGTGGCGAAATAGGCGCCGTTATGTTTATTTATTTATTTATTCAACCAATACATAAATATGAGAAAACGTAATATTAGTTAAAAAAAAAAGAACAGTTTTAAAAGCGTTGATGTAAATTGTAATTTTTTAGAATTTTTTGTTGAGTTATTCGTTATCTTTTGTAAATGGAAGGTTAGTCATGTTACTCACAAGAATTTAAATCATCAAAACAAACTTACCAAGGAGTTGTGACGCCTTTGCAGCTTTATCTGATGTATGATTTTTCTCTGAAGCAAGAGAGTCAGTTGTACATTCAGAAACAGTGGTGACATGTTTGATTGTCATTACACATCCAATTATTCCATTACGTTTCACACTGAAACACAAAATTAATCTTTTATTGCACCCTACAGGGATAGGTTACTACTTCATTATTTAAAAGATTGATGTTGTAACGAGTTATTTTTCCTAGTGGGGTAGATTTTTGTTTGGCTGCACACCGATTGTTGGGGTAAGCAAGCAGCGGCGGTGAAGCTAGCTAGCGCCCTTTGACCCGGCTTATCAGTTCCGATAAGCCTAGGGTATCCTGTAACTTCAGGACAGTCTAAGACAGACATTCGAGTAGTGGATCCCGGACAGTGAGGAGTAGAGTGTTGTGTCTGGTGTAGACGATGAGTGTACTGGTGTACGTTGGTGGTGTGGTGAACGGTGAGTGTCGGAGTTCAAGTTGGGTGCTACTAGTGGTGAGTGACGACTTTCCTTAATATTTTGGTAGGAGTGTCATACTATAATATCTACCTAGAGAATATTTATTCCCTGATTTTATTACGGCTATTTGGATTATTTAAAGTCAATGGTACAACAGCCTTATTCAGGCGACCATAATTATTGGTTATTCACTTAATAGCAAATTATGCTCAATGATATTAGTTGGATTGTTCTTACCTTTTTCTCTGTACAATGTGCTATTTAGATGATTAGTTGACTAACATATGTTGCGACTCTTGTTTACCTTTTTATTGTTATCTCGCTAATAATGCAATGGCAACCAATAAGGCCATAAGGCCCATGTTAAATTTCCAAAAGTTTAAATTCACGTAGGGAAAAGCCCTGTGTCTGATTTGTACTATTTCAGATTCATACCTTCCCATGGTTGGTTACTATGATTGTGCTAAATTTCGTGCAGATCGCTACAGCCGTTCAGGAGGAGTATTTGTAAAACAAAAGCAGGAGTGTAGTATAAGAGCTTCTCTCGCTTCGCTCCGCTCAAAAATCTACAGGATACACGGCAAAAAATAAGCTTTACCTACCTGAGTTGTGAGCTAGCGAGCTGTTTCTGGACCAAGATGTTGATCTCGTCTTGCAGCATTGTACAGTTCTCTGAGCTTTCATCATCCTCAGAGTAGGCAATGTGACACAGGATGTCCATCAATTGACACACCTCACTCAATGCCAAGTCATTCAACTTGTTCAGCAGCAGCTGCAAAAATAACACAACTTGCTCAACATCAGCAGTGCCATAAAACTAATCTACTTGCCATGTTGTATCAATTTTATTGGCCTGCGAGGGTCGGGTCAGGTAAACAGTTGGGCCAAAAATGATTTGCTGGTCAATCTCGGATCAGGACAAGTCAAATAGATGTGCGATCTAAAATTGATTGGTTTCACCAAGATTGCAGGTGATGTTTACATCCTGCGGTTTGTGGGTGACGATGACGATTTTTCCATGACTACGGAACACGTTATTGATTTCCCAATGACCACAGAAGATGTTCATGATTTTGTCAAGGCCGCAGAAGACATTCAAGATTTTACCACGACTGTTGAAGGTGTTCATGATTTTTCCGTGACCGCAGATGTTTATGATTTTGCCATGACTGCAGATGTTCTTGATTTCCCTGTGACCACAGATGTTCCCAGTTTATCCGCAGTAAAGAGAAGATTATTTACAATATTGTACTAAACAACCGTAATATTAAAATTAATAATTTTTAAATCAACAATTAAGAAACTGTAATATATAAGGCTATATTACATTGCCAGAAGATTATTGAGTTCGTGTGTGTGGTTGGCTGCACTGCTGAGTGACGTCACCAACTAGGAACGATGGCACGAAGCGGAGTGGAACGGCGGTCGGAGTTAACATGCTGATTAGTTGATAAGTTGTCCCAAGTATCGGGTTCTTTTAATCTTACTAAGTATTGAAGTACAGTTATTACATTTGGCGACGAAATTAAATCCGCGTGTGCGTAAAATGTCTAGTATCGGTCGGATATCGGAGTTTAATCCGTACGAAGAAGATATTAGTTCGTATTTGTTACGTTTGAAACACTTTTTCAAGGCCAACGAGGTCAAGGACGTGAAGCAGGTCTCCATCTTGATTACTGTAATAGGCCCTAAAATATTAGCCGTCCTCACCGATCTTATTTCTCCTAAGAAGATTGATGAAGAATCTTACGATAATTTGAGCAAAATCTTGGAAGATCATTATTCTCCTAAACGCCTTGTGGTCGCTGAGCGTTATACTTTTTATAGTCGATGCCAGAAACAATCTGAAAGTATTGCCGAGTTCGTAGTGGCAGTGAAGCATTTGGCTTCGACGTGTGAATTTGGAACATTCTTATCGGATGCACTGAGAGACAAGTTAGTTTCAGGAATTAAAAATGAAGCAATTCGTCAAAAATTACTTTCCGAAGAAATGGATTTGAATAAAACGTTGGCTCTTGCACTCAGGCTTGAACAGGCCGAGAAACAAACAGGTCTATTCTCGAATACAAGTGTTCAGGAAATTTCCAGGTTTCAGGTCAAGAAGAATGCACGTGTTTCCAACCGAGGTTCAAATTTTCACAGTGCGGGATCTAAATCAAATTCAAGTGATGTGAAGGGAGATATGTCTCAGATAAATAAGTGTTTTCGTTGTGGCAATCCAGAGCATAGGGCTAATAATTGCCCGTATAGTAATTACAAGTGCTATGGGTGTAAAAAGTTGGGTCATATCAGTAAGGTTTGCAGGTTCAAATCAGAAAATCCAGTGAAAAATTCCATAAAAAGTGGTAAATTTAAAATCCATCAGATGGAAGAGGAAAATAGGCCTAGGCCTAGTGGTGGTCCAGATGAAGTGGAGTTTGAAAGTTTGTCTTTGTACAGTATGAATTCTGGTGATAATGTTTCTGCCTTTAAGGTAAGCCTAGAAATAGAGAATGTATCCGTATTAATGGAAATTGATACTGGCTCGGCACTAACTGTGTGCCCTCAAGAATTGTTTAACAAATATTTCCCTAATGTACAATTGAGTACTGTAGATATCAAGTTGCTTACATATTCAGGCAATGAAGTCAATGTTATTGGACAAGCTTTAGTCAAAGTAGCCTACATGGACCAGACTTATCATTTACCTATGATAGTCGTTAAGATTGATCGTACGAACCAGCCTATGCTTCTAGGCCGTAGTTGGCTACAACATATCGCTTTTGACTGGAAATCTATTTTTACTTGTAATTTTAATAGCCTATAAGGCAGTGTTAAATCTAAGGGTGGTGAACCTAACCTAACCCTAGGTAAGGCCGATGAGCCTAAAGTCGTTTCTGGTTTGAAACAAAAGTATGCCTCTGTGTTCAAAGGAGGTCCTGGTGAAATTAAGGATGTTGAGGCACGTATTGTGTTAAAAGAGGATGCTGTGTCAAAATTTTGTAAATATCGCCCTGTTCCTTACGCGTTGCGTAAATCAGTAGAAGATGAGATTGATAGGATGATTGCTGAAGGTATTGCTTATCCCGTTACCAGCTCTCAGTGGGCTACTCCTATTGTGGTGATTCAGAAGAAAAGTGGGGTGCGACTCTGCGGGGACTTTAAAGTAACCCTTAATCAAGTGATCCAGTCGGAACACTATCCCTTGCCTCAACCGGAGGACATTTTTGCTACTCTAGCAGGTTGTAGCTGGTTTTCAGTTTTGGACTTGGAGGCAGCGTATCTCCAACTTCCTGTGGCGGAGGAGTCCCAACCACTCTTGACTCTAACTACGCACAAAGGCTTAGTGCGTTTGCGACGTCTGCCGTATGGTTTGTCTTCGGCTCCGGCTCTCTTCCAAGCGGCCATGGACAAAATTATTGGTGGCCTACCTGGGTCAGTGGCATATTTGGATGACGTACTGGTGGGTGGATCTTCGCAAGAGGAAGCGTTGTCACGCTTGGAGAGTGTTCTTCAACGTCTTCAAAGTTATGGAGTCAAGACTGACCATGCTCCTTTAGTGACAATCTTTGGAAATAAGCGGGGAGTTCCCTGTGTCGCCGCTGCGCGTCTTCAACGATGGGCCCTGATCCTCTCCGCCTACAGTTTTGAAGTTAAGTACCGCCGTGGCTTGGACTTGCCACATGCGGACGCTCTTTCGAGATTACCGTTACCTGATGACGACCAAGTGGAGCTGGATTCCAACTACATCTCTCATGTTTCTTCCCTGGTAGAGGCCTTTGACTGTTTCAAATTGGTGAGTGATCTCAATCCTATTACTGCTAAGGATATCGCTCGACTTACTGATACTAATCCTGTTTTGACAAAGGTCAGAGATTTCATTTGGCATGGATGGCGTGATAGTCAAGATTCTGAGCTGGTTGCTTATTTTCGAAGAAGGGATGAGTTGTCCGTAGAGAACCAGTGTGTTTTATGGGGTAGTCGAGTAGTGGTGCCAGAGAAACTGAGGAGTGCCGTTATCAAATTGCTGCATGATCAGCATCCCGGAATAAATAGGATGAAAATGTTAGCCCGAAGCTTTGTTTGGTGGCCGGGGATTGATAAAACCATTGAAGAGACTGTTCTCTCATGTCATGTGTGTCAGTGTACAAGGAATGCTGTGGCTAAGGTGCCATTATGTCAGTGGCCTAGAGCTTCAAGTAGGTGGCAGCGCATCCACGTGGATTATGCGGAAGACCCACTAACAAGACAACAAATGCTCATAGTTGTTGATAGTTTTAGCAAATGGCTAGAAGTGTTTATCATGAAATCTACTACATCGTTTAAAACCATTGAAAAACTGCGTACGCTGTTTGCGTCTTTTGGCCTACCCGAAGAATTGGTCAGTGATAATGGTCCCAATTTTGCTAGTGGGGAATTCAGAGAATTTCTGAGCAACAACGGTATTAAGTTTACGCTCTCACCTCCTTACCATCCTGCCTCGAATGGGGCTGCAGAAAGATTTGTACAGGAAGTCAAGAAGAACCTTAAAAGACAGGTTATGGCTAGTGGTTCTGAGACCATTTCTTTACAACATAAATTGGATAATTTCCTCTTTGCATTTCGCAACACACCCAGTACTGTCACTGGTGTTACCCCTGCGGAATTGTTCCTTCAATGGAAACCGAGAACTAAGTTGACAATGCTTAAACCCTGTTTATTGTCAGCCATTGATAAGAAGAGAGAGGCGCAGAAGGAAGCAGCCGATAACCATCGGGGAAGTTTCAGATCCTTTGTGGAGGGAGAAAGGGTGCTTGTGAAGTCAGTACGGCAGGAGATCATTTCTTGGATTCCTGGGAGAATTTTGGAGCGGAAAAGTCCGTCTACTTATGTGGTGAGCGTCCTGGGAGGTAAAATACGTTTCTGCCACGCAGATCATTTGAGATCTAGTAAGTTGACTGAGGAAGAGGAAGTTACAGTCAATAGGCCGGTAGTGCAATCTCCGATCAAATCCCCTGAGAACAAGTCTGCTGTGGGAATACAAACTCCGCCAGAGCGATCACCTCGAGTTATGGAAACTCGGAATACTTCACCAAGACAACAACGGAGTGTAGGCCTACCAAAATCTCCAGCTACGCACACTACAGACGAGCATCCCGAAGTGCAGCCCAGCCAGCAGTGCAGCCCGCCATCACTTCGGAGATCTCAAAGGACTGTGCAAAAGCCGAAGCGGCTCGACCTTTAAGTTAAAAGGCCGAGTTAGAGAGAGAAGATTTTATGTTTATTTTATTTGAAGAAGAAAAGTTTATTTAGTATTACTGAAGTATTTTGTGAAGCTTATAAACAAACAAAAAAAATTGTAAAAGAAGAAAAAAAAAATTGTTGATTTGGCTTAGCCTAGAAGAAAAAGGTTAGGCCGTTAGAGAAGAGTTTTATTTTAAGTTTGGGCGAGTGTAATATATAAGGCTATATTACATTGCCAGAAGATTATTGAGTTCGTGTGTGTGGTTGGCTGCACTGCTGAGTGACGTCACCAACTAGGAACGATGGCACGAAGCGGAGTGGAACGGCAGTCGGAGTTCAATCAATCAATCAATCAATCTTTATTTGCCATAAGGATACATTTACATATCATTGACAAAGTCTATTTGCAGTTTTCAAACCAAGTCTTAAAATAAACATACTATTGAATATTACAATTAACATTCAACTCCATTCACATTCTTAACTGAAATTAAAACCAAACTAAAGGACAATTTCTCCCAGTTTAAAATAATCATCCAGACTATAAAAAGGGTTCTGAAGTAGATAATTATAAAACATAGCCTTAAATTTGTTAATTGAATGAAAATTTAGATTATTTTTTACTGAATTATATACTTTAATTGATAAAATTATGTGGCAATTACTAGTTTTACTAAGACGATGGGATTCTAACAGCGCAGTATTTTTAAAACGAGTGTTGTGACTGTGATTATTAAATTGAAGATATTCAGGGTTTTTTAATATATAAACAATCAGATCATAAATGAACAAATTAACTGCAGTTTGAATTTGCAGATCTATAAAAAGAGGTTTGCAATGATCAGGGTGCGTCCCTGTCATAGCTCTTAAAGCCCTTTTTTGGAGAATCAAAATTTCTTTTATTCTACCACTACCACCCCAAAGCACCAATCCGTATCTCATGACTGACTGGAAGTACGCAAAATAGGCCGTCCTTACATATTTCTTAGGAACCTGATTTACAAGACGATCTAAAAGATGCACCACACGAGACAATCTTGAAGATAAATAATCTATGTGAGCATTCCATGTGAGTTGATTATCAATTTGAAGGCCCAAAAATTTTACAGCTGTGCTATTATTTAGATCACTCATAGTGGGGATTTGTTTTAGTGTAAAAATCATGTTTTGGGTTTTTTCTTCATTAAGCAAAAAACCATTCGCATTAAACCAATAACATGCTGATTAGTAAGTTGTCCCAAGTATCGGGTTCTTTTAATCTTACTAAGTATTGAAGTACAGTTATTACAGAAACAATCCCAATTCTAGCCAAAGCTCCAATGGCCAAAGCACCTGAAATAAAAGTGTGACCCACAGACCCCTACTCACCATCAGTATGACACCCAGTGGCTTGACCTTGTGGTGATGGTTGTTGGTGAGATGTTGTATGACAGACAGAGCAGCTCTAGCCATGCCTGTGTCTCCAGTACCAACGCCTTGTTGTAGATCAGACAATACCCACTTGCACCACAACCCCTCCATGTTGACAAACATGCCTCTGTAGGAGAAACAACTGATTAGTGATCTAAATATATAAAAGGCAAAGCCCTCACTGACTGACTGACTCACTCACTCACTCACTGACTCACTCACTCACTCATCACTAATTCTCCCACTTCCCATTTATCTAGGAGGCTGAAATTTGCTACACTGATTCTTTAGGCATTAAATAGGAAAACTGAGTTGTTTTCATTCTGATAGGACTCTCGGGCTCCACCCCAGTGGCTCTGGAGTTTCCCATGTTAACCTTATGAGTACTCATATTTAAATGGAATTAATGAATCTTAACAGCTGTTTCAATTAAACAAGTTGGTTCTGTTCTATGATGTTCAATAGCATTAAAGTTACAAGGATTACCAACAGGGTGCAGCACTATTATTTTTTTTAATTTATGACAACAGCTAATTTGCAAACAAAAGGTGAGTGAGCGTAGCGAACGAGCTAACCTGAAGGCAAGTAAACGCAGCGAACGAGCTCCAACATAAAGGTGAGTGAGCGTAGCGAACGAACTTCAACCAGGACGTGATTGAGCCATGCGAACAAGCTCACTTATGAAGTTAAACGGGGCAAAGCCCGCTGGTACAGCTAGTTATGATAAACATGCAATAGTTTCATTTAATGTCAATGTGTTAAGAAAATTCATAATTTCCATGAATAATTATAGTTGTCTTTAACTAGCCTACTTACATGTATATTTTTGAAGCAAATTCGACAACAGCTGGTTCTGGGGATTTTAACAAAGCTCCAGCAAGTTTAATTGTAACTTGAAAATGTTCCTTTATAACCTGAAACACCAAGTGATTTGCAAACTTAAACTGCATTAGTGAGTTACAGAAAAACTTAAATTGAAAAACTAATAATAATTACATCATTTTAAGCAATGTCCCGAATAGTTTAGAAGACCTAAATAAATACTTATGAAGGTATTCTACGAGGGAATTGAAACTATTCATACGTAATCATTCACACTTCCCTACATACAACACCCTTGCCCCTCACACAAACACACATAATCAGCCCTGCATTTGTTTACTTTCAACAATACCAAACAGGCGGCTAGAATATAAATTAAATGAATATATTTGCCAGATCAATTATTAAGAATTGAGTTGTACAAATTATGCTCAACATAACCGATTTTTAGTCAATATATCATGAATCAATTAGTGATGAAAAACTAATGTTTTGATACATAGGGGTACTTACAGGAATGTAGGCTTTGAGAGTTTCATTGATTAAGGTTTCAGTAAACATTTCAGCTCTGATCTTGCTTCTGAACACAGCTTCAATGGCGCGATGACGAGTATTATCACTGGACACTGACAGGAGTACCAAAAGCATCACTATGTCAATTGGTCTGGAACATCATATAGCTTACAGTGACAGCAGTGCCAACAGCATCAACAACTAATTTTAGCATGTAACATAAAGCACAGGCCTAGGATTTAACAATTTTGGTAGGTCAGCAGGCTTACCTGAATGAGAAAGATTATGCCTCTGGCACAAGAAAAAAAACTTGAAACTAAAGTATACACAAACCTTCTTCCAATCTTAAGCCTTTCTTGAGTGAAAATGCTGTCAGTGGTGGTGAAATATTCTGATACTGTGTAATGTAATAAGTTACTGTGTTAGCGAATTTCCCATATAGGGAATAAGCTATTACCGTAGTACTCATGGTAAGACCTGGACCCGGGACAGATTTTTTTTCTTCGTTTTGAGGTCCCTAGAGGCCAAAAACACCATCCGTTCAAATTCATATATATATATATATATATATTTATATATATATATATATATATATAGATATTTATATATATATATATATATGTGTCCGTTAGCGCGATAACTCGAGCAAAAATGATCCGATTTTGATGAAATTCGGTACAAACGTGTAAACCTACGTTTATTCGAACGAGTTCGCAAACCAGCATGATCGGACCATAGGAACGGGGGTTTATGGGGGCTTTTATGGGGCAAAAATGGGTTTTTCCAATTTTTGACCCAAAAAACATAAAATGTTGCAATTTCTTTCCAAACTATTTTGTAGAGCTTAAAAAAACAAATAATTTAGTATATTGAAGCGTTATAATGCGCCTAATGGTTACGGAGAAAATTCCAAAAAATTGTTAATTTAAAATTCCCATGTTATTCTTATGGAGAATAAGTAAACTGTTGTAATTTGCTTGTTTATTAACATATTTTGCCCAAATTTGGAAAATGTTTTTATTTCTTACTAACTATTAAAATTTTACATAAAAAAACAGTTTTACCCTCCCTGTTGCAGCAAACCTACGTATGTGTTAAACTGATTCTATTTAAATAGGGAATAAAAGTGATATTTTTAAGGAGACATTTTAGTGTAAACCTAATCAGGCAAATGGAAATTCGCTTAGTCTGCAGGTTTGATGCGGCGGGGGTATTATGTGTCTCTTGTAGCACAGTACACTCTTTCCCATTCAGGTAGGTCTGCTACCCTAACAAAACATCCTTAATTCTACAAATAACAGCTAAATAGAAGCATCAAACCAAAATAGTATCATTCAACCCAGTAGTATCATGTACACAATACACATTGAATCAGGTTTTGGTTGGACAGGAGAGATTCTTTACTAATCGACCCTACAGCAGCCTGAAATCAAAATTTGTACCAACTGCGTTTTGGATGCAAATTTTTACTTATCTCGTACTTCTCTTTAACCCTCGCTATATGTAAGTAGTACAATTGACTTTTGGTTACTGAAGTGGACATCCCATCTAGGCCTGTTAATTATGGACCAAATGTAGCCAATTAAAAAAGAAATTAAATCAACTGAATTGAATGGGCCACTCACAGAATGTGCTACAGTCTGCAATTATTCTATTTTCTCCCTTAGTTCTTGTCACTGAGAAAGTTGATGTAACAAATAAGATGCTTTAGCTGAAAATAGGTTGTCCTAGTTTGACTTGATTAGAAAATTGGCGTATTCTACAGACATCAGTCGTTTTAATCAGCACACTCTGTCAGTGGCTCAACTCTACTATGTCAATTTTTATTCTAAAACTGGTGAGAACCTTAACATGGGGATGGAATATCTAGTTCTATCAATAATCAAAGATAGTATTTTCTGACACAGGGAGATTACTGGATGGCTTAGTGGAAATAGTGCCCGCCTAGTGCTAACATCACTGGTTTGGTCCTAGACAAGTCAGTAGCTCTTTGAAGGTTTGAAACTGGACCCGGACCCTGCTGTCTTTGATAATTTTTAATCAATGTACCAGGCTACATAACCAGCTGATTTTAGTCAGTAACAAAGTTGTCAATTCATTCAACGCTCATTGTTTACACATCTTCCCCACGATCTGGTCTCCATTCGCAATTATCTATTTTCATCCTTTTAGACTTCCAGTAGACTAATTCTTATTCAAACAACTTTTAATCGGACTTTGGTTTTACCAGACTACACTCGGCAGAAGTGATATCTCTTTGACCGGACAATTTCTATCAGCACATCGATTTGACCGGAGTGGATCAGCAGGAACGTGTATTGTTAGTCGCGTATACAGTGTGTACTCAAAATTGTGGTTTGTGAACGTTTGTACTGAATTTTTAAGTATAGTATATTTCTAATTTAATGAGTCCTAAGGAGCGTCAGTTTTACCGGAAAACTGTAATCTGTACTGACCCTAGTCCTAAGGAGTCCGTACAAGAGGTAGTCTACTGTACTTAAGTTTATACGTTTAAGATCACTCAAAAAGGCTACTTACTTATGTTCAGCCTGAGTCTTGACGGAAGAGATGTTTTTCAGCCAGATTGTAGGCAGAGTGCGAGACACCAACAGAGCGTCTCTCAGAGTCATAAACACCAGCACTTGCACACTGGCTGAGTTACCACTGGTCTCTTCTAAGTCTAACTCATTTCGCAGAAAAGTGATCACCTGAGAAACAAGCCCAATACCTGAGTATGTTATTGACTATATCTGATACAGCTTCTACCCTGTTTTGAAACTTCCTATGAAAATAAAACCATTGACTATTGGATACTAAAATGAACTGGGACGGTGGCGTCGTCCTGTAATCCAGCTACTAGGATGTTACAAATTGTGGATATTTATAGGCATGCACTGTGGATGCGATACTCCCTGGTGTGGATTAACGTCCACACTAGTAAGTACAACGACCATCCGCAGTACTATCCTGATAATTAGACCAATTTGTTAATACCAAGGCAAAAATGTGGTTCGGATTCCACTATAAAAACTGTAGGTCCTTTAGTTGCCTTTAGCTGTATGGGCTATTAATTAACAGCCGTGTCTAAGGAATATGTCGGCCTTAGTCAGTAACAAGACTACAAGGTCGTGCCACTCATCCTACACTCATCTCCATTCATACTTGGCTTAAAATACCTACTTTGTATGGTCGCCATTTTAATAAAAAGTATTAAAGTATTAAGTATTAACATATAATAAGGACCAGCTGCATCTATTTTTTTTTTTTTTTGTCTCTTGCCTCTTTTATATGGCAAGAGAACATAGTTGAATTAGTAACTTACAGATTAAATAACTTCTTGATCAGCATCGTACGTGTTATTAAATTACCTGACAGCACAAAAATATGTCAAATAACACTTATAATAAATTATTACACTTAAACTGTTTAATCACAACATGGTAAATACATATAAAAGATGGTAAGTGGTGATCGATTTCGATTGGACACTCCAATCATCATCAGATTTGCCTATTTTGTCTGATGATGATAGGAGTGCCCAATGAAAATCGATCACCACTTACCACCTTTCATATGTATTTACCGTCTTGTGAGTCAACAGGTTGTAAATATATTATAACAAGTGTTATAAGACGTATATCTTTTTGTTTTTTCAGGTCATACATCAATACGGATTTATTTTGAACACTTTGAGCTAGGCCTATCTTAAACCTTACAACACTTTATTAATTTTATATCAAGTCTTTTCTAAGGAGGGGGGAGATCTTGGTTAGCTTACCTCGTCAACCGAGGCAGCGTCTCCATCAGCAAACAGGAACTTGAGCATGGTGGGTAAGTAGTCGTGAGGTATCTTGTTGATTGCCCTCAACAGTGTTGGTTGTATTTGTGTGCGGACCTCTGGCTGTAGTGACAGGTTGGTGAGAGCCTCCAGGGCACTGGTCATCACCTGTGGGTTGCTTTTGCGTACTAGCTTGCTGTCAAACAAACATCCACTCTTTTAGACTAACCTATTCTGATGTTCTTAGACTTTGTGACATTGTTACATTATCCTGGCATTTTCTAAAACAGTGAACTGTCATTGATCCACAAGATTGTCTGGATTAAAAGTCTGATTAAATTAAATAATCTTAAAATAAAGAAATGTGTTATTTCAGGTCTGTTATCACAGTGTCCATCATTACTAAATTGAGAAGTTTAAGTGTTTAACTGCTAGAAAGCAGGAATGAAGGGTCTTCAAATTTTCAATTTATGTTAGCACAGCTATACAGATGCACTATAAATCTTATCCTTATCTTCAAAAATTTTATAAAGTTTTGGTGGGAAAGTGTAAGCTACTTCCAATTCCTTTTGATCGGGCCATTGAAACATATTGTAGGAAATCGCCTCCCCGTAAGCACACTCTTCACATGCCTTCAACACGAGTTGCCTCGGTCACTATCTGAGGTTGGATAGGTGTTGGAATGAGACAAACAATAGGACCGAATACAAGCATGGGCACTTCAGAAACCATCTGCATAGAATTGGTTTGCATTATGGTGCCCCACTATGTAGGAAATGTGGCATGTCAAAGGAAACTGCTAATCAGCTTTTCGACTCTGAGGAGCTTTCTGAGGTAAGAAGGACAACTATCAGCAATCTGGTAAGAAGGAGTCACTTTCCTAAGGCTGTAGAATGCAGCATTCATCAGGTGCTTGGATATTGAAGGTCTCTTAATAAATCTACTGATTGAAGAGCGCAATAATTCGATAAATACGGATTAGGCCCTGTGAAACTTCGGACATCCTCTTCTAGATAAGATGAGATAACAGATGCAATACAGCCTACAAGAGCAATCAATAGTGCAGACACTACTACAGGCTCATGACAGATCACATTTATCACTTTCCAACCTACAGTTTGAACACAACAACATTTTGGAGCCAAAACTCCTGGGTAAAGAATAAGGGATAGAGCCATTATAATGACAAGAAAATAGCCAGAGACGATCCTGTGCTACTAAAATGCATGCTACACACAACTAACATGCACTTCTAAAAGTAATGTATTTCTGACTAAGCAGAATGGCATTTGTATTAACTGCTATCAAATGGGCAATTAAATTAAGATAAGTCTGTATTGGTGGGGTCGAGTTTAATCAAATCAAATCAAATCAAATCTTTTTATTGTCTTTCAGCTCTACAAAAGCAATTGACATTGTCAAATAGCATCTTATCATTAAAGCATTAAACATAGTCATAATAAATAACAGGAAGCTTGATCTTAAATAAATTATTTAAAAACTTATATCTAAAACCTCCAAGGACAAGAACTTATCTACAGAGTAAAAACATTTTAATTTTAACCATGAATCAAGGACTGTTTTGAATTTTTTTATTGGAATCGTTACTGCAGAAGGGGGCAATTTATTAAAAAATTGTATACTAAGATATTTGTAGCTATTGTGTGTAAGTGTAAGTCTTGTAATTGGTAAGTTGAGATGATGGCTATTTCTTGTGTAATGTTTATGTATGTCAGATCGGATGCTATACTGGTCTATATTCTCTTTTACGTATAATAAGCAATTTAAAATGTATAAAGATGGAAGGGTTAGGATATTTAGGGCCTTAAAATCTGCTTTGCAATCTTCCCTGGGCATTGTTCCTCTAATGCACCTGACTGCTTTCCTTTGCCATTTGAAAACGGTTTTGGCTCCTACAGAGTTACCCCATAAGAGAACACCATATTGTAGGTGAGAATGGAAAAATGCATAGTAACAATTTAGAATAATTTGTTCACTTACATTGTTCTTTAATTTGTTAAATAAAAATACAGTTCTAGCCAATTTACTACATAAAAAGTTTGTATGCTCAATCCAATTCAGCTTCTGATCAATATGGATTCCTAGCAATTTTACTGATTTATTGTCATTAGAATTTATTCTAAGGTTAAAATGAATTTCTTCTGTTTTTGAGTTGTTAATCCTTAATTCATTTCCCCGAAACCACTCTTCAGCCAACTTTAACACCCCATCCCGTTCTTCAAGTGCTTTGTTCAGATTTTGACCACTTGTGAGGAATGTAGTATCATCAGCATAAAGAGTGGTTTTACAGGGAACAAAACAAGGCAAATCATTAATAAAAACAATAAAAAGTAGAGGCCCAAGGACTGATCCTTGAGGTATGCCAATTTTGATTTTTAACATATTAGATCTTGAATTATTTACCTGCACCAGCTGGAAACGGTTCACTAAATATGAGCTTAACAGATTTAATGATTTTTCAACTACTCCGTAAAAAGCCAATTTTTTAATTAGAATTTCATGAGAGACTGAGTCAAAAGCTTTAGCCAAATCAATTAATGTTGCAGACATATTAATTTTACCATCACAACCGTTAAAAATATCTGTGATTATATTTTCCAAGGCCTTGATTGTGGACAAATTTGATCTAAAACCAAACTGACTATCACAGAACAAGTTATTTTTTTCAAAATATGAATAAATTTGTTGGTGTAGACAGTGTTCTAATATTTTAGAAAGAATTGGGATTAGAGATATCGGTCTGTAATTATTTGGATCAGTTTTTTCCCCTTTTTTGAAGATTGGTATTGTAACTGATATTTTAAGACATTCTGGAAAAATTTCTTGTTCAATCATCATATTATATAGAATGGTAAGTGGATATATCAAAAGAGGGCCTATCTTTTTGATTACATAATTGGAGAAGCCATAATAGTCTTCAGCCTTAGAACTACTTAGTCTATTAATGGACTCTATAATATTTAATTGGGAGATTGGTGACCATTGGAATTTAGTATCAACCTTTCTTGAAGCTGAGAGTAGAGCAATAGGGTCCCTTGCACTTTGTCTGTTAAGTGAACTGTTATTATTCAGTGGTAAACAAGCAGAATTTACAAAACTATAATTTAAAACATTTATATCAACTGGAACAGAATTTTCCATCTTAGAATCATTGATTTCATTCTTTATTACATTCCAAGCAGCCCTAACTTTATTTTTTGAATTTGCAATGTACTCATCATTAACCTTGCGCTTAGACAATTTTATTTCATGTCTATACATTTTTCTCAGTCTTAAATAATTTAATCTATTTTGTTCACTCAAGTGAGACTTGTCCTTATATATTAAAAGCATTATTCTTATCCTTTGGAGGCGATCAGTGTACCACTTAGAGCTATGTTGAGATGCTTGCTTGATATTGTCTTTATTGTTTATTTTAGTAACAATGGGACAGTTTGATTCAAAAATTAATTTTAAATTGTTAATAAAATAATCAAAACATGCATTTATATTATTATTAAAGGGATACAATTCATATGACCAGTCAACCATATTTAAATCATTTTGAAATGAATTAATAGCTTTGTCACTTAATATACGAAATTTAACCTCTTTCCTGCTCTTATTGAAAAAACTACTCATCTTTAACCATAATCCATCATGATCAGATAGACCTAAGTTAATACAATCAAAAGTAAAGTCTGTGTTTGTTAAGTTACTAATTATATTGTCTAGACATGCTTCATATCTAGTCGGTTTTGAGTTGTGACAACAACAATTAAATGACTTTAACATATTTAAAAACTCATTTACATTTTTTTTCTTTTCTCTAATGTCAAAATTTATGTCTCCTGTGATAATTATTTTACAGTGTTTGTATTTTGATAGTTCCAATAACATACATTCAAACTTATCAATAAACATTTCTTCACTAGTAGCTGGAATCCTATATACAGAAATAATTATAGTTCTATACTGTTTTAAGATTATTCCACATGCTTCAAAAACTGTTTCAATACAAATTTTACTTAAATCAATTGTTTCATATTCCAAATCTAAGCTTTTTTTTAAATATATGGCAGTGCCTCCTCTAATTGTGTTAACTCTACAGTAAGCAACTGCTAACCTAAAATTAAAGGGAACAGACAAGTCAACATTAAAATCTTTCAACCAGTGCTCATTAACACATAATATGGAGCAGTTTAACATATCCAAACAATATTGCAGCTCATTTAATTTGTTTTGAATTGATCTTATATTAATGTGTAACAACATGAGATCATTTCTATCACAACTTGGGATGTCATTTATTTTAGGATGGTTATTAAGAATTTTGTTTATCGAGCTATCAGTTGAGGCTTTATATTCTGTAAAAAATTGTTGTTGTGACCAGCTATTCTACCACTTAGTATACTATTTACAAAATCTTCACTTTTTTCATCACCACTAGAGGCCTTATTTGAATTTTCACTACACTGTGTTGCGGAGTCAGAGGTCGAGGAAGTAAGTTGAGTCACCTGGTATGCTGTAGTGTTGAGTAGATCACCCTTGTCTTGTTGCTGGTTGTCCTGCGTCGATATTCTTCCTTCTGTAACAGTCCGTGGTTGAGGTTGTGCCTGCTTCGGGTTCAGAGGGAATGATGCAGAGGATGTTTTGTTCACAGACTGAGTCTCGGATGATTTGTTGGTTTTATGGTGAAATGATTCCGTTGCAATGGCCTGTGTGAGGTTCCTTACAAACTCAGAATATGGCTTTGTGTTCTTCTGTTTACTTGAAATGTACTTCTTTGAGATGACAATAATAACTGATGCAGCAGTGGAGCTTTGGAATTCAACTATATATTTTGCAAAGTGTTGTGGTAAGACACGGTCTCTTGAGCATCCCCATGGAGAACAGATGAGGGTCTTGAAATTTTGTTTTTTAAATTCTTGTATCAACTGCTGAAATGCTTTATTATAGAGCTCATAATTGGTGTCGCTGGGTTTTCCGTAGAATTTTGACTTTGTAACCAAACCAAATACACTAGCTCCACTTTTATGTTTTTGTAGCGTTAAGTTTGAGTTGCAGTAGTCAGCAGTTGTTGGCTTCCCAAAAAGCTCCTTGAACGGAACCGCCACTCCAGCACTCATATTTTTGTCGTGATCAAGATCAGCTGATATGCAATGGGCGAAAACTATGTCCTTATTATTTATATGATCTTTAATAACATTTGTCATGTCTGCTTCCAGTAGTTTAATTGTAGGATCACTAGTGATTGAAACTGCATTGTCAGAATTTGGTAGACAAGGTGGTGCTGAATATGAAGTTGCATTCTGCTGTGGTTGCTGTGGTTCTGCTGTGGGATCTCCAGGAACCATTGGTAGTTTTTTATCTCCGTGATACCAATTTTTTAGGGCATTTATTATGAGAAACGCAATTTTTGACTTGCCACGGCCATTAAGGTGCAGTCCGTGCGTTGTAAAATGGAAGCGCCGAAAATCATCCAGATCTATTACAGAGAGATTGTCCATTTTGTAACTCAACTCTCTAAAATATTTATTCATTAGCAGTATATCTAAGTTGTCCGGATCATTTTGTGCTTTGTCATATCTAATAGGGATTGTACAAAGGAAAACTGGCCTATGTTTGCAGACTGATTGTAATTTTTCTTCTAGTTCTTTATACAAAGTTGGTAAGGTGCCGTTCAGACTATCATTGGTGCCCCCTAATATAATCAGAGGGTTGTCTTTATCAATAGTAGTTGACTCGAGTACTTGTAGAAGAGTGGTGTTAGCTCTGACATAGCCAAAAGTATTTATTTTTTCAGAACTGAATTTTTGAATTTTCCAGGCTATATGTTTACCCTGGCTGTCTGCACAAAGTGTTGTTTTGACATTTGGGCAAATATCAGTTTCAGATATCGTGGTTTTTGTGTTGTGTGCTTTATTTACATATTGTAGGGTATTTTGCTTTCCTAGTGTACTCTCATGATTTCTTCTTCTCTTCATGTTAGCAGGAGGGACAGTGGGCTTCTGTGTACAGTTCATTGGAGTTTTATTTTCTTGTTCAAGTGTATGGAGGATATCATATCTGTTTTTTATAGGTAAAGTAGGATTATGGTTTGTTTCGAAACTGAGATGTTTTGATTTAGTTTGTACTTGAGTCCAGCTATTTTGCGACAAAGCATTTTTGATTTCTGTGTTGCTTTTTTCAATGACCAAGGTATTTAATTTTGTGTCCTTCTGAATCATTAGAGAAAAAAGTAATTTGTCACTAACTGTTGAGGGGCTAAGAAGAATATATGCTAATTGTGCACGCTTTTGAATTACTTCCTGTTCTGTCAGCTTCTTATTCTGAATGGAATTAATGTTCAAGAATCCAGTAGTAACTACGTCATTTACTATTGACTCAACAACCCAACAACAGTAGATACCACAATCATAACTATTAGGCTGTTGTGGGCTTTTTAATGACAGAAAGCTAGCTGTTGGTGCTTTACCACCCACATACTCTGACAGTCTCTGAGCAACTTTTTTTGCTGAATGAAGATTGTAGTTACCAAGAGAGTCTGCATGGTAAAATTTATTTTCATCTCTGTCGAAGATCAAAACACTCCAGTGTGATCCACTGCCTTCTCTACTTACTTCCTCCGAGTCATTTATTGGCATGATAGTTATCTTTCTTTCTGTAACTTTTAGAGGATCTAAAAAAGTATGAAAGTCTTGGCTATTCTTTACCGCATGCACTATCAACGGGTTTATTATAATACATGAGTTTGGAATTAGGAATTTATTACTTAGCATATCGAAGTATGGTTGGAGAGACAGATCTGAGAGCCAGTTGGTGCCTAATAACTCTGTCATAATCATTGTTTTATTTAGCAACAGACTGTCAGTTTGGGCTCCCTTCGATTCGCTATTTTTTATACTCTCTTGCACATGTGAAACAAGATCATCGGTTGAAGTTGCATATTCAGATGTATCAGGTACACACTGTACAGAAAAATCTGTCATATCTGGTACTATTTTTTTCGGAAGATAGTCTGGGACGGGAAAAATCTCATTTGTGTATTTCATCAGACGAGTATCCGACTCAATGGAGTGATCAAGCACACATTTTAATTGCTCTTTTAAAGTTTCATTTTGTTTAACTAAATGCATGTTTTTTCCTTGTAATTCCAAAACTGTAGGGGATGCTAATTCTTGTGATTTATCAGTAATATCCAGGGGGGACTCAGATGGTGTAATGAAAAACTGAGGAGTGGATGTCTCGAAGAAATTCTTTTCATTAGATACTATACGGGCAGGGGACTCCTGGGTAGATGAGGTTTTTGGAGATAACAGTGATCTCATAGTGACAGGATGAGGCCCAGAGTGTTTAATGTTAGATGCAATAATTGCTGACTTAGCTGAGTCAGTTTTAATAACTGCATTACAGTTTCTTCCAAGGCAACGCCATGTCAAATCACCATTTTTCGCCACATAATTTTGTCTATATTTATAATTGTTAAAAATGAGATTATCCTTTCCACTTTTTGATTCCTCAATTTTAAACTCCATCTTTGTAGTCAAGACAATGTTTTTCTATACAACAAAAATATAAGTCGTAAACAAAACATGCATTGGTTAAAATAAAAGTATGACAGGTATGAAAATATATAACGAAGATAATAATGAATGAATGATTATGATAATGATAATGAATCTCTTCAATGTGTAAACAGATAAAATATTATATTCTTCACAAATATGATCTCAACAGGTGTAATATCTGGGTTTGTTGCTCCAATATTGTTATTGCTCCAAAGGTCAGGTCTTGCTTGGTGATAAGCTGGTCAGCTGCAAATACGCTTTGGGTCAGATGTATCAGGTGGGCAGGGGGTAGGGTGGGGATCCAAACAGGAAAATACTGTTTGTGTCAAGTAGTCTGTAAGTTGTTTCCTGTTTATCTTGATGTGATTAAGTTCTTTACTTTGTAATTAGCCATTTTTATTCATTTTAAAACAGTGGTCAAGTTGTAAAATTATTGATAACTGGTAAATAATAATGAAAGTTAAAAGATTGTGCTCCCAGTGTCCTTTTCAACAATATATTTGGTTGGTGTTTAAAACATGTGCTATTGGCTAGGAGAAATGTGAGTATTTTTATAAGTCCTTTTAGCTGTACAATTTTAAAAGCTTTTTGAAATTTTATAACTTCACTTGGATAAAGATACTTTACCTATAATTTAAAACTGTAGTTTAGTCACACACTTTTAAAATACACTGTAAAAACTCAAATATAATGGCTCATAAAGAATCACAACCATATTGTTTTGAAATTGTAGACGACGAATTAATGAGGGTTTACTGTATAAAATAAATGTCAAGTTACACTAAAGAAAAATTAAAGTTATTAGAAAAATTAAAAGGTTCTACCTCAACTCCAAAGCTGTATAATGATGTTCTGTATCTTGTATGATGTCTGGCAGGGACAGGATCACTTCTTGTTGAATCTGAAAAATATTTCAAACAAAAATTAAGGTTGTTGAATGTTTGAACTGTCTGAAGTAAGACCAGTACAACCTGACAATAATGTATAAAAAACATCAGTTATCAATGCTCATTAGTTTATTATGCCTGCGATCTAGTCAGTGGAGTTATCAGTTATCACTTGTGTGAAATGGTATGTCACCAAGCCGCGGCAATTATTCTATACTGAACTGCATGCCAGAGTGAGGCAGAACCAGGGGTGCACCAGTAAACCGCACTAATAGTCTTATCCCTTGAGTCCATTGTGCGTTCTTGGAGCTGCTCGGGCAGCCGGTGACCTGGCCAGTGAGTCATACTTCTAGCTCCACTATCTCTGAGCAATATTTCTTAATTTAAGAAAATAATATACACATCTGATGGTATTAATAGATGTATTTTAATCTACTGATTATTTTGATACCAAATTTGATAGGAATATATGATTTTTTATGACCCTTATAAAATAAGGCACAATATTAGATAATAACAAAAAATAGCTTCAAATTTGGTATCAAAATGATCAGTAGACTAAAATACATCCATTTATACGATCAGATTTGTACATTTTCTTCAATTAAGAAATATTGCTCAGAGATAGTGGAGCTGGAAGTATGACTCACTGGCCAGGTCACCGGCTGCCCGAGCAGCTCCAAGAACGCACAATAGACTCAAGGGATAAGACTATTAGTGCGGTTGACTGGTTCAACCCTGGTTCTGCCTCACTCTGACATGCAGTTCAGTATAGTCACAGCTTGGCAGCTAGATCTGTCGCTCATGTGAACCTTAAAGAAGAGCAGAAAGAAATCCATATCCGTACCTGTTAGAAGTTCTCTGAATACTATATACTGCCTGCCTTTTGTGCACAAATCATATGTTTTATTATATTGTTCATAAACCATCTATTGTTTTTCATCTCTTTTATTGAGTAAATCTTATCAATCTTACAATCTATCATCAACATTATTGGTCCTTCAATAAGTTGAGTAATCTCCGCAATTTCACTCCGTTTCTTGATCAAAATAAACTTATCAGAGTTGGAGGACTTAATCAATCCACTCTTGAGTATGATTCAAAGAACTTCTAACAGTACCACTACTGGAACTTCTACTGTATTCAAAACTAAGATGTACAAACCAAAGTGTCAGTTGAAACAAGAACAATCTCTAGAAGCTGATCATTTACTGCTTTTCCGTTATTCATCCTTTCCAAGAATCTAAAGCACTGAAGGATCATTCTAACCCAAGTGATTACGGCTAGGTCACCACTGAAAACAGAAGCAAAGTATTAAAAACAAGGCATATATGGAGTCATTCAAATAAAAGAGCGGACAACTGTTTTAGATTTTTTTTTATTATAAAGTCAATTTCATCATGAAATAGGAAGTGGATTGATAAGTATGTTGATTAGAAAATATTTAAAACAATTATTGTATGATTGTCTTTTACTTAATTAATTTTGATTGTCAATAACTCTAGCCGGCGTAAAAACATCGGGACCCGTAAAACACTCTATAACTTTTAACTAATTTTGTACTAATTTTGATTAAATTAAATTGCAATCTTGAATCTAGTACAGTTAATAAGTAGACTACTACCGGTATGTACTTTAGCACTTTCATGAGGGTTGTGAGTACAGTTGTTAACACAACCCACGTGAAAATAAATCTGATGTTATGTTAATGACACAACTATCTCTCATAAGAGATGTGCTGCACGGTGAATGCAGACTTGACTTGAGTACCTAAGAAACTCACTAAATATTTTGAATAGTTGTGGTAGCCTGTATCTATAATGGCCAAAGGTTTCAGTTATAAAGTTACCTGGGTTCATCCATTATGAATTTGGCAAGTTTATCCATAAGCAGTAGCTCAGTGACTGGAGCTTGTAAGCAATCAATGTGCAATAGGAGCCGCATGACACTGTCCTGTGTTGCTCCACGAGAGACATCGCAATCCTCGGCTGTCTGCAAAAATCAAAACTGGTCAAATCAAAGTCAAGTGCTAGGTTTTTAACATGGCAAATGATAGAGGTCTATACTGTAGCCTTAAGAAATGATGAATCAAAAAATGTTGATGATAACCTTTACCTTTTACTAACTACTAACTAAGTTAGGTACCTAAGTAAAATTTGTAAATCTTTGAGCATTAGTAAAGCTTAGTTGTTATTATTGCATGTACGGTATGTGTAATGTTTAGATGGGTTCAATAATAATGGTTTTAGTTACCTAAAACTACTTTTTTCTAATCCTCTTAAAAATCCTCAATAGGCTACAGTAATATTTAGGCTAATATTTGTATTTATTCACACAATGTCTTTTATTACAGTATAATAGTTGTATTTTATTTTAAGTTAGTATTTTGACCTGAGTTACTCTGTAAAATAGTTTAATTCTACTGAGAGACGCTCAGGAATTGGCCTACCTTAAAAGGTGTGTGTGTCTCCAAAAGTAGTATGAAGACAAAAAATAATCTCTTACATTTAATTTTATAGCTTAATTCTTTGAACAGCAGTTTAAAAATCTGGTCTAATGTTACATTCAAAATTACAAGATTTTAATCTTTTAACTCCTACCACAGAAAACGTACTACTATAACCCAGAATGCCAACCTCATGGTAAAAAGCATTAAGCGGTTTGAGAGAGCTTTGCCTGTCAATCCGTAGGCAGCGCCACCAGCGTTGCTATGCTATTGCATGGCAACGCTGGTGGCGCTGCCTACGGATTGACAGGCAAAGCTCTCTCAAACCGCTTAATGCTTTTTACCATGCGGTTGGCATTCTGGGTATAGTAGTACGTTTTCTGTGCTCCTACGTATGTAAAATAATGTGAATGAAAATCTTAAACACTTACCTCTGTAGAGGAAATGGCATATTTCAAACATTTGTCATCAGAACAATATTCTTCTAAATCTTTCATAATTTGTTTCACGTTTCTTTTTGATTCCTCCTCATTGCTACAGATAGCATTCTTAATGTCTCTGACAAAAACTGCTTGATCTGTTCCTGGTAGAAATAAAAATTTGAGAAATTAAAACAGAACAAATTTCTTATTAACACTGTAAGTAGGCCTGAAAATCACAATTCGTAAGTTAAAATAAAATGCCTAAGTTAAACAGTATTTAAATATGTTGGTATCAGATGATGGAATAAGAATGGACACTTCATCAACAGCATCAATTGGGGAATTATGTCATTGAAGGGGGGAGGGGGTTGGAAGGTGTTTTCTAAAACTAATCAAAAGCTTTAAAGAGATAAATTTTAAGAGATTGGCCAACCTCTTTTGACCTTCATTTGCCCGTCCACATAGGCCTCGGGACTGTGCGTGTATTTTAGTTGAGCTAGTGGCAAGTTGGTACAGTCACTAGGGTGCTGACTCACCACATTCTTATGATGCAGACTCATCAGGGTGTGTATTTTTAAGACAAAGATGACTGTTGGGTCAATTATTGTAAGAAATATTACTTAAGTTATGTCAATAGCGAAAAATACTGGATGGTGAATTTCAGAACATGTTTCAACACAACTGAACCTGCTCATCATCAGCTGAGTAGCCTACTAGTGAAGTGTGTCCCACCAAATGGCTTCCTCATAGTTCAGTAAATTAACACATAAAACACGTAAAACGACACAACATTTAGACATTAAAACAAAAATTGGTTTGTTATTAAAACACGTATGGCGACGTTGCAGGCCTGCTTGGACGAGCATACAGTTGAACACAGACAGAGAGTGTGTCCCCAACCCTCGGCGCGACTTTAGGCCTGTACTCGTCCAGTTGTGTCGAAACATGTTCTGAAATTCACCATCCAGTAGGCCTATTTTGAGCTATTGACATAAGTAGGCCTACAGTTTATCTACAGCTCAGGAGCTTAACAATGAATTTAAATGTTGAAACAATGAGAAGACAGCTTTAATACTGACTAAGATAATGTGGTTATTAAACTATGATCAATTATTATAATCCCTCGTGATCAAGGACAGCTGGGTCCAGTTAACTATAGGCTATGAGCACACATTCAGTGACTATTTAAGCGAGTTGTGAGCACTACTTACTTCAGGTACCTACTTAACTGTTTTTTACCAGTAATCAGTACTTTAACTTCTAAAAGAGGTTAGGCTATGTTTTCGTTTATAACCTCTCATTGCCACACTGATAATGATGCAATGACTCATTGTACCAACCACTTAATGGACACCACTCATGAACAATTGAATTGGTCTCAACAGCTGAAGTTGGCGTTTTAAAGATTACAATTTTGCTTTTTTTCTTTCAATCCTTGAACCTCGCTCCGTTACTATTGTTGTAAAGTAAAAAAGGCAAGGCTGTGAAGTAGCCTAAGTAAACAATGCTGTTAAAGGGAATCTTTTTAATTATTAAAACTGAATTTAAAAGGGTTTAAAAATGGTCAAAGGTAAACCTAATTTTCAGGATGAAATTATCTGAAAATGTATTACTTGAAATATCCTTCATCTCTTATAGTTTGGTTATTGAAGAGCAAAATGTGACCATTCAAGGTACCGGTACTCAAATCTCTTATCAGAGTTTGAACATTTAAACACAAATTAAATGCTATCCTGTAGGCTACATATTGGGTCTTGCCCACACACATTGTAATTGACAATTAATTGACTTTATTGAGGAAAGTAATTGACTTTTACTCACTTAATACGTTGGCAGAAGAGCCATCAGATAGTATTAATCCTGCTTGTTCAAATACCTCTTCTAAATATGATAGTTTTCGATCCTTTCTCAAGTCTTCTTTCAATTTTTCGTGAGCCTTGGTTTTATGTTCATCATTTGCAATAAAGATTGATGATGTGGGGTTTTTTGTTTCCTTTGCTGTTCTATTATAATTGTTACTCGAATTTAGTGGCACTTGAGTGAGTTTTTTGTTAACTTTGGTTGTTTTACTAATGGTGTCAGCAGGATCAATTGATCTTAATTGCTTTTCAGAACATTTGCGCTTATGCGTAGGACTAGGTGTTTTTGAAGCAGAACTTTCAACTTTTGATTGGTTCAGCTTATTGGAAAGTGTATGATCCCTCAAAACAGTAGAGGTACTATTAAAAAATCTACGAGTCTTCTTGGGAGACGGTTCTGAATCTGATAAAACTTCATCAGAGTCTTCAGGTTCAGGGGTTTTTACCTGGCGCTTTCTATTACTATCTTTATCCATGGACAACGATGGATCGTCATTCGTAATGATTGCTTTAGAAGTTTCTTTGTTTGAATGCGAAGATGAAACATTATTTTTAGCCTCCTCTGAGTCTGGTACATTTTGTTGGGTCTTAGAAACCATCCTAACAATCCCCAAACTCCCAGATTTTGTCCTCCGCTTGTACATTTTGATTGAATAGGCCTATAAATATTAAGTTACTCTATTTATTCCAGTTAACAAAGGGAAATGGAATTAACAGAGATAGGCCTATTAACTTAATAGGCCCAATAATAAGGCTACAACATGGACTAACACAAACTGCCACTTAAGTTATTAACTTTTCAGCTAACAAACACAAGGGCAAGGATTACTAAAACTTGCAAAAAAATTCGGTAGGCTAGGCCTAACAAATAAGCTAAGCCCTATGAAACGAATTTGACTAACACAACATATTAGCCTACAAATTAAGTCACTTGTGAATCACATTTTGAAGTAACTTATTCACTTATCAGAAAGGTAATAATAATAATCCGACAGAGACGGCATAAACAGTTTTAGCAGAAATCCCAATCAATCACTGAATGACTGAATCACTTGCACTTCACTTCTCACTTCACTAAACTTTAGGTAATAGGTTTTGTTTTGACTTTGAGTAGTTTCGTTTTTGTAGTTTGAGTTTGAGTTGAGTTGAGAATAAGAGATTTACCGCGAATGCGAAACTCAAGGGCTGCTAAGTCTAGATGAAAACTAACCAAAATGAAAAAGGATGTTATTATATAAAAATGTAGTTTTATCATAATTTGATATAGCTACTACTTTTGTGCATAGAACCATAGAAAAATGCTCCTATGGTATTAGTCAAACCGTAATTTATGTGATCTAATAAATTTAAACTTCAAATTTAGTTGAAATGTTAATATCTAAAAACGATGACTTATTTGGACACCCCATGTAAATTTCAATATCAAACGATGGGGGAACTGTCTACTTTCGTGGGGTAAATAAAAGTACTCTCTTTTAATGCATTTTGTAATGTTAATCTAGCTGAATAAATGAGTTATTGAGTTATTTCTTATGGTAAATAGCATCTGAAATTAAATTATGTTTTATTGCCATTAAACTCAAATACAGGTATTGGCAAGCGTCACAATAAGTATACAAAAAAATGTTTCATTGTTTCCCCTAACAAATCAAATCCTTAATACTATAAAAACAATTACAAATTAAACACTCTTTAAGCTGTCTCTTAAATTTACGAAAGTCCATTTCACTAGAGAACATTTGGGAGGGCAATAAAAAATGAGCGAATTATAATACATTTAATTGTTTTAAAATGACGTTTTATGTCTGGGAATGTTCAAAGTATTAATAGATCTTGTTTGATTAAGTTCAGAGTTTTTCTTAAAGCAGTGTGTATGAAAAATATAAATACACGGAAAAGTGAGAAGACCCGTTTCAGAAAAAAGCGCTTGCGTGATTGTATTAGCTTGAGATGACCTAAGACTCTGTGGCTTTCTTACATCCTAAAGTTTTTGACGTTTTCGGATCCCCAAACGCCAATGGCATAGGACAAATGTGGTTAGACGAGGGCAAAACATACAGTTAGCAAAACATGTCTGCTCATAAATTTTAAAAGTCTGCGAAGAACAAAGTGAAAATCCTAACTTCGGAGTCACACAATCAGTGAGAAATAGTTCAGATTCCTATTGATGGAAATGCCTAGACATTTGACATAACGATCTGACTCGACCACCATGTCATCTACGTGCAAACTAATTTCCTCGGAAAGGTGAGATGAAATCGTAAAATCAACTAAACTAGTCTTTTTTTATTTACAATAAAATTAGATTATTGTCTAAAACCCATTGAAGAGCGGCATTGGACTGAAGAACCGCTTTAATCTCCAAGTTCTTCCGACATTTTATATTTAACAAACGATATGTCATCAGAAAATAAAAATATCTCAGCATCAGACACGCTTTTTGGAATATAATTTAACAAGATAAAAGGGACCTAAAATTGAACCTGGGGTACACCTGCCTTAATTTGACAATATAGCTACATTTCTTCAATATCCCACATTTTTCGAACGAAAATTTAACGGTCTGACGACGTGCAGCTAAAAAGGAGCGAACCCATTTGTTGGCCACCCCTCTAACACCAATCTCTTCGAGTTTTTCGAGAAACACTGTCAAAAAATGCCTTCGGAAGATCAAAGAAAATACCTGCAGCGGATTCTCCTTTTATCCAAGGATTCAACTGTTCTGTTGGTTAAATCAAACATTGCATCAACCGTGGATTTATTCTTCATGAAACCAAACTGATTTGAAAACAACGTGTCATTTTTATGGATACAGGAACAGTCTGGATGACTTTGATTTTAAGAATCTTATTACATCAGCCACTTCAGTTGATGATACGAGTAAGGAAAAAAAGATGACGCTACATATGTAGAATGTCTGATTTGGGGGTCATCAACCATCACTCTGGCTTCTGATTTATTGTGTGCGTTGTGTACGTTGACAAGAACAGATCTGAAACCAACTTTGGATCTCTTAAGCCATCTTTATTTTTGACGCACTTGACAGTCAACCCTGGTGATCTCTCTGTGTTCCTGTGCTCGTTTATAATTTGCCAAGCCGTTTTCGATTTACAGTGTATTTGAAGAAAGGTTAAGTCTGTCAAGAACAGTCGATGACTTGGTACGCCTTATAATGGACCTGTATCTCCTTCTTCAGTGACAAATAAATAATGCTGTGTCTCCTCGTGATATCCATCCAAGTCTCGAGTAAGGTGCCACCGTCTCATCAGATTACTCATTTCTAGCTCCACGAGAGCTAGGTACCCTGTAAGTGGACGATTTATTTTTGCTCTTTAGTTTTATTTTCCTTTCTGGAAATTCCAGGTCAAAAGCAAACTTTACCGTGGATATAAAAGTTTCCATCTTTGCGTCTATTGTGGTGGCACTAAATACATCACTCCATTGTTCACGTTACAAAAGATATTTAAAGACTTCCACATTACGGCTACAAAATGACCTTTTTATAATGTATCTAGAACCTCTGTCAAGATCTCCTTTCTTTAAAACGACAACTTGTCCGTGGTGTATAATGGTGGTGGATAACGCAGTAACCAAAACGTAGCATTGGATTTTGTTCAGAATTTAATGGGCTACAACTAAATTTTAATCAAAATCGTTCGGGCCATTTTTCAGAAATGTTGATTTTTCCGTTATTTTATGGGCTTTATGGGAAAATCCCAATTAAAAATCAAAATTTGAAAAAAAATGAAAAAAAAAACGCCTGGAGATAATTATAATGGAATAGAACCCTACACACCAAATTTCATCAAAATCGGACTACAGGTGTGGTCTGTAGCTCTGTACACATCCAGACCCACAGACACAGACAGACATAAGTTCGAAAACCACTTTTTTGGGCTCAGGGAGGGCCCAAAACGGATATATCCACTCAAATCTCAAAAATTTTGACGAAAACAATACTTTCTCCATATACTATGGTATAGGGGGAGAAAGTAACAAATAAGTAAAGGCTGGACCATAGTTCTAGGTGTCTGGCTGACGCATGCGCATTAATTTGCTGTGTTAATTCCCCATCTGTCAAAACTTGGGCTAACATATGATTAAATGCAAATTCGTTATTATGCATGCGTCAGCCAGACACCTAGAACTATGATCCGGCCTTTACAGCTGATGTATTTTTAACTCTAGGTATATGGAAAGTTACCTTTAGAAAGAAATGACGACATTATAGGGCAGTTAATGAATGGACAGTTTTGCGCAAGGTTTCTCGTCATGACGAACATTTTAAGTATATGGTTTATGGGGGTGTGACTTGTAGTTTTCTCAAAAGTTTATGGGTACTTGGGATTCATATTATATGGATCTAAAATCTTTGAGACATATCTTTTATTTACTTTCGGTAAAACACATACAATGCTGATCAAGAAGCTCAAAGTATAATCTTTGAGATTGAGATTGAGACACGGTCACGGTTGGTTGTTTTGTGGTATTTACTCAGGGGAGGTATAGAAGAGGCTACGACGACAGCTGTGGGCTTCTTATTAGCTGAGGGAACGCCATTACCGTAACAAAACGATCGGTAGCCAGCGGCCTCGGTGGTCTAGTGGTTAGCGTGCCGGGCTGATATACTGTAGGTCCCGGGTTCGAATCCTGCTGGTGGCATTAACTTTTTGTCCAAGAATTTTTTATTATCAGCAAGTTTGGTTGGTTTGGTTCGGTTATTACAGTTTAATTTTATTATTAAGTCACTAGCTGACCCGGCGAACTTCGTATCGCCTAAGTTATAGGTTTCCCCTAAGACAGACCGATGGAAAGAAAGTACCGTTACGTTTAATTTTCAAGATGATCTCGTTCGCATCGCTCAATCACGTCCTGGTTGAAGTTCGTTCGCTACGCTCACTCACCTTTGGGTTGGAGCTCGTTCGCTACGCTCACTCACCTTTAGGTTGGAGCTCGTTCGCTGCGCTCACTTGCCTTCAGGTTAGCTCGTTCGCTACGCTAACTCGCCTCCAGGTTGAAGTTCGTTCGCTACGCTCACTCACCTTTGGGTTGGAGCTCGTTCGCTACGCTCACTCACCTTTGGATTGGAGCTCGTTCGCTGCGCTCACTTGCCTTCAGGTTAGCTCGTTCGCTACGCTAACTCGCCTCCAGGTTGAAGTTCGTTCGCTACGCTCACTCACCTTTTGGTTGCAAATTAGCTGTTGTCATAAATGTAAAAGAAATAATAGTGCTGCACCCTGTTGGTAATACTTGTAACTTTAATGCTATTGAACATCATAGAACAGAACCAACTTGTTTAATTGAAACAGCTGTTAAGATTCATTAATTCCATTTCTCACAAGGTTAACATGGGAAACTCCAGAGCCACTGGGGCGGAGCCCTTTTAAGAATTTCGAAACGGGAAATAGTTTACGTCCGATTCGCATACCTACAGAATTTACACACCAAATTTCATAACGATCGGTGAAGTCGTTCCGGAGGAGTTTGCAGACAAACACTGTGACACGAGAATTTTATATATTAGATTACAAAATTTTAATTGAGCAAATTCTAGTTTTATTTAATAAACAGAATTATTTTTCCGATTACTAAACTTTTGTTATATTATTTCTTTATCAGCAAGTTTGGTTAGTTCGGTTAGGTTATGATAGTTAAATTTTATAATTAAAAAATAATAAAATTGAATTTGAGACATTTATAATTTTATTTTATGAACAGAACTATTTTTGCGATTAGTAAACCTTCATTGCCAAAGTGCTCTCTACTACAGCGCTGTTCACGGAGGAGTTTTGAACTAAATGCCTCATTCGTACCTCCCCTAAGTCAGACCCGTTGTTTTGTTTGTAGTGGAGGCACTGGCACTGTCAGTCTGTTAGTTCTCAGTTCAGTTCAGTACTCACTCAGTACAGTATAGAGTAATGTCGTTTTAGTAGGTAATGTCAAAATACTGCTCATCATAAGTCAGGTTATGTTTTGGTTGTTGTACATTTTCCCAATGAATCACAGGTTTTTCTCCAGTTGATAATATTGTTATTTGAGGATTTCTTTTATAAATGGAATCAGCAATAAAACCAGAGAATGAAAATGTAAGTCACTCTTCAGTGTTATAAAACACATTAATTGAAATAAGACATTCACTAAACTGAAATGGAATTGGCTCATCATTGGCTAGTTTGTTTAATTATGGCAGTGGCAGTTAGTTTGTAGAGCTTACAGCTGTTGTGTGTGACTCAAATTAGTCAAGACAAAAGGCCTAATCCATCCTAAAGGGGTTTTTTCTACTTGATTCAAATGACTCAAATTTTCACTCTATTTTGGTCCTCGTACATAGTTGTCTTGTTTTCAACCATTTATTTTTTTTAAATATTTAAGGACTAGCCTTTATGTCTAGGCTATTTAAACTTTATTTCCTATTATTTTAATTTATTTATTGATTCCCCATCGGTATAGCCACTTTACAGTAATATAATGTTTATTATAAATAATATAAGTAGGCCTACTAAGATAGTAGGCCTAATACTAACTTAAGTTAACAATAATAAATTAGTTATGGTCACTGTGCCCAACAAGGAATGATCATCAATAGTTGATGTTTTAGAAACATCGATGTTCAGCATTGTACTTCTCATGGCTGAAATCACATTTGTTTTTGTTCATAATTTATCTGTGTTTGTGTATGTTAAATTTTGTGTCTATTGACAACGTCAATGTGTTTCAATCATTTTTATGAAGATGAGAGGCTCAAAAATGATACTGTTGTTTCAAAACTAGTTGCCCAAGACTAAACTAGGATTGAAGGTTCAAGGTATTTAATCCTATTTATACTGTTAAAAATAAATCCTAGAAGCAATGATAAATAAACTGTTAAATTTTCCTATAATCTTGACAAGTTGGTTTCTGAGCATTTACTGCTGAATAAAGGAATATCGTCTGGGAAAAAATGGGTTCCCCCTGCAAAGAAAAAATTGATCCCTTGGTAAGTATTTTGTTACACTACATTGAAGATCACAATCCAGCCTTTCTGTAGTGTGGTCCCACACTAAACTGCTTGACTTTGTGAGGAGATGCCATATTACCACTTAATTCATCTTGTTTTGGGATTGTAGAATGAAAAAGACAACAGCTGTGATAGGGAAAGCGTACAGTCGGAGGAAATTGAGCCGAAATTGAAATATATGAGAATGACAAATGATCTTGTTAATATACTTAAGAAAGATGCTGCAAGCTGTATTGCTGTTCATCCTAAGGTGAGTTAAATATGTAGGTACACTTCTTAGTTAATTTCTTTTTTAATGCTTCAATTTCAACCTTGAGGTTTGAATAATTTTCTCCCTCATAACTTAGAGAAGACTGGTGGCAGAATTTAGAATGGCAAGTTGTCTAATGACAATAAACAGTAGATGGAGGCAGTGGCTAATTTTCAAAGGTTTAAATGACCTCCCACCCCTTCTCTGAGGGGTATTCCACACCCCCCAAACCCCCGGGTGTAACCTCCCCCCTTAGGGTCATCTAGTTAAGCATGTGGATGGAGGACTGTTGTAGCTGGATATACATTTTGTATTGCATCACATATGCAATATACGTTGTTGTGGTCCAAACAACGTAATTTTACTTTACTCATTGTTGTGGCTTGCCCCTGAACTTGAATTGAATTGTATTGAATTGAATTGAAAATTACTTTATTCATAAATCATACAAGTATGTACATTGAATGGCGTCAAAATTCTTTAACTAGCCTACTTAAACTTACAACATAATATCAGCTGTACAGTTCATCAAAATTATACAGTACTTTTTGTGTTAAGTATATTTTAAGCTGGGTTTTGAAATTTTTTACAATCCTCAATTTTCCTCAACCACTCTGGTAGCCCTTCCAAAAATTTTCTTCCAGCACATGACGGTTTTTTGTTATAAAATTCCAATCTATCGGCACCAACAGCAATTTTGTTTCTATGCCGGGTGCCATATTCATGGTTATCCCCTTGTTAGGTAACATACTTTCAGACAAAAGATTTTGAGTTAAAAGAACGGGAAAACATAAATGCCGTACACAGTCATTATACCCATGGCTAAGAAATGATCACGTACGGAAACATCCCAGTTTAAATTTAACATTAGTCTTATCACTCTTTTCTGCAAAATTAAAATTCTATCTAAATTTTTCTTTGATGTTGCACCATAAACACTTATGCCAAATGATATTGGGGATTCAATGATAGCAAAATAAAGCTTTTTCAAAATATCTGCTGAACAAAATTTAGACATTCTATAGGCTAAATTGCATAAATTCCAAATGTGATTTTGCTGACAACATGGTCAACATGGGAGTTCCATGAAAGATTATCATCAACTACTAAGCCCAAAAATTTAGTTGTAGTAACTTGATTAAGATTAGAATTTTTAAAATTAATCACTGGATCAATTGGATTTTTTTGTTTACCTGTTAAAAATACTATAAAGTTGGTTTTACTGGAATTTAAAAGTAATTGATGATAGTTTAAGAAAGCATCTATTGTTTTTAGGCAATTCAAAGAGTTAAATTCCAAACCGGAAACAGATGTACTGCTTTCTTTTAAACTTGCATCGTCTACATACAAACTTATTTTATTAGATATATTGTTTTGAAATGACCCGGGCATTCCTTTGATGTAACAAAGAAATAAAACAGGTCCCAAAATCGAACCCTGTGGGACCCCATGTTGAATAGTAGATAACTTTGAGCAGGAGGTTGAAAAAACGTTATTTTTTAATTGCTTCATTTCAACATACTGAGATCTCTGAGTTAAATAGGATCGAAACCACTTCAATGACCTACTGTCGGCACCCAAATCTCGGATCTTCCCCAAAAGAAGCTGGTGTGAGACACTGTCAAAAGCCTTAGTCAGGTCCAAAAATATGCGTACTGTTTTATTCCCTTTATCCACTGAGTTTATTATTGAATCAATAAAATCTACTGCTGCAGTTATAACAGATCTACCTGGTCTGAATCCATGTTGTTCATCATCATGCAAATGGTTTTCTTCTAGATAAGTTACTAATTTTTTATAAACAACTTTTTCATATAATTTAGAAAATGATGACAGTAAAGATAATGGTCGATAATTTGTTATATTTTTTGGATCTCCATTTTTATAGGGAGGACTAACTTTGGTAACTTTTAATTTTTCAGGGAAAATTCCACTCAAGAAAGAGGAATTTATTATTATGAACAAGTGGTTTGACCAATTGTTTGCCAGCATATTTTAATACTGTCATAGGTATTTAATCGTAACCGGTTGATAGTTTACAGTATTATCGAAAGAGTTTAGAATACTTAATATATCATTATCACATACAGCATTCAATTTAAATTTAGCCGTTGGAGGACACTGAAAGCTTGGACAAGCCTCACCCCCATGCAAACTATCATTTTGAGCTAGCTGAGGCATAATTGATGAATTAACATAGCTATTAAAAAAGTCATTAAAAATACAACTTAGGGTCTCTGTACAAGATTCCATCAAAATCTATTTGCCGCCCACATTGTTGTACAATCCCGCCCATCATCAGAATAGGTCAAGTAAAGAAAGTAAACAGGAATAATTTTCAATCATATTGTGGGTTACCAACAAATAATTCTCTACATTGAAAACTCATAAGAGAAGTAATTTGGGTCACACAATTCACCAAAAGTAATGTAGGTCACACATCAGATCCTCAGATTTTGTGACCCAAATTACAGTGACCGACATTAGCATCACTCTCGTCATTTACTAAAATGGAACATAGAGGCCATGGTCCCCTTTGCTGGCCATAAGTTTGGTTAAGTATGCGTTTGACGTATATTTTCTTAGTTTTAAATCAGTTATTTGCCTTATTGTAACATTTATTACCAGTACCGACCATTACACAAAAACTTAACTCTTACAAAACGGATTTTAAATAAAGACTTTCCGAATAAACCGGAAAGCCTGGCATAACATTACGCCTCACCTACTTCACCCACAGTCAACAACGAACTGAGAGAGGCCAAAATATCGATCCGCCCGTAGTCAATAGGGTTGAAAGACCTGACGAGAACTGGTTCCGACCCTCGAACCCAGCATTACATTCACGGCCAGGGACGCGACTTTTAACGATCGTTATTGCCAGTATAATTTCATTAAAAAGCCTGTTTGGTAATTTTTGTCAATATTTTAACACTATAAATTAATTCAAACCAAATACTTAAAATTTATTGCCTTAATATCACTGAAAATATAAGCTTATGGATCCAACTTCTAACCTAGGGGACAGGGTTTTTTTACTAAATATACCCATTTTGCAACTTTTCAAACACACTTTTCTTTACTACATGGTATTAAAATCTAGAAACATAAACATATTTATTCGAAGGAATGTATAATAAATTATTTTAAAACTATTTGGAGCAGGAATAGATAGCAGAAGAGGTATAAATAGCTGGGGACAGCAATTGTCCTGTTTTCAAGTTTTTACCCATAGGCTACCTAGTTTATACTTAGCTAAAATTGATTGTTTGAAATTCTTTTGGGTGATACTCAGTTTACATTGTTCAAAGGACATTCACTTTATAGTGAATCTTCAATTTTTCTTATAAGTGAAGGATGTCAGCAATAATCTTTAATTTGAATAAAATTTTATTGGTTGATTTTCAGTTTATCTGTATCGGAACACAATTCGGTTGGATTTACATGCTAGACCACCAAGGCAACAGTGTACGATATAAAGACAATGCTTCTCAGGGGTTCAACGCTCACACTGTCTCTGTCAACATGATTAGCGTCGATGTCAACGGAGACTTTATAGCCAGCTGCTCAGACGATGGCAAGGTCAATAATTACTTTTCTTTGTTTCTTTTAAGATTGTCATTGGTTTGTGGCCTATGCAATTTTTTAAGTTTTTTTTATGTGTTTCTTCCATATACTGAACGTTATATTGATCTTGGATTGTCATGTACATTTATAACTTAAGCTTAAATTCCAAATGAATTTTAAATTCAAACAAAAATCTTAAAATCACCCTACTTGGAGGTTTATTTTATTTCCTTAATTCTTTTTCATTCGGTTTTTCTATTTAATTCTTACAATATACATGGATATATTAATTCAAATGTTTTTAGTGTTAAAAGGTTTTTGGTTTACTCTTCTTTTAAGAACTAGCATCAAGTTCTATTCAACGGTATTACAACAAACATGTGATTTATCAGGATGATTTAACCATAACTAACCAACTAGTCCTTATCTCAAATAATTAATAATTGATTATTGAAAACCTAAGCTGAAGTCTAATAACAATTATTGGTATGGTCAGAAAAGAACCTATGATTTAATGTAGCACATAGATCATCATTTATGAAATTAATAATATCGCCTACGTAACTGTACTAGTTAGGGTAGCTATAAAATTGCATCTGGCTGGCATCAACATACATATTAACAGTGCAATGCTTTCTTTTCACATATAAAGTAAACAATATCGGTCCAAGACAGCTGTCTTGAGGTACACCAAACGTTCTATGCAAAAATGTAATGTTTCGTTTCCCACAATGATGGCACTGTGTACTGTGCATGTTGTATCCCAATTAACTGCATTCCTACCAATCCATTTAAGTGAATTTTTGCCTATAAAAATGTATGTCAAAAATATACTCTTATGGATTCAGCTGAAAAGCAATCTATTTATGTGCTGTTTTTATGAATCAGTTTTAGCATGTTTATGTGCTTGTCCCAGGTGCTGGTCCATGGTTTCTACACTTCAGAACACAACCAGACACTCATGTTAGGCAGACTAGTCAAGTGTGTAGCTATCGACCCCAACTACTCCAAGCCAGGGACTGGACGTAGATTTGTCACTGGTGAGCATAAGGGATTATTGTTAACATTTTACATCGCGATTAGTATAAAGAAGTTTTCAGGAGGTTTGGGGATGTGGATGCTGATCCCATCATTAGGTGGATACCTAAAACATACGCGTGACAGTTCATAAATTCAGCCAAAGCTGGAGATTGGAGGGTCTGAATGCTGTTTTGGCTAGGTCAGGTGTGCAGCATGTGTAGTTAACCTGTCTATAGCAGAGATTAACTGAATAAGTCCACATAAAAAACCTATTGAACAGCGGAAGTTTACAGAATGGGTCAATTATTTGCGAGATGCACGTCAGTTCAGACCTTTGTTACTTGACCTTCTTACTGTTTGTGTGTGTATACAGTCCACTTATATTTCACTAAATATAATTTGGATTTTTGTGTCTTTAACATGAGGGGACACCAAATAAATTGGCAAAAATATTAATGACACATCCCTTGGGCAAGTAAAGTTGAGGAAAATATTGGTATAAATAGTTGGTTCCAAGCTCAGAGTGAAAGTGAGGTTTGAATGTCGTCAGGTGACGAGCGCTTAGTCCTGCACGAGAAGACGTTCCTCTCTCGGATCCGCTCGACCGTGTTGTTTGACATGGGAGTGGAGGGGGGAGTGCAGAACGTACGGTGGAGTGAGGCGGGACAACACATCGCATGGGCCACACAGCAGGGCGTGCGAGTCTACGACATCACCAACAAGTGCTCTCTTGGACTTGTCAAGTGGACCAAGTCTACCAAGTCAGTCAATCACTGTTATCCTCAACTGTTCAGTCAAATTTCAGGGTTGCCACCAGCCATGAAAACCTTGAAAAGCGTGAATTATGCGTGAATTTAGGTGACCATGAAAAAGTGCGTGAATTATGCGTGAATTTCGTCATTGGACCATGAATTCTCAAAATCATTATTAACAATTCAGCCAAAACCCCTAAATGTGCTGAATCAAATACTCCGTATTAAAACCATTCTCGAAATGAACACCGAGATAAAACGTCAAAGTGGGAGTGTCGAGATAAAAAGTTTTGTTGCCATGGCACGAACAGAAACGATTGCGTAGTTCAAGGTCAAATCCGATCGCAACCGACGTCAGCCGAGTAGTCTAGAGATGGGAATTATCGTTGTTTTCCGGCAACGGTTATAACGATAACGCAGCTGCCCAATAACGTATTGCGGCAACCTGTTATTTCAATAACGATTGCCAACTCGTTGCCGCTATAAACCGTTGTCCGCCGGTCGGTGTTGCTGTTGCGGCGTTCAGTTATCATTGTCGGTTGATCAGTTCAGTTTTCAGTTGTAGTCGGGAGTCGGGCGTTGCCGCGTTGTCCAGACAGGATGCGTTATTCTAGTTCGTTTCAGAAGTTATCGTTGCTCTTGCTCTGGTAGCGTTGCGGCAACGGCACTAATGGCAATGCATGTTTTCGTTTTCGTTGTCGCGCGGCTTTCCTGCAACATTGTGTAGATAGATACGGTATTATAATAACAGGGAGTTCTCTGCAACGTGTTGCCGCGATAACGTTGCCGTGGCCGCAACACTGTTATTCATCCTGTTATTCCTGTTATGTTATAACGCCCATCTCTACCACCGAGTTATTGTCTGTGCGAGTACCGATCTACCGATAAAATCGATGCTTTCGGAGCTAAAACATCGATCACATCGATGTTTGTTCCGAGTTTCTCGTCTGTTGTCTGTTCTCTGCACTGTAACAGCCAATTAACCTAAAACCAATACAATTCAGTTCCGGAAAACATCAATATTTCATATTTCATTACTTTTGTTGGCCTAAAAGACCGATGTAACAAACCAAATCATCGGTTCGGTAATCTACCATCGATGTAAACAAATAACTTCGAACATCGATAGAAAAGACATCGATGTTTCGAAAACATCGACAATCGGAATTGATGCTCGCTCTCATTCTCTACTCTCTACTCTAGTGTTTGTGTGGAATGAAATACAGAGTAACCATAACCTAAAAGTTTTAAACTGATCTGAAACTTAGAAACGAGTCAAACGTTTGAAGTTTGATTGAAGTAGTGGTGGACCGGTGGTGGACACTGGACAGTAAGATCACTTGTTGCACTCGTGATTCAGTTTTGTGCTTCTTATAATTGATTACCCAACACTCAGTGGAACAAGTGTTCAGATTAAATATTTTTTATTACTGATATATTATACTTCCGATACTTTACAACGTTAAAATAAGAAGTACCTTGCCTTGCCATAAAGGTCAAAATGGCTTGCGCCGGCTGGAACTTAATCGTCTTCTGTGTTTGTTTTGGTCAAATATGTCGTCATTTCAAACTACTGTCAGTGTTGAGTAAATGTGTTACAACGTGAGATTAAGTTTATTTATTTAGGCCTAAGTTGCAAGAAGTCAATGTTGTGCTGAAAAATGGTGATTTCGTTCTGAGGAAGGTAACTTAAATGTAAATGTTTTGTTGAAGCATATAACTAGGTGTTTTCAGTCAATACGAATCTAACTAAGTTTTTAATGAGATGTAAATTTAATTAAATAATTGTTTTAACTGTGATTTAAACCTGTGTAGGCAAATAATAATATATAAACTGATCCAATCTGAAGAAACATCCTCCTAACTAAGTTTATTTTAACCTTTTCTGTAATGTAATTAATTATTTTTTTATTACTTAATGTAAGTTAGCCTATGTCTAAACTTACATACATTCCATTACTTTTGTTTCGTTCTTAGCTTTAACTAAATATTTATTTACATAATCTTACCTTTTTAGAGTGTTTTTATCAGTCAGTCGGTAACCTTTAATCTTCTCAATAAATAAAAGTTGGTTCAGGCCTAACTTAGCCAAGATTCAGTTTTGGATTACAATGTAGGCTAGCCTACTGTGTTACAGTATAAAGTAATAAATTGCATGTGCGTTTTAGTAGGCCTAGATATGGCCCATTCATTACCAAGTTAACCATTTCTTGATCATGTTCTTAACATTTGTTTTTATAGTAGCCTATTATCTTAATTTGATGTTTAGACAGTGAAGTTCTAGGCCATTGCTGGATTAACTAAGTTAAACCTTTTATGTTTGGATGCAATGTTTTTTAGGTTAGGCCTAGACCTAACTACCAATCCGACTTATTTTTTTATTTATTATTTCTTCTAACGTTTGAATTTATCATTAGGCCTATGATGTTGTTAAATCAGATGTTTCAATTTTTTTTTAATAATTACATCTTATTATCACACACAAGATTTTTATTAATCCTTTTTCTTCTGTGATTTTACTTTTTTAGACTGGATAAATTATATTAAATTCTTATTTTTAACTCTAAAATAAACACATGAAATGTGTTTTATTTGATAGTAGCACACAAAACTATATATTGTCGATAAATTAATGTACAATTCTGAACTAGGCAACACTCTTTTATGGTGAAATTGTGCGAGCATATACCCCATGAATTTTTCAAAACTACCAATGAAAACCTTGAATTATGCATGAATTTTTTTATTTCACTTTGGTGGCAACCCTGAATTTGCAGTAGGATTGAATGATTGATTTGATTTAGCTTACAGCCAAAATTAATGTTATATTAAACACTATAAGTAGTTAAATACATGTATTATTGGTAATCCTATTTGATGCCACTTGTGGTGGCAACTAGTTTTGGTCTATACAAAACAATCATTACGCATCATAGGGTCGGAAAAATCACGTCTTCTGAAGGTCGTCATATTTGACATGCATTAATAAAAGAAATACTCAACTCACATGAAAAGAATTTATAGCTTTACGGGTGGGAATTTACATCTTGACTTGAGTGTTGCGTCTTTTTAGTACAGTAAAGTCCTGCACCGTATATTAACCCGGCAACCTAGATTTCTTGTCAGTCCCAAAAACATTATAACGTAAGTTCCACATAACCCTGCATTGGTGTTAGTTATATGAATCTGTGATACAGAACTGAGAAGTCACTCAGTACATTGTCTTATTATTTGAACTAAGCGAACTTAGCAGACACTTATCAGAGTTTGTAGAACTGTACTGTACCAAACACTGATTCCTTAAACCAGGCGTCTCCAAGCTACGGCTCACGTTCCTGCAAGGGGTTTTTGTACGGTACGGTTTTTTTAACAATATAGATTTTTTTATGTATTGTCATACATTAAAAAAATAAAATATTTGTTTGATTAGTAATAATGGGTATTGTTTTAAGTTTTGGAATGATCCATATGAAGGAATTTTTTTACCAATACAAGAATAACTGAATGCCTATTTGGAATTTTTGCCTGCCTGGCCACCAAGATTTTACAATCTGGCCCTTGCGTAAAAAATTTTGGAGACACCAGCTGCCTTAAACTATGCCTTATTGTTAACAGTTTTGAAGGTGAGAAGTCTCGGTGCAACCTCTGCTGGAAGGACGCCACCACTCTGCTGGTAGGCTGGGTAGACACCGTCAGGATACTGAATGTGCGACGTCGCACTCACACGGAGATGGCTCTCACTCCAGACTGGCCTCAGTTTGTGGTTGAGATCGGTAGGTAAATAGACAAATAAATATTTGGGTTTAATGTTCAATGATACCAACATGTTACTGCCAAAGTATTCAATACCTGAATCTTTTAGGCAAAGTATGAAATGGAATAGTAACAATAGGATTTTATATACTGTAACGTGCCTATTTTGAGGGGAAGTGGGGGGGGGGGGGTAACTAGCCTTTTTAGTTGTCTGGCCTAACCCAAGGTAAAGCCTACAATCCCTAACTAAGGTTATATGTTTGAAAGCTAATCTTAGTTATAACTTCACTATCTATGATAGGCAGAGTTTTAATTCTGTATTAGTGTGAAATAAACCTTACAGAGTTTTAAAAAGCATATTAACTCACCAGCAATGTGTTTGGCAAGCTAAGACTAAACCCGGCTTAGTACTTCGACGACACTTTCTACACTTGGTAAACGTGCAGATACCAAATAATCCATCTTTAGGCACATTTTCATATTTCTCTTAATGAGGAAAAAATTATATATTTATTGAAAATACTCATTTTTGTTTTGGAACCCTTAATTAGCCTACATTAATATGATCTACACAACTCATGCGAGCAACCTGAACCGCCTCCGCAACGCGGTCCGAACTCCGAAAAATACTAACATGTGTCTATTCAGACTAGTAGCAGAATAGGAAGATAATGTCAACTTCCCCTCTCGCTCTCGGCTCCCCCTACTTGCCACTACAGCCCCTCACACCCAGGCGTCACGAAGAAACACACAAACTCTAGACTGTTTTTAAGCCTCAGACCCATGTGGTATGGCGATCTTTGGTAAAGTCATAGCTGATGTCTTTGATACTGCAAATTATTTTTTGAACGTGTTGGGTATTGATGAATAAATTGATTGTTTATAAATAATTGCGGATTACTCTTGGAGTATACAAGAATTTTATAAATGTAAAGTAAAGGTATTGTTAAAATTACATAGGTTTGTTTAATAAAGCGGTTTACATGATATTTATTTGTGTGTGAATGATAAAATTCTTAAAACTTCTTTTGAATCTTAAAAATAGTTGAGGCATATTATGTTGAGCCCCATAACTCAATGCCATATCGCATAGTGGAAAAAGATATGGCATAATAAGTTATGATATTGGTGTTAGAATTAATTATGTAATGATGGACAAAACCCAGGATTTCAATTAGGCTAAGGCTTTGTTAGGAAACGATCATAATACTATGAAGCACATTAACAAACACATATCAAACCCACTATGTTAAGGACACAACACATAAAACATTTTATAGGGAAGAAATACAAGTTCTGACGATTTATAATTGTTATTATTATTATTTTTCGTCGTTTACAGTCTGCAGGTTTGCCGAGGCGGGGGTATTTTTAGTTGGTTTTGGTTTTGAGGTTTGGATTTGAATTTTCTGGTTTTGACCGCCACTACCTATTATACTTAAAGATATTAAGAATATGTTTTGTCTTTAACACATTCACTGGGTGTTTAGAGACTAGATACAGAGGAGTGTAGCCTACATGTGGTAGAATACAAGGAAACTTCATAAAAAAAGCTTAAATTTAATCTAGAATGTTTGCAACCGCAGTGCTGTCATTCCAAACGGACTTCTTGATCTGTGGTGTGGGACCTCTGGATAGTCAGCTGGTTGTGCTGGGTTACTGGCGTGCAGACGACGGAGCCCAGCGGCCACAGCTACATGTGCTGGAGCCTAGACCTGGGGACTACGGCTCAGTGTGTACTGACAATCTTAGCCTGCGTGGTTACACGGAGTATACCTGCAACGACTATTTTCTTGGTCAGTTATAGCTAGAAGATTTTTTAACGGACATTTAGTAAAAGTTCCTGAACTCTGTAGTTCCTGTACTCCATCCTGAACGTTGTAAAACCAAACACCATGCAGCTGAGTTGTTCATTTCAACATCATCAATTATACAGTAGAGTCCCAATAGTCCGAAATGGTTAGGACTGGGCCCATTTAGGATTACCGAATATTTCAGATTAAGCTCGCCTAAATGTTAAAAAAAAATTTTTCCTATGACGTTAGGCACGAGCCCGGGATTGTTTTTCACATTTCATTTTTTACATTAGGCTAGACTTGGGGTTGCGGCATTATCACTTAGATAAAATGAAAATCCATTTGTGATTTGGCGGGATTTGAACCTGGTACCTCTGGGGCCAAAGCCCCATGCTCTAACCACTAGACCAGCTCGCTCCCTCAAGCAAAATGTTAACTAAAATAGTCTATACAACAAGTCTACCTCGCCCGACCGCTACAGAATACTTCAAGGCGGTACAACTAACTGTCGTTACAAGACAGTACTACAGTCTCGGCTTTTCCCAATATGTGACAGCACGCACTGGGTCATCACTTTTTGTGTCTACAATAAATTGCATTAATGTCATCACGCGATGGTGTGCTAGTAGTTTTGACTTTCCCCGATAAGTGACAGCACGTAGCCCTACTGAAAAAAATTCACAAAAAAAATTAAAAAATTCTTTTTCGGTTTCGGATTAAGCGGACTTTCGGATTACCAAAGTTCGGATTATCGGGACTCCACTGTAAATTTATTTCTCCTGCATTTTACTTGTGTACATAGTTCCCCCATTCACAACCTTTGAAGTTATCCAACCATCCAACCTGGGTCCTGTGAGAGTCAGTTAAGAGAATGTGTACTGGAATAATACTTGATTCTCATTATTGAGTACTACTTATTGAGAACTCAAAAGTTTATAACTAACTAACTAAACTGGCCTGACTTAGAATGTCTGGTGGAAGAGAATTGCTATCTGGTGATGTGTCCCAAAGATGTGGTCGTGGCGACGCCAGTCGACGCAGACGACAGAATCAGCTGGCTTATGGACCACTGGTATGCAGGCTTAAATATCTGTCACATTACGTTTGTTTATTACTTTCTCTTCCCTTTGAAGAAAGTATTTTGTCAAGATTTGAGCAGTGGCGGCTGGTCCATAAGGATACTGGGACGGAGTCCTCCTATATTTTCTAGACAATAGTAAGATTAATAATAATAAACATATAAATATAATTTTTATTCCTCCATTTGAATATACATAAACATTAGCAGGGTGAATGTTTTTAGGATAGGTGATAATGGAAGCAGCATGTTTTTGCAACAGGTAGTACACTGGGATTTAGTAGATATGAGTCCGAACTTCCATATAAACTGCATGGAAAAATTGGACCAATCATAGCACTGCGTCAGGCTTTAATGCAATAAGTATAGGGCGTTTGGGACTCTGTCGAAAAAGTAGTTTTAACTACTGTATTGCCACAACAAGCGGTGAGCGCTACAATCTGTCGACTGTCAATATCTGTCAAATAAGTGAAATGCAGTAGTTAGTGATTTGTAGAGGTTATGTTCATCATACCTCCGGTATTCGAGGTGTTAGTTAATGTAACAACTATTGTTTCTCTAGATGTGTTGTTCAGTAATGCTAATGAATTATGAATTCTATTAAAAATCTTTCTGCAAAGTATGCAACTGGTGAGGACAATTATAAACAAAGAGACGATGAAAACAATAACAGTATAAATAAAACAGTCTATATCCAAATACCCCCGCCGCAGCAAACCTGCAGACTAAGCGAATTTCAACTTGTCTGATTACATTATTACTACAATATTTCCATAAATAAGACATATTTATTCCCAATTATTTAAAAAAAACATTAGATTTAAGGAGTGCTTAGGTTTGCTGATACCGGGAAGGTAAAAAGTGTTTTTTGACCATACGTCAACAGTAGGGCCTATAGGATGAAATAAATAAATTTGCCAAATTTTATCAACATATAAACAACAACCAATATAATCAACATAATAAACAAGTAAACTACAACAGTTTTCATTTTCTCCATAGGAATAACATGGGAATTTTAAATAACATTATTTTTTAATTTTCTCCGTGACCGTTAGGCATACAACAGAGCTTAAATATACTAAATTGTTTCTTTTTTTAAGCTCTAAAAATTCTTTAAAAAGAAATTGCAACTTTTTTTGTTTTTAGGGTCAAAAATGGGAAAAACCCATTTTTACCCCATAAAACGCCCCATAAACCCTCGTTCCCATGGTCCAATTATGCTGCTTCGCGAACAAGTTCATTTAAACGTAGGTTTACATGTTTGTACCAAATTTCATCTAAATTGAATCATTTTTGCTCGAGTTATCGCGCTAACGGACACACATATATATATATGAATTTGAATGGATGGCGTTTTTGGCCTCTAGGGACTTCAAAACGAAAAATTATATCGGTCCCAGGTCCAGGTCTTACCATGAGTACTACTGTAATAGTTTATTCCCTATATGGGAAATTTGCTAAAAGGGGCCTAAACTGATATTTAACACGTTCGGTGCGGCCCATCAAATGGCAGGCGAAGCCCCAGTGTGGCGCAGCCCGCAGCGTCGAAATAACCCGATTGCCGGGTGATTAACTTTCAAATTTTGGTCTCACAAATAGCAAATAACGTGCAGTGATGTCTTACGACGAGAGTCAACGTAGTTCGCTAAAACACCAAACGATAGCAGCACTGCTTGGAACCTAGCCGGTCCCATTGTATTGCCAATTGGAGGTAGAAAGACGGGACAAAAAGTTGATTTTTAAGCTTGCCAGATGGGGATTTTACGGGAAAATTTACTACCAACCTACACCACAATAAAAAGCAAGCCACACACTACACACTAACGTGGTATAGGTCCACCTACGAGCGACACTAGAGCAAAAACGAAAATAAACTAAAGGCATTGCCGAGCGTATCCTATCGATTACGGTAGCACCCTAACACCCGCTCGGCCCGTATCCGATCGGATACGCCTGCAGTGAACGTGTTAAATAACTCAATTTTTTAAACATTTATCCTTCCCTCGATATATACTACTTTAACCTACCAGCCGCCACTGAGTTTGAGTTTATGTTGGAAATATTTATTGCGGTTTTAAGAGTGATGTCTCCCTGAGTATGTATGTTTGTGTTTGTCAGTTATGTATACAGAGACTAAAGCCACACCATTGATCCAATTTTGTGAAATTTGGCAAATATAGTGTCTCATAAAAGCTTGTATTTCCACTAGACAAAAAATTTTCTTTCCTAACTCAATGTCTAATTTCCTTTTATTTTGTTAGAATATTTAAGAAACACATTACAAGATTTGTAAAAAACACAAAATAATTTTCTTACACTTTGATGAAGTGTAGCAAGAAAATTGCATGGATGCTCACCTGATAATTAAATTTACTGCTGGCTCAATTCTCATAAAGTTTATAGATTTTTTATGGTTCAAAGCCGCTTTTGGCTTGAATAATATCACCAACTATTACAAAATCAGTATTGAGACACGCCTGGATGTATTTTAACGCAAAATATGAATGGAAGGCGAGTGGATGGAATGAGATGCCCTGAGCAGCTTTTTACTGACTAAGACCATATGTACCATTATTTAAAAGCGCAACAATCAAAGACAGCTCACCTTAGTTTTGAACAATTTAATTTAATTTAATCTGCTGACATTCTGAGGATCAAAACTTTGATTAGTAGGCAAACACTATTACACTCAGCTACCTAGCTAACAGTATTGTATAGCTTGAAAATGCTTACAGGAAGTTTGAGGAGGCAATGGTAGCAGTTGAGAGCAACGAGAAGGAAGTCCAACGCTACACCAAGCTGAGCATTGGACAAGCTTATCTGGATCATCTGTTGTTGCTGGAGGAATATGAGAAAGCTGCCCAGTTGTGCCAGAACATCCTGGGTAACTATCAGACACCATCTCACACCATGAAAACACATCAAGCTTTGTGAGACTTAATGAAGCTCATTGTGTGCAAATTTAGTCTGTTTAATGTACGTGAAACCATAATCACAATATATAATAGTATATGATAGTTATCTTTCGTCTCATAGTCCATTTTAAAGAATCTGATGATTGGTACTTTTAAGGAAAGTTATGTGCCTAATTAAGGAGTTTTTTTTTTTTTTTTTTTTGAAGGTCGGCCCAAAAAAGGTTCTTATCAAAACTGGACTGCTTATTATAATTTAACTTCTGTTTTAATGAACATCACTCCACAACAATGTTCAGGAATGGTTAAAAACATGCAAAGACGAATGGAATGTGTCAATGGTGGAATCTTAGTTTTACGATAGAGTAAGTTTGTACAACTAATAAATAATAATTAATTGCCGTGAGGCGTGAAATTATGAGTACCTTATTTTGGGCCACCCTGTAGTTCAGCTAGCTTTCGTGAGAAAAATAAAGTCTAGGGCTAATAGATACAAATAAATATGGTAACATCACATAACAATTTATTGTCCTAAAATATAAAACTTATTCTTAGAGTTGATTCATAAGTTTTTGTATTTGATGAAGTCCTATGTTGAAACGAAATATAGGTGTTATTTGACCTTTACCTTATAGGCTATTGTGTTATCTTATTAGTCCCTTGACTCTTATTTGTTACATATGCTAGCTCTCTATCCCTTTCCAATGGAATTCATTTTTACCTTGGTAGCTAAAAGTAGTTATAGTAGTTAGAGTAGTTATAGTGCACCCCTAATAATCGGAAAGTCTGTGGTTTGATCCTGATAAAAGTCATTAACTTTTTTAATTGTTCGACACTGGACCTAACTGTCCTTGCTTATTGGGCTTATAATAAACAATCTTAGCTTAAGTAGCATCTGATCTTAGTAACAAAGCCAAATAAGGCACCTCACTCATATTTCATTCATACCTGGGTAAATAAAAAAACTTAGTTGTGTCCATCTTGAAATACAGTAGAACTTCAACTATCCGAATCAATTGGGATCATACTTACTTTCGGATATTTGGATTTTACCAAAATATGGGGTATTTTACAGGAAATAGCCCAAGTTATTACTATTGGGATCGCAGAACGCGTCTGATAAGTTTTTACAGTTGAAAAATTCACGCTTTTGCTGGGATCACGAAGTTCATTATGATTTTCTGTGGGAGACAAAATTATGTCTACAAGACTGCGGAAAATTTTCAAGATTTTGCTGCCATCACAGAAAAATTATGAAAAAAAAAATTATGACGATGTTTCCATTTCCATGACCGCAGGAGACAATAATGATGTATATGGGACCGAGCGATATGTTAACCCCAATTGACATTTTGCTGTGATCACCGAAAACGATGATGATATTTCTGTGACTGTGAGAGACAATGATGATGTCTACAAGACTGCGGAAGATGTGCAAGATTTGGCCATAATCGCAAAAAACGAGTAACCGAGGGAGAAGACAATTGCGTCTTCATGACCGCAGGAGAGGTTTTAGATTATGTCAGGATCAAAGTTTTTGCCTTCTTTAATAACAGTTCTCATTACCTGCATTATTTGAGAGGTATTTTTTCTACACATCTAAACCTAACATTAAATGTTTGTTTAAGGTACAAACAAGAGACTATGGGAGGAGGAGGTGTTTAAGTTTGCCAGAGTTCACCAGCTACGCACAGTCAGTCCTTACCTGCCTATCCATAGCAACTGCCTCGACCCCTACATCTACGAGATGGTTCTTTATGAATTTCTCAAAATGGACCCTCAGGTTTCTTGCTTTAAGTATTCCATAGTATATTACAGTACAAAAGAAATTGGCATAATGTTGACCAAAAAGTGCTGAATTGGAAAAACGCCACGCCACGTCTTGGGGAAAAAAATAAAACTAAGGCATATAATATTACACTAGTGGCTTGTGAGGACATTAGTCCCTAAAAAGCTCAAATGTAAAACAAATTATTCTAATATTTAACAAACTCAGAATGATTGTAAATAAATACTGGTTTATTAAGGTAGCTTTGGTCTTGTGGTTAATGGTGGTAAAAATGCCAAAAATGGCTTCCCTGATTGGAATTTTTGGAATTGTATTCGTCAAATATGAAAAGGCAAATAAATGTATGTTGAGGTAAGCTTAGTTCTAGGTCAAAACCGCTTATTTAGCATCTCTTCCCAGTTAATATTTCTAAGTTTATGCTCCTTTTGTAAAGGTTTAACAAAATTGGTGTAAAGTGAAGGCATCCCATTGACCAAACTTAACCCTAGATCTGTTTCTGGTCAACATAAAAAAAAAAAAAAACAATTAGTGTAAGTTTATGTGGTGGTATTCCTCTTAAAGATGCGTTTGACTATATTTTATCAAAATAGGCCTAATCATCGACTGATTCCTAACTCTTTTGCGACTGGTTAGGGTTACATTACACAGTTATCGAAACCAATGGCTTAACGTAATTAGCCTACTTTTCATCAGCATTGTCTTGCATATTTTTAGTTAGTTTAAGAAACGTAAAGAAATGGAAACTATCTCTAGGTTTTACTGTTATGTACGGATGCTCTCTTTACCATATATACTATTCATGCTATGCTATATTGTTTAAACCTTTTTTTTTTTGTTTTTTCTTAGAGCAACAGTAACAGTACCTGTTTAAAATCTCATCCAAACAACATTGTTTTTCCACCCAATGGAACCTGTCATAGAATTAAATTATTAATTAACAAATATATTGCTTGTACGAACCTATTTCATCTTTATTCCCATGTTATTTTCTAAGAGTAGCCGTTGAGGTTATTCCACTTCATGCAAAATATTGATTAAACACTACAATAAATCTCAAATTAAAAAGGTTAGTAGATTTACAAAGAAAGTGTAGATTAAATCTTGAACATATGTTTTATATGTTCAAGATTTAATCTACACTTTCTTTGTAAATCTACTAACATTTTTAATTTGAGATTTATTGTAGTGTTTAATCAATATTTTGCATGAAGTGGAATAACCTCAACGGCTACTGTTTTAAAAAAAACAAAGCAGAAGTTGACCTTTTAATCTTGAATCGTTAATTATTTAGTCAATGTGGTAATTTCATGTTAAACATTCCTTCAACACACAAAATTATCTTCAAATTAGAAAGTTCATTCAATATTCTACGTTCAATTCTTTTGATTTGAGCCAGCTCCCATGATTCTACTACTTATCATACGCTTAAAAATACACAAATTTGAAAGGTTTCACAGTAAAATAATTTATTTCAACTTTCTAATACGTAACTAAAAAGTCTTGATTATTATAGGTAACGTAATCCCTAGTTTTATATAGTATACAGTAGCCTAAATTGCAGAATTGACTGGCAATTAAGTCATCCAAATGTCAATATTGCGTGCCGGCTTAGTGATAAATCACGATCAGCTGTATTGAAGTAAACAAAAATCAGCAGTAAATGGCTTCTAATGCTATTCTTATGGAGAATATTTTACGTTATATCTAATTTTGTGTTAAACTTTTGGGAATTTAACTATTTTTCCCACCGTCACGGGGTTGAGACCTTTAATTTTAGCCCTCTCCCGTCGTTCTATGACTTCCCAGTCGCCCACAATTTTGACGCAAAGAATCGGCTTACGTAATTAATATATAGATAGATTTTTCTCTTCATTCTCATATGGACAATACATTTAGAACACCATGCCACTGAAGTACATAAATTCAACTTCTTGACGAAAACTTTAAAATTATTAACTATATCATTGTGCTGACTGCCTGGCTAGCGGCTTGGCTATTAGCTATCGCTCCGGTTGTCAGGTATGCATCACTTAATGTCTGAAAGTAGTGCCACATCAACATGAAAAAGGCAATGTATAGTTACGCAAACTATAGAAGCTAATGAGTACTATAGTTCACCAAAAGGGTTGTAAATGACACTGGCATAGGGTACTGTGCAACTTAAGTACTAATTATGAGTTAGCTAGTAAATCCAAACTGGTTGTTTTCGGTTGCCACCTTTATGGGACTGTGTTTTAAATTCTTAACTATTTTAAAAACATGCTGTTTTACAGGATCTTAATCACAAAACATACCTTAACTTTGCTTACCTTAATCAGAACTCAAGTTCTAGTGGAGCACAATAAAATTTGTATAGGAAATTTAGACATTTGGAATCAATTGCCTACCGGTTGGCGGTTCTATTAGTTTCTGTTTAAATGTGTAGGGTTTTTTGGAGAAGATCAAGGAATGGCCGCCGACACTGTACAAGTTGCCTGCAGTCGTCAATGCCACCCTGGAACATCTGTTGGTGGTCAACCAATCAGACTTCAAGTCCACCCTGCTGGAGGCCTTGGCATTGTTGTACTCTTACGACAAGAAATATGACAAGTCCCTACAGATGTACCTCAAGTGAGTACCAAAAAATCCCTCCCATGCATTAATTTGTCATTAGGCCTATCTCATTCATAATTGACTTTTAGAGATGTCACTACAGCATACAGGGCCGGCTAGAGGGTGGAGCAGGGGGGCCAGAGCCCTGGGGTCCAGGGCTCCAAAGAGGGCCCGGCCCGGTCAGATGTAAGATGCTTATAATCTGCTAAAGTTAAAAAGTTTAGTATGGTTTTCCAGTTCACTAAGTATTAATTTAATTTTTGACTTGAATAAAGTTGCAAATGAAAGTGTGTGAATTAATCAAACCAGCAGGCATTTTAGAAATGTATTGTTATTCGTATAACAAAACGACACGGAGGTGGCTGGACATGACCACGGCTGACGGGCTGGCACACTGTGGTGCACAACTACTGATAGACGATTGATATTCGCTGATGCACGGTAAACTACTGCATGTTTTGTTTTAGCTGTCAGTCAGTCACTGGATGCTTAAGTCAATATTAAAAGTGATTATTAAAAACAATTTATATTAATCTCAAGTGTATATAAATCAATCAGTTTATATTTTATAAGCCTTGTCTTGTATATTGTATGGTGAAAAAAATTAAATAATAATTTAGCAAAATAGGTGGTCCAAGATAGCTCAGCCGTGGTAAGTGAGGGCTCTCGCTAGCCCTGACAGTATATTGGGGAATCAATACGGCAATGGAGACACAACGCGACTAATTTGAATCTGAATATGAGTGAAAGATGTGTTTACAAAAAGGAGTGAGATGCCTTTTGTAGCTTTGTACTTACTAAAATAAACTGTTTACTGTTTGGTATTCTTCTGGGCTCTAGGCCAGAGTAGGTTTGAACTGATGGAGCTAGACACAGTATTACAGTAGTGCTGTGTTTTGTGTAGGCTGAAGCACAGAGAGGTGTTTGAGTTGATTGCCAAACACAGTTTATACAGTGTCATCCACAGTATGATAGAGGAACTGATGGAGCTAGACACAGTATTACAGTAGTGCTGTGTTTTGTGTAGGCTGAAGCACAGAGAGGTGTTTGAGTTGATTGCCAAACACAGTTTATACAGTGTCATCCACAGTATGATAGAGGACCTGATGGAGCTAGACACAGTATTACAGTAGTGCTGTGTTTTGTGTAGGCTGAAGCACAGAGGGGTGTTTGAGTTGATTGTCAAACACAGTTCATACAGTACCATCCACAGTATGATAGAGGACCTGATGGAGCTAGACACAGAATTACAGTAGTGTTGTGTTTTGTGTAGGCTGAAGCACAGAGGGGTGTTTGAGTTGATTGTCAAACACAGTTTATACAGTGTCATCCACAGTATGATAGAGGACCTGATGGAGCTAGACACAGTATTACAGTTGTGTTATGCTTTGTGTAGGCTGAAGCACAGAGGGGTGTTTGAGTTGATTGTCAAACACAGTTTATACAGTGTCATCCACAGTATGATAGAGGATCTGATGGAGCTAGACACAGTATTACAGTAGTGTTGTGTTTTGTGTAGGCTGAAGCACAGAGGGGTGTTTGAGTTGATTGTCAAACACAGTTTATACAGTGTCATCCACAGTATAATAGAGGACCTGATGGAGCTAGACACAGAATTACAGTAGTGTTGTGTTTTGTGTAGGCTGAAGCACAGAGGGGTGTTTGAGTTGATTGTCAAACACAGTTCATACAGTACCATCCACAGTATGATAGAGGACCTGATGGAGCTAGACACAGAATTACAGTAGTGTTGTGTTTTGTGTAGGCTGAAGCACAGAGGGGTGTTTGAGTTGATTGCCAAACACAGTTTATACAGTGTCATCCACAGTATGATAGAGGATCTGATGGAGCTAGATGCAGACCAGACTGTAGCGTTGTTGTTGGACCATGTAACACCTGATGTTGTGGTCAAGCGACTCCAACACAACAAACAGAGGCTTTATCAGGTACTTACTTGTGGCCTTTGTTTTTAAACTTGCTAAAAATTTATAAGTGAGGATGGGTTTTAATTGGTCCAAAATAATTATTTTTCTCTTGTGCTGTGACCCAAATACCATTTGATGAAAGATTAAATTTGGTTTTTAACACGTTCGCTACTGCAATAGTACGAAATTTTCCATTCACATGGACCAGCGACGCACATATGCGACGGCCGGTTTCCACTCATAGACTGTCGTCGCATATATGCGACGGCTAGTCACATTAAAATAGACTGCCGTCGCATATTTGCGTAGGGGTTATAATGTTATTAAAATGCTTATATCTTTGTAACGGTCTATTTGAAGGCACTGAATTCCCTGCAGTGGTCTACAGAGATGTCTGACGCACAACTGCGTCGCTCGGTCTGTGTATATGATGATTGGTGACGTCATAATGATAGTTGAAAAAACTGGTCTTTACTTTTCTGCATTACTGTATGTATGTATGCAGTATGTATGCTGCATTATCCTATGTAGCTTTTATATTTGTTCAGTTTTATAACTGTTCTTGAATAATCTATTTTGTTTACTTACTTTCACCTCAAAACACAAACAAAAATGGACTGTCGCATATATGCGACGTTTGGTCTATTTCAAGAAAACTATGATAATTTTTACTATTGTCTTCGCTGAAGACTGGGCGTCGCAAATATGTAACATTATAAAAGGTTATACAAAATACAAAAAAACAAGAATAAATTATTTACAAACACGATTGTAGCGTATTACAATGTAAATGATTGCTGTTTTACAGGTTTTCGCCCGTGTGTACTGTTAACCAAGTGACAGCCGGTCTATGCGTAAGATTCAAATGTATACCTCGGTCTGTGGCAATGACCGCGGCGTCGCATCAGTAGCGAACGTGTTAAAAAATGGACTTTGTACATGCATTTGGCCATTTAACACTTAAGTGCTTCTAAATATTAAATGTAACGTTAGAAAATCACATGTATTTTTATCGCACCGTTTTCCATTCTTCACTTATGTTTTACCTCAAAATGTCTTTAATAGTTTGATTAAATTTACATATAACAATAGATTCATTAGTTTGAATTAAAATCTTAAAACCTTAGACTTTTCAACAGTATCTTTTAACAGGTCTTTAAAACTATTTATTGCCCTAATACCAGTTGAGTTACTTGGAATTCTTGCCATAAAATGCAGTTACATGCATGCCATTTGCTCAATATGAAATTTAATTTATCCTATCCTGTTACTACAACCGCTTAGTAATGAGAAATGCGGAATTCTACCTTTTAACAGGACTCATTGAAAAATTTTTGTTTTCAATCTAATGCAACTACAAGCCCGACAAATTAAAAAAAAATATATTGTATTACTATAACCACTAAGTGTTAACAATGCGAAGTGAATTTGTCCTAGTACTTGGATGCCCTGGACCAGAGGAAGGATATAAGATCTGCAGGTAGGAAGTACCATGGGCTACTTGTCAGTCTGTACGCAGACTTTGCCAGAGAAAAACTGCTGGCGTTGCTGCGCCGCAGTGACCACTATCCAATACAGGAGGCACTGACCATCTGCAAGGATCGCTGCTTCTACCCGGAAATGGTCTACTTGCTAGGTAACTGACTATCCAATCACTTGCCTTACAGTCAATCCAACACAGATGTATAGAGTAAACATGATATAATGATGCAAGGTTTTATTGGTCTACAAAACTATTCTGTGAAAAAGCAAACAATTTGTCCTGTCTATATCCGTCAGCTCTCACAGTTTTCTTACGTTCATTAAAACAACTGTGTTGATTGTAACTTTTTTAAGACTTGATTCTTCAAAACTTGAATACTTCGCAAACAAGGTAGATTTGTGGAAGTGGCCCTATATAGTATAATCTCCACGAAGCCAAAACTTGACTCTGAAATTTCCTTATGAAGCAATATGGTGTTTGGCCTTTCTGCTCACACCGTTTGTCTCGTAGAAAACAAGTCTCGTTTTTTTATAGCCACACCTCATACTACATCAATAACTCTGAATATATAGACTGAAACCACTTCATATTGTTTGAAAATGTATCTCTTACTTGGTGTTCTGTAGGGAGGATAGGCAATACCAAGGAAGCTCTGGAGCTCATCACACAACAGCTGGGAGATATAGAGCAAGCCATAAGCTTCTGTAAGGAACATGACGACCCTGATCTCTGGGAGGACCTCATCAACTGCTCTCTCAAGCGACCTGGTACTGTAGTCTTCATAAGTGGGAAAAAACTTTGTCTACAGTTGTCGTACAAAGTTGTATTTTGTTCACTTAAATTTGTTTTCAATACAGAACTTTGTCCACTACTGCCATAGATAAAACATAGTCCCTTAGTAGATTTCCCATCCTTATGGAACAACTGAAGCCAATTTTATTGTTAGTTCTGTCCGGTTTTCTATCTGCCACTTGTGCCTTGTGTTGTGGTGGTGGCCATCTCTTCTAAGTTTAAAATCATTAAAATTGTTATTAACCCTAAAGAGACAAACATAAATATCTATTTTTATGGTATAACCTTTGGATCACTGATTTTTACAACAAAAGGTTTAAATTACCTGTATCCTTCAAGTGATCCTCGATTGTAGTTGCTTGACTACAGCTGTTTTGTGTTTATAAACACATCTTCAGGTCAATGTTGGGATAAATCAATGCAACATTGACCTGAAGATGTGTTTATAAACACGAAACAGTTGTAGTCAAACAACTACAATTGAGGATCACTTGACGGATACAGGTAACAAGGTAACTTAAACCTTTTGTTGTATAAATATATACATTTACTACAGTCAAAATACAATATATACGTATACGTACATATATACAGACCTCAAACGACTGCGGATAACCAGGGCTCGGATAATCAAGAGCGTACTGTAGCTGCACTAGTAGCATTCGGCTGACTGTGGTATTGGTGGCATAGTAGCTCAGTTGGCTAAGGCGTTACACTGACAAGTAGGGATGGACGGGTCCCGAAATTTCGGGAATTTTTCGGGAAAAAAATATTCCCGATTATCGGGACGGGATTACATTTGACTCGGGAATTTTTCGGGACGGGATTTGGTCCGATCGTCGGCGACTTTTCCACTTCGCGAGTGCCGATAACGCCGTTATTGCGAGCGATAGGTCCGCGAACGCAGGAGACGAAGTCATTTCGACGATTACGCCGTGACCGCGGAGTCCTACCGACGACCGCGCCGTGACCGCGAGTCATACCGACGATCGCGCCGTGACCGCGGAGTCCTACCAACGATCGCGCCGTGACCGCGAGTCATACCGACGATCGTGCCGTGACCGCGGAGTTCTACCGACGATCGCGCCGTGACCGCGAGTCATGACGACGATCGCGCCGTGACCGTGGAGTCATACCGACGATAACCCCGTGACCGCGAGTCATGACGACAATCTCGCCGTGACCGCGAGTCATGACGACGATCGCGCCGTGACCGTGGAGTCATACCGACGTTAACCCCGTGACCGCGGAGTCATACCGACGATCGCGCCGTGACCGCGAGTCATACCGACGATCGTGCCGTGACCGCGAGTCATACCGACGATCGTGCCGTGACCGCGAGTCATGACGACGATCGCGCCGTGACCGCGAGTCATGACGACGATCGCGCCATGACCGTGAGTCATTCAGACGATCACCCCGTGACCCGCGAGTCACAAGTTTCTATAGGTACCTGTAAATTGTTACCCATTTTTTGGTTTTTATAGATCAGTGCCACAAACGGTAAAAATTGATTTCGTATGTCTTTTTTGGTAACTGCAGTACAGTACTTTTTTTTATGCACAGAAAAAAATCCCGTCCCGTCCCGTCCCGAACTAAAAATTCAATCCCGTCCATCCCTACTGACAAGTGTAGCGTTGAGGTATTTCTACATGCACAGATTCAAATCCCGTACATTTGCAATACATACTAAGCTCTACAATGTTCATGCTGTTAATAATGTGTCAATAATGCTTTGCTGGCGCAAGAGGCCCACCTTAAATAAACGGTGTATGGCTTGGATAGGAGTTGACAGCATTATTGAGTTTAGTAGGGATTGCACACAACACCTGTTTTGCTACTTTTGACATTAGTATAGAGAAGGAGGACACACATTTTTCTTTTTTTGTTTTTATTTAGTTAAATATGGAAATGACGATTAAAACTAATATATTGTAAAAGACATAAAAGGATATAACCTACAAAAGTATATTAACAGAGAAAAATATCAAAATAGGCTTAGGGCTTAAAGTGTCCTTACTTGTAAAATGTTGTAAACAAACAACAAAAACAAATATTTAAACAAAATACCCCCGCCGCAGCAAACCTGCAGACTAAGCAAATTTCCATTTGACTGATTGGATTTACACTGAAATACTTAATAACTTTTATACTTTTCTTTGAAATGGCGACCATAAAGTGTCTAACCATACTTAAAAATATAACATTTATTCCCGATTTGGTAAAACGTATGGTAAATCCTTGCGTGTAGACCTGCCTTAAACTTGGTAATATTGTTGTGTAATGTTTTTTTTATTTTTCATTTACAGATTTCATAACGTTTTTACTCCAGCGAATCGGAACTTATATAGACCCTCGTCTTCTAGTTCAAAGGATAGACAACAGTCTTGCCATTCCTGGTCTGAAGAATTCTCTTGTAAAACTTATGCAAGACTATAACTTACAGGTATTTCAAAGTGTTTGTTATAATGTTTGAAATTTTAAAAATATGATGTTTTGAACCTATTAGGTGACTTAAGGCAGGGGTACACAGAGACAGATGGACTAAAATTTGCTCCCCATGTTATCAAACGTGGCAACTGGCAACACACACACAGGAATCCATCCGTCTGCCTATCCATATCAAGCCACAACTAGTTAGATCGTTCTAGAAGTTTAAGTTTACCATCATTCTAGTTATGGCTTGGATGTCACCTGTCGGGGCCGGTGAACCTACCAAAATGTTGTCGTCTTTCTGTAAATACCGGTACCATTGTTTAAATGTATATATGTTTGTGTCGTGAACTGTTAGTAGTTTTAACCAAGTGATCTCCATTGGACTGAATATTTCAAACTGGCCCGCTCAGGGCCGGTTCTAGGAATTTTTCATAGTTAAGCAAACACCCGAATCAGCGCCACCTAGAATTCCCCCCCACCCCATCACCCATGAACATAACTTAACCCTATTTGATTTGTAAAATTGTTTCCCCAAAAATTTTGGGAAGCACTATTTTATAAGTTTAGGTTAGAAGAATACTTGCAATAAAAGACTTTTTTTCAACTACTGTTTATTATTCACAAAAATTTAACAGTTTTACACTTTTACTTATCATATGTACACTTTAGCAAAACCCAAAGTTAACAATTTATTTCTAAATGTGAAGTCAATTTTCACAGGATTACTTGGATACGATATAAGTTTTTATGGTACTTTCCTGTTAAAAGGAACATTCATTATTATCGATGATTTTTTTCTCGATATATCGATATTTTTTATGTTTTCCGATCCATTAAAAATAGACAACTGATCTTGTTTAGGCTAAAATACTCGATTATATGGATTAAGAAATGAAACTGTTCTAAGCTAACCTTACATAACCAACCAAACTTCCTGTACCATTTAAAAATTCCGTTTGATAATAGAAAAGGCAAGTTAAACACAGAATTTTTAAATGTTACACAGCAAGTTTGGTTAGTTATGTTAGGTTTTTTTTATAACAGTTTCATTTCATTATTGTTTGTTGATACTGAACAATATTTATTGTAGTTGTCAGCTGATATGTTTCAATTTGTTAATATCGATATATCGAGAAAAAAATCATCAATAATAATGAAATGTTCCCTTTAACAGGAAAGTACCGTTTTTATAAAGCCTATTACAATGAATAACAGGGGTGAGTAATAAGGGAAAGAAGGGAGGGGGAAGTTTCTTGCTGTGACAAGTGGCGCTGCGCGCTTATCTCGAGCATGAGTCAAGAAATGAAACCCACAGGCGCCGCGCTGTACACTGCCGAGCGTCAGCTCACTACAAATCGAAACTGTAAATAGTGCAAATCAATGCCTTGAGTCCTTAAGACATAAGACATAAGACATGTTTATTTCCAGTAGACATATTATAAATGTATTGGAAGAGTCAAACATTTTTCATGCAGAGCAGTTGTCAAATTAAGAAGTAAGTTACAAAGTGTGTCCTTTGTAAAGTGCAAAGTGTCCTTGAGTTGAAGTGCTTTACATTTGAATTGAACGCATTTTTCAGGTGCTGTTGGTACAAAACAGAATAAATTCCTTTGGTGTGGTGCTTTGGATACTTGAACTCTGAGCAAAAAAAAAACAAAATTTAGTTGTTCACTTGTCAGTAAACGTGTTTCCAATTTTGTCTTCTGAAAAAAATTTTGTCCCGTTGGCGCCACTTTTTTGTGGCGCCATATGCGACCGCGTAGTTCGCGTATGGGTTAAACCAGCCCTGGGCCTGATGATGGTACAACTTCGTGCCGAAACCTAGGTTGCACCAGCCGACATAATTTGAACTGGTGACTGAAGGTATTTAATAGGGATGGATGGGATTGAATTTTTAGTTCAGGACGGGACGGGACAGGATTTTTATTTCCTTCCTGATTTCCAGGACAGGATATTTTCCTGTGACTAAAAAAAAAAGTCTTGAGTATTGCAGTTACCAAAAAAGACAAACAAAATCAATTTTTACCGTTTGTGGCTCTGATCTATAAAATCAAAAATGGGTAAAAATTTACAGGTATAGAAACTTGCGACTCGCAGTCAAGGTGCAATTGTCGAAATGACTCTGCGGTCACGGCGTGATTGTCGGTATGACTCCGCGGTCATGGCGGGATCGTCGGTATGACTCCATGGTCACGCCGCAATCGTCAAAATGACTAGCGGTCATGGCGCCATAGCGGCAAGATCGCCGACAATCAGATCAAATCCCGTCCCAAAAGATTCCCGAATCAAATGTAATCCCGTCCCAAAAATCAGGAATATTTTTTTCCAAATAATTTTCCGACCCGTCCATCCCTAGTATTTAAACCATTATACTAGTTGATATGATTGAGTTAAATGATTATGTGAGTTGGTAGCGTCACGGACATCAGGCCCAAAGGCAGCAATGTCTTGGGGTTTGGATCCTGTTCACTGCTGCTATGGGTACTTTTTATCAGTAGAGTTCACCCTTGTACTGTACCGGCTCACCCCTGGCTTTGCTGGATACAATCCAGGCATAGGTCAATAGCCGATGTCGACAGGCAAATGCAAGGTTAAAAGAGGCCGCCAACCTTTTTTAAATTGTTGTTGGTCCAATTTAAAACAATTTCCTTCATAGACTCGGTATGCCTTTTTGGTGAGTTATAAGAGTTTATAATTTTGTTTTATTAACCAACAATTCATATATTATTTTTTACTTCCTGCAAAGTTTGTTAATCTAGAACAGCCGTGAATTTCAAACTTGATGATAAATATCAAAGGTAAGTTCAACGGAACTGTTAATCTTCTTTTGATTTCAGCCCTGAAATTCTCTATTTATCCTTAAATTCATCTATTTTTTCTAGGTGTCAGTACAAGAAGGTTGTAAGAAAATATTAGTTTCTGACTATTTCAACTTACATGAACGCCTTGTCTCTATGCAGCAACGCGGAGTACTTATTGACGGTGAGTCTTTGACATGTGATGAATTGTATTGTTTATGGCAAAGAGAACTAACCCATTATGCTCCCATTCAGTAACTAAACTAGCCTATTTATCATGTTGTTCCTCATCTTATGAACACAAAAACCTTTGTATTTTAACACAAGTTTCTAGAGATAACCACCACCAAGCTTGAACAGAACGCCTTATTTTAGTTGCATCTCTCATAGAACCCAGCCGAGATGTCAACTGTTGGTCCTCACCCACCACAGTTATTTTTATTGAGTTATGCTCAAATAGATAGTTGTAAGTTAACTCTGGTTGTGTTACTCTTGATAAACAATTTATACAAATGTTGATACTGACTGTGTTGTTACATATTCTATCTTGAAACCATCACATCCTAAACTTAAAAAGGCTTGCACCTTGCACCACCTTAAAAAAAACTTGTCTCAAAACCAAACTTAACCTATGAATAACAAACATCCAATACTTGGTTATAATCTAAACCGTGCTTAAATTTAAATACAGGAGTTTTCAACATTTGAAGTTATTTCAGTATTTTTTAGATTTAATGTTTTATCAATAAACATTGATTTCTTCACTGTTATGGTTTAAACCCATTACCGACCCTTGTACCTGATTTAACTTAACAAACTCTCTCTCTACACTTGATAAAGTTCTGGCCTACTTGTACTTCTAATTAGCTATCCTGTGTTCTACAGTTCAAAATCCTGGCCTGGAGCATTTCCTTGAAGAAAACTGATTAAAATTAAGTTTGATTTTGAAAAGGACTTAATTTCATTGGTTCTTGAACAGATGAACAAAATGTTAGGAGCCTGATGAATATTTTTTTGCAGATGACTACTTCTGTGGAGCTTGTCATAGAAAGATAATTGTTAAAGGTGAGTTTTGTCTTATTCACTAGTTCAATAATAATCTCACTCAGTTTTTTTATTTTTATTTTTTTATTTTGTGTGATAAATAAACCTTTTATTTAGTTTATTAATATGTGAAATCAAGTTTGGAGGGCCATGAAATATGTTTTTTATGCAAATACTAAGCAAATGAACTTGCAGTGTTATGAACAGTTAGCATTTTTAGACCAAAATATGACCTGATTACTTTTTAGAATCAGCTATTGTTTAAAACCACTCCAAGTATTGTTGATTTTACATAATTTAGTAATATGGTCCTTTTGCAGACACTAGTCAGACTAACAACATAGTGATATTCTACTGTCATCATCTGTTCCATGAGGAGTGTCTTCCTCCCTTACAAGTTGTGGTAAGTGGTAAATTTGCGTATAAGAAATTGTAAACAAACATATCGGTACTTATATGTGAATTTATTTATCGTAGTTGTAGATAAATGATTTTCCACTACCAGAATGTCAACAGCTCAAAAGACTACATTCATAAATACACCAGACGTTGAGAATCTGCCACATTAGGTAATCCAACACTTCCTTAAATATGTCATGGCCAATCTATGCTCAATTCTAAAACTAAAATTGTGTTAAAACTGCAGTCCCACAGATTTGTAATTGGGGTTGTCAGTAGGGTTTCATAAGTACACAGTATATGATATGAAGAACCATGTCATATACACACTATGTTTTGCTTGATTGTCAGTTCAGCATATGTTGCAAGTGAGTTTAGGTACATTTAAACTTATGGTAGGCTAATAGAGGTTACTCTTAATGTTATTCAGGCTTACTTGTTACAGCTGTGTCCAGGGGTTGGTAATTATCTAGATCAATTGACCTTTTTAGGTTTTAGGTTGATCAGTACTGCATTTTTTGTTTTGGTAAGTTTTTTGTAATGGGAAACACTCTTGACACCACAATTAATTGTCTGATTATCAAAGTCAACTATATTTAGATTAGTCATGGTTTACTGTTTTAAAAATAATCCAAACAAATCATAGGAGAAACAAATATGTGTGCAAGTATCCGCCAGCCTTCCTCATTGGGGGAGCAACTTTTGGGGTACCTCAGGATGTGATCATGACGTCACTTGACTATCGTATCGCCGCAGGATTATCGATTGTAAAACTCTCGCGATGTGACTTTTTTCCACCTGAATGAAGAATTATTAACTAAATAAGGTTACTGTGTCTTTTTGATTTTTTTTCTTTACATAGCGGATATACGTTTTGCTTTTCCTTTATATGTCATTATATTAGGTTTATATATAATAGTTTTGCCAGCACATCTGAAAATATGCAAACCAACTGCTGTTCTTTATACAATAAGGTTTCAACTGACTACCTACTATAAGACCCCCGTTCGTATTCGAAAAAAGTTCACTAACCAGCATGATCGGGCTATGGGAACGGGGGTTTATGGTGGGTTTTATGCAAAAAACATAAAATTTAGCAATTTCTTTCCAAACCATTTTGTAGAGCTTAAAAACAAATAATTTAGTATATTGAAGCGTTATTATGCGCCTAATAGTTACAATGAAAACTCCAAAAAATTGTAAATTTAATACTCCCAGGTTATTTTTATGGAGGATAAGTAAACTGTTGTAGTTTGCTTGATATGTTGATCGACTTTGGAAAATGCATTTATTTCATACTAAACTATTAACATTAAAAAAAAAAAAAACACTTACCCTCTCTGTTACAGCAAACCTAAGTACTCGTTAAACTAGACTCTAGTTCTATTTAAGTAGAGAATAAATGTGATATTTTTAAGGAGACATTTTAGTGTAAATCCAATCAGGTGAATAGAAATTCGCTTATTCTGCAGGTTTGCTGCGGGGGAGGTATTGTACCTAAAGGCTTACAGAACTATCGTATAAAATTAGAAAAAAATTGCAATAGTGTATGGCATAAAAAAAACTATGGTCTAAAGAGCTCTTGGAAAGAAATTGTACTGTACTAGTGTATGAGATTAAAACACGTACGGTCTTATGAAAACAAATAATTTTATACAAGGATAACTGAAAAAAATCAACACGCAAACTATGGTTTTTAAGGGGATGCGGAATACTATCCCCCGGAAAACTACCCCCCCAGGTGAAACGTGACGTCACAAAATCTGCTAACTAACCAATATGGAAGTCGTGTCCGCGACTGGAATACTATCCCCCCTAGACAAACCATGCTATGTAATTTTAATTTTAATTTGAGTAATTCCGTTGGATAATAGAAAAGGCATGTGGTGAATATAAAACAGATTTTCGAAATGTTACAACAAGTTTGGTTGGTTAAGTTAGGTTAGATTAGAACTGTTTGGCAACTAAATTTGAGTGTCCGTGACTGGAAAACTGCCCCCCCCCCCCCGGTCTCTGACGTCAATATGACGTAGGAACCTGCTTGGGGGGGTAGTTTTCCGGGGGGCAGTCTTTCGGCGACCCGTTTTTAAAACAAAAAATGTAGTGACCCAGAGGTAAGTTCCGTGATGCGCCCGATGGAAGGTTAAAGTCAAATATAACCCCCTATGTAGGCCTACTTGAAATGTTTAGTTCCTTCAAAACACCATTAAGTTATTAAGTGACCTTTATGAGTTTAAAAACTTTTGTTATTTCTAAGGAAATAAATAATATTGAGAATCATTCTATGATAATTAATTTGGAAGTTATGTGCATGCAGGTTATAGCTATGGATTCTGACGTTATAGGCTAATTTTGTTTTTGATTGTGTTATAACTAAATTAGCTAATTTTAATCTATATATCTAATTCCGTAAGCCCAAAATTTTACAATGAAATTGTGAGCGAACGGGAGGCCGTAGAAAGCTGGGAGAGGTCTCATTTTAAAGGTCTGGGCATGAAGTTTTGGGGAAAATTATTCATTTTTCTTAATTATGCACCAAAAGGTCGTTACGTAATAAAATAATTTACATTTAAATAACATGGGAATCCAGGTCATGTCTGCTTTGGTTACTTAAAAACATGTGGTTTATTTAATTTAAATCATATGGTAATATGTACTGTAATATGTATACTATTATAAAGCTGAAATATAGACTTTTTCCAGGGTCTGGATTAGTTAATGGAATAAGATTAGTTGTGTTAGGTATGTCTGAAAAAAGTGTAAAGTTAGAAGTAATTACTGGAGTAGGCAAAGGGAACATATTTTTCATGCCAAAAATAAAACTAACATCAAAAGATCCTAATATGCCGTTTAAGTTTAGGAATTCAATTCCTATTGCGATTAGCTTTCGATATTACTATAAATAAAGCGCAAGGCCAAACCTTCAAAAAGTTGGCATTTATTTGAAAAAAACCCGTGTTTACCCATGGTCAACTTTATGTAGCTTTTAGCCGGTTAAAGTTGCCAGATGATGTTAAAATAGTACTAGAACAAAATAAAGACCAAGGGTTCGATTAAAATGGATACTATACTCTGTTGTTTTCAGAGAGATTTTGTTATAATTAGCATTATACAATTTGGAGGATGACATTATCTCTATGTGTTTTATTTAAGTGAATTTGTCTATATTCAAAGGAATTGATAAATATTTAATTAATAGTCATGAAGATTATTATTGAAAATCTTCCTTAGATGTATATAATGATTAGAAAGTTTGTATTATTAACACACTACATGAACAGTCCTTTGGAATCTATATTTTAAACAGAACAGACATCAAAAAATTGCATTATGCAGGTATGTAATAACTTTTATACATATTATAATATACAAAAATTTTAAACGATAATTCAAGGTAGGGTAACCCACGAGACTAATAATTTGTACAAAATATTTACTAGAATATATATATAGGGGCTATTGCCCCTACAAGCCACTAGTTAAAATGTAATTACAAATTATTTTTTATTATAGACCTAGGCTATGACAGAGGTAGTGGCCAAAAGATTGGATAAAGTTTATAAGAAGTTCTTCACTTCTTCACTTTAGGAAATAGAGCAATAGGAAAGACCTAAAACTTATAAAAAAGTCCATAGTTTTTTTATACTTAAGGCCTATTTGGGAACAAAATACTAGTTTCCCAAAAATGGGATTTTATTGCAGATTTTTAAATACCAGGACGATTTGCCTATGTTATTTTTCAAGTAAAGTAACCTTTTTGAAAAACTATTCTGGCATTTGCCTTAACGATATAACTTAATATAACGATAGACCTAAGTTTTTAGACAATTAGAACTCTTTTTTGAACCATTTAAACTAAGTGCTGTAGGTTAGTGTACCCTGCTGCAACTAATAGCCGACTGAAACAATTTTCACAAATGTATAGGCTACTATTGTCAGTACTGACAAAGCTCAATACACCAATTCAGTGCGGTTACCAGCCACTTAATAACATTGAAAAACACTTGACCTGAAGTAAGTCCATTCAGTTGGTGATTGGATGATTAAGTTCAGCCAGTTTTCAAATATTTTATGTTAAAGACATTTGTTAGACTTAAAAAGTTCTATCAATTTTACTGAATATTGCATGGGAATTCCGTGCCATAGATAGGTTTATAGTTATTCCGATACAATCTACACAGCAATAGCAGTATCAGCAACCAACGGGCGAACCACAAACTGCTTCTTTCAATCGTTTGACAAAACAAAAACAACTTACGAGTACGACTACAACCGCCCATCTGGTTTATATTGATCGATAGTTGCACTATTTTATGACGTCATGATGACATTCTGAAGTATCCCAAAAGTTGCTCAACTCATCAATGACATTTTATAGTTTCCTCCCATTTACAGGTCAGCTGTGTCATCTGCAACTCCCAAAAGAGCAACTCCATTTTTAATTCAGCCATAAAGTAGTCTCTCCAGATATCTTTGGCTGCCACCAAGTCACCACCATTCATTTGTACTCATTAATAAACTTTAATTGAATATATTGTATATAAAACATTTTTATCTAAGAAGACATATTTACAGTAAAGTTACATTAAATATTTGTCTAATTTGTGACCCTTGATATCCTACGCATATATGTTCTAAATATTTTATAATGTTTTGTTTTACATTAACTCTTATTTCCAAACTGAATCTATCAGGACTCCAACTATCTAAATTCCTATCATCCAGATCACCTTTGCAAGGAGAAATACAATTAAATAATTTTTAAATTAATTTTAAACGTCTTCATCATTAAAGTGGTTTAAATACCTGTAATGTCGACAATCCCAAGTGGTTGTGAAACAACTAGTTTCGGCTCATAACGGAGCCATCTTCAGGTTTTCCAAGGACATTATCACTTCTTCCGAAGGTCGTCAAAGTTCACAAATAATTTACATACATTAAAAACATTTAAAAACACGTAATACGCATGCCTAGGCCTAGCTTTAACGACGTGACCGGCGGGAGTTTACGTCTAGACATAGGCTTAGGCCTAGGCATGCGTATTACGTGTTTTAAATGTTTTTAATGTATGTAAATTATTTGTGAACTTTGACGACCTTCGGAAGAAGTGATAATGTCCTTGGAAAACCTGAAGATGGCTCCGTTATGAGCCGAAACTAGTTGTTTCACAACCACTTGGGATTGTCGACATTACAGGTATTTAAACCACTTTAATTGTATCTCGATAATCCGGAGGCTACCCATTTTGAAAAAATGTCTTCATCATAATTGTCTGCATAATCTTTAGACAAACGTATTTACACACAACTCCACCAGGAGCAAGACAGCAGGAGCAGTTCAGTCCGTTCTTGGTGTCGCTGGCCGCTTTAATTTTACTCAGTGTAGTGTCCTAGTTAGTCACCAAAATGTTCACCCAAGAAAGATATTTAGTGAAAAAAAAATTAAAATTGGTTCATAAATTTGTGAGTCTCACTAACTTTATGCGATTGATTTTAATTTAGATTTTAATTTTATTGATTTTAATTTTTTTTTCATCACACATTTTCTTTTTTTATGCTCTTTCATTTGATATGTCACAAGGGGCAACTTGCTATTTAAAAAAAGTAAGTTGGGGGCAGGGGGGAAAGGGGGGAATGTAAATGTAACGTTGAATTAAAAAAAAATTGGGCCCCCTACGTCAATAGATGATTCCCGCAAACTGCATTTTTCTATCTATTGCGGTTTTTACATAAATAAAGATGCAAGTTGTTAAAAAAACACCCTGTATAGTTAAGTGAAAGTTTGATGATGGCTGATACATCTGCCTGTGAAACTCAAAAGGGTTAAGAGACATTCTCAACTGTTAGAGGTTTGATGTTTGAATTAAACAAGGAAATATGGCAGCATGGTTGCCTAAGGCCCAGCACACACGGTGTGACTGTTTTACAACTTTCGTTGCAAACCAGTTGCGTGTGCAACTGTTTTGAGACCTCGGTAATGTATTGCAATGGGGAGGCGCACACGACGTAACTGGTTGTATGCGATTTCAAAAAAAGTTTGAAACCAGTCACATACAACCGTGGGCTCGACGTTGCAGTTGCGTTGCAGACTTCAGTTGCACGAGACCACGGGGTGTTTTTGTGGTATTTTGGTGAAATTTTGACGGCCGTATAGTGTTTTTAGTGTTTATAATTTAAATTTCCTATCTGAATACCTCTAGCTGCTACAAACAGCCTAGTACAGTACTAACATTCTTGCTCAAATAAGGGTCAACCCAATGCTCTCTCAGTACCCTTCGCTGTCTTCGGTATTGATAATAGCTAATAACGTCTTCTTCGTCTGAGTCCGATGTAGTAAGCGCACTTAAGGCCTTAAAACAACGTAACTGCACTAAATTTGCACTCCACTGATTGCACAATAGACGCAACTGTAGTTGTAAAACAGTCACACCGTGTGCGGACAGAAGTTTTGTTTCAGTTGCAAACTGGTTCCAGACGCAACTGGTTTGCAACAGTTGTTGTAAAACAGTCACACCGTGTGCGCTGGGCCTAGCCAACAAGCATCTTTCCAGAGTAAAATAGAAAGAATTAATGAAGAAATAATTAGACTGTAAATTCGAAAAGCTCAAATTTATTTCTTTAACAGTTTGGAATACAAACATTTTTAAAGATTATGGATTTCTCTAACCATACCTATTCAAATCAAGGGCAACTTTTATCAATACAAAATACTATGGTTGGATAAATTTTTATTCAGTTATTTAGCAAAGACGAGTTTTAATGTTTTTAACAGTTATAGTCTACTGAAATAAGGTTCTATGACTTCCAAGCAGTAAAAGACTGTTCTTAACGCTTTAAATCAGTCATGTGTAAGTAGAAGTCATCAAAAGTAATCTATTCCATGTTGTCATCCCATATTGCTTCTACTTGAGATCAAATTACTTTGGTGTTCGGCTAAAGAATATTTATTTCTCTTGTTTCTCAGATTAGATGGTTACTTTTTGTGTTCAGCTCAAGTAGGTAGGTATTTATTTTGACATACACATCAAATTACTTATAGTGGTTAGCTAAAGTATTACTATTGACACTCGGAGAAGATTATATTTTGTAGGCAACTAGAGCTAATAGATTTTGCCACATACATTATCGTCTAATTAATTCTTGTGACCACCTAAAGTTGTGATTGCTCTTCAAATTTAGATCAAATTAATTTTTTTTAAATAGCTTAAGTGGTAATACTGATAACATTCGTTGTTCAGTTGAAAATTTAGCATCCAACAATGAAACTTTCTCTTAGGTGTTTTAGGGATTTGAGGTGTAAAACAACATACTAAGCTTTACCTATAAAAAAAATAAATTTGTAATAATAACGGTTTTTGCTTAAACGGAACTAAAAATAAAATTGAAGCCTCTGCAATCAGAAAAACTATCTTTAGGTTGCCTTAACCAGCCAATCTTTCAGTTGTACAGCAGCTCAGATAAATTTCACATAAACTGACCTTGCCACTCAGATAACTGTTGGTACGAACAATCTTTTCTCGCTTGGACAGTAGCACCGTAGCACTGACCAAAAAAACATCATTTGTTGTATACAATTTTTTTTCAACATTTTCTTAGGTACCTGATGTGCAACAACAAAACTAAAATAGTTTCCAGCTGGTGGGAGCCGAGATAAAGAAATGTAGCCATTTGTACTGGCTGTGTGAGCAACAGAGAAAGCTGATGCTGAAACAGTTCTGTGCTACTGTATGTGTCAACGTCTTGGCCAGAACGACTATCTAACAGTGTGCAAATGATTATGCTTTTATCATTCACAAAGAACTGAGTTGATAAACAATTTTACAGTTCATTTAAAATTACGGTCTTACTCAATATGGAAGTACATGATAAAAATAAGAGTGATTTGACAAAAACTAGATAACACACAAGATTATATCGATAACTCAGGTCAGGGATATCGGTGACAATCTAACAAGTGGCTGGTCAATGCTTACATGTTCAAAGCCTTCACTGAGATCTTCTGATTCTTCATCTGAGGATTCATTTATCACTGTATCCACGATTTCTGCCTTTTGTTCTGAACTCTCTTCATATAAATAATCCTTATTGTGAATGTGTATACTTCTCCTGTGAGGTGGAAGCTCGATTGTACAGACGTTGTTCAGAGTCTCCACGTGTCTCTGGTACAAATGGTCGTAAACTTCTTGTATATAACGGGTCAACAAGTTACCACTAACAAACGGCCGAACTCTGTTACTGAGAAACTCTTCGTTTTGACAGTTAAGAATGTGTGTTATAGCCCGACGTGCCTCTTCTGTATTAGAAAACAAGAGAGGTTCTTTGATGTTGTGGAAGTTTGTCTGACTTTCTGGAAACAGACTTGTTTTTATTTCCAAGGGGATTCGTGGAGTCAAAATAGAATTAATGGGTTTTCTGTTCACAATTTTTTTTACAGGTTTATCTCTGACAGAGGAGTAGTATCTTTCTTGGTCTGAATTTCTGTGACTTTCCCTTGCTTTATTTTTTGTGCTTTTGGTTTTTTCAAACTTATTTCTTTTACCAGTTTCTTTCTTAATGCAAAGCGAGTGAAAATTGCTATAAATTCTCGTCCTATAAGGACTAATGTTTCGGCATTGTTCAAAATGGATTGGCGTTCCACAAATCTCAAAGTTGTATATGTTCTCGTCCTTTTTCACGCTACTGCCAGACTTAATCATTTTGTCTAAAATAATTTTTCCTGGCACATTTTTTTTGTTTAATTTTTTTCCTGGTCTTGATCGTTGACAGCATGTTATTCTTAAATCAAAATTTAACTTTTGGTCACAGGTGCCATGGGTTCCAAGTGAAGATCTCATGTTTTATTTTGAAATCCAATCAAAACACAACAGTGTAATTACAGTGTTTTACAGTGTAATTAATTAGCTTTCTCACTGAATGAAAACTTTATGTAAGTTTGCATTCTTTTAAACCAAAGTTATTTGAAAATATAAAAAAACAGACAATTGATTAAAAAAGTTATACATTACCTTACACAAGGCACAAAGGGTTAAACAAGCAAAGTGGATAACAATAGACTGAGCATATACCCTCCTTCCCCTCTAGTCAACCTCAAGCGCCCATTTATCACTGACCTTATTGATTATAGGATGAGAGAAATCCAATACTTTATGGAACTCATCTTCCCAATAAACTTGCACTTATATATTCCACTGGCATGGATTCTCCTTTGATATTATTCTTGACATTCACATAAAATTATCTTACATGAATACTTTTGACATGTAATCATTTGTTCAAGTTTAGAAACCGCATTTCCTTTTGCCAAACTAACAACTTGTAAATGTTTTCTTTTTTGTCTTGAGTGGTTTCCTTTTTCTTTTAAATTAGAGACGTATTATTTACTTTTGCCAGTTTTATTATCACAAAATATGAAAGGTTTGCTGTGTTCAATAAAATTATACAAGTTAGAAAAATCTTTTAAATCCTGTCCAATAAAAACTAATTTCTAGACGTGTATAATTTTTTTCCTTTTTCCCTACAAATTAATGTAGACGGAATGGAAAAGAATTATTTTTGTCAATATTTTAGAGGTTTTGCTATATGATTTATTTTTGTTTTATAAGAAATGTATGTCTCATATTGCTTGTGAATGTGAATTGTTAATTTCTTTAGGGTGGAATTAACTAAACTAAATTACACCTGTCATATGTTAGTAAAAATTGCAGCTCAAAAGTTTCAGGCGTTTATTTATAAAATTAATCTTTAAACTACCAAATAAAATGAATGAGGTGATTGTTCAACATATTAATGTATTATGTTAAATTCTTCTTACTTTGCCCAAGTGTCAAGAAAATGATGTATTTGGCTGATAAAAGTGAAAAAAAAAACAATTTTAGAAAAGAGGGTAGACAGAGATGGGCATTTAGGAAGGTCAGTTTCTGACAAGGTTTTTATTTCTAGGATTTGATTTAATTCAATATCAGCATCATTATTCATCTAGCTCTAGCAAATGAATATTGATGCTGATGTCAAATAGTGATTGTTTCAAAAACTCTTATTAGCAGGGCCGCGTTAAAGAGTCAGTGGAGCCCTGGGCAAACCCCAAAAGCAGCGCCCCCTTTTTTTTACCAAGTGCGGGCGGGCGCCCCTGGGCATATGTCCAGTCTGCCTGTTTATAAAAGAGGGCCTGCTTATTAGTGCAAAAGAAAATTAGAAAATCAGACCCGCTTCAGACAATTGGTTGGTGTGGGCCTTGGTTTTGACTACTGAAGTATTCCTGATTCCAAGCTGAAGTGTCAGTTGGACTTAAGATCTCTCCACATCAGACGGGACATTCAGTGGTGTAACAGAAGGGCCCGGGGGCTGAGGGGGCCTACGAAGCGGCAAGCGGAAACCGGTGAGCAGAGAGGCCCGTGAGACAAGTGGGGACAAGGGTGGATTGTTAATTGAAATGTGCTATCAATCATTCAATAATTGTATTGAACAAGTGATAACATTAATGTTATTAATAACTAGCAGAGCACCCGTCTTTCGTACGGGGTTGGCATATAAGTATAAAATGCTTATTGCAGTTATACTCAAGTTTTGCGTTTGCAATGGGGGGAGGACACAGTTTGATAAAATTTGGTTCATAAATTTACGGTATGATATAGTATAATACATCTACCATTGCCATAATGTTCTACCTTTGCACCTAAACAATAGAAAAAAAATAAATTATCAAACATTCGCACAATATCACAAATTATTCATTAAATTAAAAACTCAAACCTAACTGTAAACAATCCTTTTTTAACTGCTGTCATCGATACTCCTGATCTTTTAACACTAATACCGAAACCTTACCCAGGCTGGTGCTAACTAAAACCCCCAGTCTGTGAGACCCCATTTGAAAATAATGGACCCCGCTTAGAAAGACACAAACCGAAACCCTTGGCCTGTGAGACCCCGCTTTAAAATACAGAGACGGGCTTGTTATGAACAGACAACCTGTCAAGGTCATTGCACCCACGCAAAATGAACAAACAATATATCAACAGGTAGGGGAGGAAAAATGGGGAAGGTGTTGGGGGAATGGAATCTCCCAAGTAAACAGTGTTGCCAACATACGTTTGTGAAAATTCCCGTGGGCCAGTCAGACCGGGGTTTCAGTAAGTGTTAAAAAATTTAGACCTCCAAGCGATTCGTCCTCTTCTACACCATCCTTAACTATTCGCCAAGACGCAGTGCCCTATATATAACTAGCAAAACATTCTGTTGTTGTGAATTATTTTTATAATCCTATATAACTTGAATAGCTTGTTTCCTTTCCTTCAGCTAAAGGCAATTCTGCTGAAACTGCTGTTGGTTAATGACTTGTCCTGTATCCTGAACTTCTTTTGCATGAACGAGAGCTATTTCAAAAATAAATTGTCATGCTTCTCTTCCAGAAAATATTTAATTAGCTGAGTTTAAAGAAATCTAGTATTGTTATTTTTTTTATATTCATTATTTATATTTCTTATTTCTAATTGTTAAATTAATAGTACAGTAGAACTCCAACTATCGGAATCAATTGGGACTGGACCCCATTCGGATAATCAAAAATTTGGATAGTTGGATTTTTACTGAAATTCAGGGTATTTTGAAAAAATAGGCTGAGTCATACCAAGCTTTTAATATTCCGATCGCAGAAGGCGAGTTAAACAAACAATAGTGAACATCTAACTACCACCCGCGACACCGCGTACAGCTCTTCCTCTTGATATCTATCTATCTTACATGTAAAGTTTATAAACTGTACCCCCTTTTGTTTTGATACCCTGTTAAAAACGTATTATCCCTAAACACAGAAGGTAAGCATTTTTTTAAATTGTGATCTAAACCAAGTGGGATTGGGTCGAGCAAAATAAGCCATATTATTTTACTTTGGTGATTTATTACTGGTTTGTTCAGCTAACATTTTCAAATATTCCAATCTAGTTCTTACAGGAATACCTCTTGGCAGCAAGCTGCAGATTAAATCTTCAAAATGATTGTAAAAATTAGATTCAACATTGTTTAACTCGAATGAAAGTGAATTTCGTTCTAGCTCTTTTGTACAATGTTCTATTCCACCTTTAATATAGTCCATACCCAATTCAGCAATCGATGCTTCAACTTCAGATTCATAATATTGAAGTAAATTTTTATACAAATATCTCCAAAAACTTAGACCTGCAAGAGTTGCTACACAGTAGATTAGGCATCTCATATACAATGGTTTCTTCAAGATTTTGTATGTGTCATTCATTTCTTTATACAACAAAACTAAGATTGTACTGAGACCAAATGGTAAAACTAGTCCATTTATATAAACAAGAAATGTATTGACTTGCAGTATTTCACGAGCGATTCCATACTTTTTAGCATCATTGCTCAGAAGAAAACAATTGCTTGTTCCTTTGCTTCCGGCAACTTCCGTATCTTTATCGGCATCTCTTATCTGAAACAATATAATAAAAGCATACATAAGTATTGTCAAATTATGGACAACTTAACAGAAGGATGCAATAGTTTTGTTTCGTTTAGAAAATATGAAAAACTTGTGGTTTGTCTAGTGAATTAACAGTAGGAAAAAAAGCTCATGTTGCTGTATTATTTTTTGGGAAAAATCCTTATTGTGACCGAAATCAAAGGGTATAGTCTAAATTATTTTCATACAATCATATATGTAAAATACTGAAATGAAACTCAAACCAGTAAATTGCTTGAGGAGCTGGAATACAATTGAGGATAGTAACTTTTTGTAATTTCTGGTACAGTATTTTCATATTAAGTAGTTTGTTTAGGTATCTAGTTTGTTTTAGTTAGGCCTGTTATTCCATCAGATTTAAAATAAACTGCTTTGGTCTTTAAAAAATTTAAGCCGCAGAAATAATATAATATGTTCTATTGTTCTACATGGTAAGAGGAATGTCCTTAAATCAAGGTTATAAACATGTTACCGTTGTAGGGTAGCAAGCAAGTTCAAATTAAACACTAGTGCCATATTTTTACTTTCCCCACTATTGTAGTCAATCCCCATGCTCAATATTGTTCTAGTTGCCTTTCATGGTGGCAAGAAAAATCAACACTCCAGCCAATTAGTTATAGCATATTGTGATTTACTTTTTGTGGCTTAACTTGGATTTCAAAAGCCACAATTAGTTTATGGTTATCCATCTAAAAAAGTGTATGGGATTAAAAAATGTTTAAGGGGTTAGGAAGCTCTCAATAGATTGTACTTATGTGTACGACTGGGACAGCTGCGGGTGTCAATCAAGTCAATACGGTTTCAAAAGTGTATGGAGTTTTCCTTGCGGATCATCCTTTTAGGATACCTACCAAGGGTTGAATGTTTTAGATGTGTAAATTTGTATTAAGTTCGGCAATTCTTATTAGTTATTTTGTTTTAGTTGATTTTTAAGACACATCAATCTGCAAGTGAAATTTCTTTAACTCTTTTCACTGTCTTTTACGAAACTGAAGTGACACCCTAGGCTGAATTTGCCTTATAGAGGTGTACGTACAGCCCTCTCTAAACTCTTTCCACTACACACGTGTATTTTTTACATCCATACATTTTCCTCCAGACAATGCAGTCATTGTCAGATTTCATAAAGGGGATTAGACTAAAAAAACTAAACGTCACGTAGAGAGTAAAAGTGAGGATTGGCTAAACTAGTGGAGGGGGGTGTAAAAAATGGAACTAGTGTTAGATTTGAACTAGCGTAGCTTACTTTGTTGTCATGGAAGCTTGTTTGAGACCTTAATTTACAAACAAACCTTGTAGCATCACAGATAAAAGAGACCTAAAATGCTACATACAAGAATATTTTCTTTGACATCCTCTTCATTTTTAAACTCGTAGAAAACCGGAACACCAACAAATCCCCCGGAAGTTGTTCCAACTGTCCCTAAGTGTGTGGGTTCCATTCCTGAAGTCAGGTAGAGTGCTATAGGTGTGTCCTTGCTAGACTTGTCTTTCAAGTCATTTGTAATTATATCATTCATCATGTTATTCAGTTCGTCAGCTGGTTCATCTGGACCATATATTCTGTTCAACAAAACACAAAGGTGGTAATACATAGTGGTTTGCTATTAATTACCAAGCATTTTCAGCGGATATGTGTGTAATACACATACACATTACATACATTTACATTTTATATTAGCATTAGCACCATCATAAGCGAGCTGATTCAATGGTAGAGCCCGGGACTTCAGTTCCTGAGGTCCCGTGTTCAAATAGGGACCGCCAAATCACCAATGGATTTTATCCAAGTGATAATGTCGCAACCTCTAGGTCTAGCCTGAAGTAATGTGAAAAACAATCCCAGGCCCTAGGGAAAAAACTAGGTTCAATATCATCGTTTCAAGCCAGAAATAAGTTAGCCTACACATATTTTCTTAGTTTGTGTTTTAGCCTAAGCTGATTATACAAGGTAAGGGAATTGGGTGATCTTAATACTAGTTTTATTAATTTCACAAAGCACGAGAAGTCGGAGGTATCAGTAAGTCTTAAATACTCCTCCATGTGAAAATTTCGAACCTAGACGTGAAAAGTTTTCTAATCATCTAGAACGCTTTGAAAATTACTATACTCTGAAAGGCCTGACTCAAAAGGAAAGTATTGCTCAACTCTTATGTGTATCTATTGGGTCAATACATTACAATGCCCAATCAGCTTTTCTAGGCTCAGAGAAACCAATAAAAAACTTACCTTACGATGATCTTGTCAAAGTTCTAATTCAAATGCTTGTTCCTAAGAAAAATGTAGTTGTTTCTCAACATTACTCTTTGAACATTTATCAAAAGAATAGTCAGTCAATATCAGATTTTGTAGCCTCACTTCAGCGAGACTTATTCAATTGTGAGTTTACAGTTAAATGTGAATGTGAGAAAACAAATTCAATCTCTGATGTATTTTTACGAGCCCAGTTCATCCGTGGCCTTCGAGACGATTGGCTTAAAGAGATATCATTTACCATGTGCGTGTATTTTCCTAATAGTAAGGTCACAACACTTTTTGGCAATTATATATTATATTTTATTTTACTGATTACAATCAGCTATTTATTCATAGCCAGGATCATTTGTGTGCCAAACAGTACGTAGGCTACCGACTCTGGAACCAGCTGCAACTTGGCAGTAACTTAGGCCTGCAGGCTCAGAGACGGTTCCACAAGACAGTTGCATTTCAAACAGTTCCACCTGCAGCTACGGCACTGGGTCTGGCTGGCGCTGGTACTATGAGTAATACAACGTTGTGTTTGCGTATCATATGCTACAATTTTGCAACAACCCTTCAATGGCATTCTTGATAAAAACTAAGACAAGTTACTAAAACCTAATAGGCCTACTACAATTTAAAAATGTAAAAATATAAACTGTCATAAGGAGTTGGGTGACACCTGAGTTAATAATTTACAAGAAGACTAATATAGAGCCTAGGCCTAGTTAGTTGTTGTCAGCGTCTACTTGTCACTCAGTAATTCACTTCAACCCAAATGAAAATAGCGTGCCGTAGTACATTTGGGTTTTTTTTTAGTAAAGGAGCATAGTAAAGGATTTTTGGGTTTTCATTGGTAAGTATGTTAAGGGTTTGGCTGTCACCAGTACAATACAGTTGTAGGTAACTTACTATAATTTTCCCATTTAGCCTAAGTTAAAGCTTAGGTATAATATTTTTTCATACACTGTATTAGGCCTACCTATTCACATCTCCGGATTTTAAAATTTGCTTATACCTTTATGGCTACAAGGTACTTTATGGTATCAAATCAAACGTAAAGTTTACAACAATTCTAAATAATTTAAACATTACAACAAGTCTCACATCTGTCTAGTGGCCTTCTGGTGGAGAGTTTAAAATTAAATGAAATATTCAAAACTTTATCATCACAAAAACATTTCACAAATCCAGCGATACCTGGTAAAACAGGTGATATTGTCAGATCTCAAACACTACAAAATCTATATAATTAATACGCCAACACACAATTTGTCCTTTGAACTCTTCCGCCATTTCTAAACCGATTTTGACCATTCTTGTCTCATTGGAAAGGGCGTATTGCGTAGATTTGCAAACTGACCTTAAATTTTGAAAAATTTCCTTGGGCTCTGCCCCAGTGACTTTTTAAGTTCCCACATCCTTATAAAGTGCATATTATTGTTTACATTATGATCAGCTGGATAATTTAATTGCTGTTAATGTTTTATTTTGCAATTGAAGGAAACGCATTTATAAACGCGTATATTTAATATTTATTAAACGTTAGGCCTATTTAATATTTATTAATATTTAATATTTATTAAACGTTTGCTGATTTGGTTGAAATTTACTATTTGAATTTGGGTTTGCGTACATATTACTGTACTATGGAAAAAATCGAGAAAGCATTGACCATTTGATATATTTAACCAAATAAGACAAATGAATTGAAATATATACAATACGTGAAGGCATTTTTTGCAAACACAACTCCTCCCTTAGGTATTTGTGGACCAATTTCAACACTATTACAGCTGGTTCGTGCGCTGTGTGCTGGGTTTTCGGTCTGGCCGCTCGACGCTCCCCCTACCACTAACGTATAACTGTCTCTCTCTTACTCATTACGTCTTATGGCGTTTCCGTGTTTGCGCTCACAAAATACGCTAGCCTATATATCTCTGTTCATAGTGTCTCGATTGTCAATTTGTTTACACAGTTGTCATCTGCATGAAATTGCAGAGATTATGGTATATGTTTTATATCAAAATAACTTTTTTTAGATTATATTTTAGAGTGGCACTTGTGTTTTGAGTAGAAACGTAAGAGGTTCTTAAACATGTCTAAACTCATAGAAATCATAAGTTAACAAGAGAATTGTTTAGTGATAATAATTTAAAAGAGCATAGGCTAGTTTGAAATACCTTTAGCCAAGTTTTTAATTTTTTTATATTAATAAACAAATGTATTATTAGCTGGAAGTCCACTTGCCCCGGGCGTACACTTACCCCACTTGACCTTATACCAAATCTTGGCGGACCTTATGTTGTTATAGTAAACTTTTGTATTAGGTACTCGCTCTACTTCAATTGAGAAAAAACGCAAATTGATTGTTTACTTCTAGGTTTGTTGCCAATTCCTCGGACAAACTTATACAAAGTTTTTTGACTGAATTCATCAACACAGTCCAGACATTTCAAGTCAAAAATTAGAAGTTTCAAAAACTCATTTGCTATCAAAAGTTTTAGCTTTGGCAATATTAGACCAAAACATAAGTGAAGGAATTAGTGTTTACCTATGTATTCAACGATCGAGTTGCGGTCAAGTTTATTTTTATGATTCAGGAGAGGCAAATAATATAGGTACGCTGTTCAAAAATTGAAAATTAAAATTGCCATCCAAATTCCAATGGCCTATTTAAAAAACTGTAGTGGCGATGATATTAATATTAAAACGGTTTTGATTGTGGCAAGAGAGGGGATGTCTTTTAGAGACAGCGCCACAGCATAGGGAGTAAAACTTGAGTGAGTGAAAGCCAGGAGAGGAGAATTCCAGTTCCAGGCAGCACTGTCACTGACACCGCCGACCTTCATAAAGTGCCAGTGCGGAACTGCCAGCTCCAAAATTTAGGGTATTTCTGAACTTTTCTTCTAAACCTTCCTAAACCATTCCTACAATCGTAATAAACGTTAAAATAGCCTACCTTTAACTTAAAACAGTTTTTTAAGGCACGGAAACCACCGAAAATTGCAGAAATATATGGAACTACTTTCTTAAGGTGCGGAGCACATCGCACACCTAGTAACAAGAAATGAAGTGTTACGGCCTACGGATTTAGTTTGGTTGAATTGAAAAAACTGAAACGATGAATTATCTTATTTAGGCAGGTTGGGGTTTATGCGGGTTCGAGGCTGCATTAGGCCTAAGTGTTTTGAAGTTAGGTTAGATTAAGAAGGTAAAGTGTAGGGAGTGGTAACTTATTGTCGCAGTCATGTGCACGAGACAGTTCCAGTTACTTTGACTTACTTCTAATCATTTACTAAAAGCCCACGCAATCATCAAGGACATCTGAGTATTACCAATACAATTGCTTAGAGCATATTTCATAGTATAAAAAGAACTAGGTTAGGTAGGACAGAACCCTAAGACTTGCAAACATAAATATGTGTGATAATAACAGTTGGTAGGCTTAAATTCAAATTATGAGCCATGTAAGCCTATGTCTTAAGTATAAAGTTAAATTTCACAAACTGTCCTTACCCAACACGTTCATTGTATTTCTTGGTATATGTCAAGAGCAATGAATGCTTTAAAAAATATGACACACCAATCACATTTGCGCCTAGTAGAACTCCTTGGCTTATCAAACCAGGTCTTATTAAAAGCTTTTGGCTTCTTAAGATTGATAAAAATGTCCCAGCCATTTCTAAAGTTCCTATAAAATGCCTGTGAGATGGTAAATCACTAGGTACACAACTAGGCACTAGGCCTACCTAGGTAGTACCTAATGTGTTTAGCACCGGTACGGGCCTTTATTATTATTACTCCACTCACAATTTCACTTTTGTTTGAGTTTCAACTATTTTCTTCAGTTGCTTTCAATACGTTTCAGATACAATACCACTCTACAGTCTACCCAGGGGTCCTGCCTGGCCTGTCCAAAGTCCCCGTCCCGTCCCCCGATGCCCCCGATATCCCTAACCTGAACAACTAGAACACTAGAACTAGAACTAACACAAAACAAACACGACCGTGAAGGAAAAGGAAGACAGCTATCGCCAGTAAACGGCGGGTGGAGAAAGAAATCCGTGCCCCCACTACCAATCCTCTGTACAGTCTAATAAAACGAAAATAGACTCCGAAATGCTAAATTGGTTAAACACGTTAAAACCCTTATTTAAACAATATAACAAATGCTGTAACCATTTTCCAGGCTAAAGTACCTCCGAATGTACAAAACGTCATTAAACTTGGTTGTAAACATATTAGTATATACTTGTGTGCACAACATATAAAAAAATCAATAAAAAAATAAATATTTAGGTTAATTTGAGCCTGATTGAGTTTGCTGCGGCGGGGGTATTAATACTAAGGGCCGGTTGCTGAGCTCGGGATTTGGATTTAGCTAAGTTCTAGACTTAAACCGGCTTTAGACTCTGGAGTCTAAAAAATGGCTTGCTGAGTCAGGGCGTTAGCGAAGTCCAGAACTTAATAGACTCTGGAGTTTATTTCGCTGGTTAGACTCTGGAGTTTAAAATTTGACTTGCCGAGTCAAGGATTTATAAGTCCAGGTCTTAACTTCGATTCTCGTCTCTTGCTGAGTCAAAGATTTAGCAAAATTCGTTAAGTCCAGGACTTAAAACAGTACGATTTTAGATCCTCACCAAGGGCAGGATTTAAAACTAGATCCTAGACTTAACAGAGTATAAACGCCTCAGGTGTTGTTTTGAAGTCGGTTTTGCGCATCGTTATCATGGAATAATTTGGATTATGATATTTTAAAAGTACCAACGTTGTCCAAGACAAGACGTCTTGGTCGTGCACTTAACCCATTTCTCGTGTTATCTTATGAAGAGTTTCAGGATGATTTCATCTTTCAAAAGATATTACTATATTATATTAATATACGTTCACTGTCTCCAGGAGGCAGGAATAAGGGTTTATAATAAAGGAGCTCCACACAGCATTCTGAAAAGTTTTTTTTTGCTGACGTGACTTTTCACAGGGAAACTGAATATCTTCTCCATGTGTCAAAGTCTACTGCTTGTAGAGTTATCCATATTGTACCAATGGTAATATGTAGGAGATTAAGGGCATAATTTAAAATTCCTGAAGGGGAATAGGACGAAGCAGGCATGTTTCCTGGGGTGTAAAATATTTCATTTTCTGTTTTCTCTCTTTCTTTGAGAAACTATGTGAATAATATTGAGGGGATTAAAAGTAAATCCTAAACTTTATATACCCGTTGCTAGAATGGCCAAATATCGATTACAACATATATCGAAATGACTATATGTTGCTAAACACCATCTTACTTGTATACTTGAATTCATCATCTTTGACATAACTAGTCTGATAGATTACGTTATAATTAGTTAATAATAAAAAATAAAAACTATGTACATTATTTACAGTAATTTCAGAGTCAAACTTTTACTTGGCCGTTTTCTAATTGGCAAGGCGGACAGAACACTCATCTCACAAGGGGCTCATCGACTTCCCGAATCGATCTAATCAATGATGACAGGACGTCACGAACTGCTAACTGGGTCCACAGTGAAGTCGTAAATAATGTTTATGTTATAAATAATACCATATCATAGTTCAGTACATTGCAATTATTGTATCCTACCATAAACTATCGTATATCGTATAAGACCTGACTGGACTAAATCAAGCGGCAGTTGCCGTTCCCACAATGCAACATTCTGCTCAATTATAAGCTATGCCACAAAAGCAGAATTATGGGCTATGACTAAAAATGAGGATTATAAGCTTACCCTAATAGACAATAGACCACTATTGTACTGAACTATGGAATAATGGAATGGCATGGTATATATATAACAAAGTCGTTAGTTACATCACTAATAATTTAAGCACGGCTGGACCGATTTTAATGAATTTTGATTCGTAGGATTCGTTTTTGTCTCGATTAACATAGAGGCATATTCCGTTTTACATTTATTATCTCTGCCATACTAAAGAATCCCTTAAACTTTTAGACCGTCCTATCTTTAATACATAATTAGGTAATTAACACAAACTAAAACAATATCAACATGAATCATTGATTGTACACATTTATGTTCAATAACAAATCTTTGTAAACTTACAAAATAACCTTAATTGCAGGATGAATTCGAAGCAACCACAACTCAGTGTACAACGAGGCTGCCTGGTCAGGCCAAAGCCTGCTGACTGCTGAGCAAACTAGAGGGAAAGAAAAAAAAATTGTCCTGAGCTGCTGCTCTGCTGAGCTAGCTGAGTGCAAAGCAAAGCCAAGCAAGCAAGCAAATAAATGCATCATCTCCATTGAGTCAAGTTAAGTTAGCTAGCAGTAGCAGTTAGCGGCATGTCAAAATTATTATTTTGTGTAGGCCTATTTGTGTTGCAGTTGCAGTTCCATTTGCTGTTCAAATAGTGGTGACAGTGGCGTGAAGTGTTCTAACCAAAACTTTAAAAAGTGTTTATCTCAATAGGAATTTAATCATATACCTTAAATAATGGTTTCTATCCAGACGTTACTTGATAAATTCTGGGACCCAGACATTTGGTTACCACCAAACATTACATGGGCGGATCTACAATCAAGCGATCAAATTGAATACACACACCATAAAGATCTGTTATACCCAATACCAATGGCGTTACTTGTTTTTGTCATCAGATATTGCTTTGAAAAGTAAGTACCTATATTTGAAATTTTAAATGTGCTACCGATCCCCGGTAGGCCTAGGCTACTGGTATTTATTTATTTGATTTATACATGCCAACGGCTAAGCTAAGACTAAGGTATGTGGTAAACAACTAGGCTTGGCTTTGGTACCGGTACTAAAATCTCTGGGGCAGAGACGGATTTATACATAACTTATTTCACTCCTAGGCACTTTTCTCTTCAGACATCTGTCATAGTAATATGTCGTATTATAACAGGTTACGTACCTTGACGTCCACAATTCCTTAGTCGGTATCCGTTGACTATAGTTTCGACTACTACGTAGTCATTATCAAAAACGGAACGTTAAAATATTACATTTGTTGAATGTTGTCAAAACTTAAATATATTGAACACACAAACAAACATAACACGAACACGGTAGACATTTATTAACATAATTGGCCGGCCGGCACACGTCACTGAACTGGTCGACGACGATGACTGACTATTTACCCCACTCCATTCCGTTTATCAGCTGTGCCTCCAGGACTCGTGTTGCCAACATAATTGTTATCAAAGTGATCTAAGACTGTGTTGAATAGTTTGTTTGAACCGTAATTAAGTTTTTCATTGAGCATGTTGTATGGGTCGGATTTAGTGGCTTTGTATATTTCTAATTCTTCGAGGGTGTCTAGCATGAAGCCTTTCTTACAAACATGTAGAATTTCTGCATTATCATTAAAACTACTAACAGTATGGTTTGAATTTAATAAATGTTCAGCGAACTTGGATTTTTGTTCTGTTTGTTTTGGTTTAGGTAAATGTTCAGAAAAACGTTTCTTAAATGATCTGCCGGTCTGACCTATGTAATAGTTTGGACAGTCAGAACATTTAATTTTATAAGTACCAGTAGCTAATTCCTTAGGTTTACTGTTGTTCGGCAACCTTTTATTTAGTTTCGCCCCAAGTTTGTTAGAAGTTCTATAGGCCAGAGTTAAGCCGTGAGGGTTCAATTCTTTCTTTAGTGTGTATTGTAGGTGTAGGTAATACTACAACAGTTAATAAACGTTTTGTCTCTGTGGAATACAGCAATAGCCTACAAACTATTACATATGTGTGTTGCAAAAGCGACGCATAACACCACGGCGGGTGTGTTGTACGTCAATTACGTGACTCTTAACACTCGGAGGGATATACATTAACAGTTAACACATAACAACCTTAAGGTTATGTGAAGAAATATTTAGACGAACCAGAGAAAAATAATAGCCTAATAAATTGCTAGGCAGCGGTAACATAAAAGGGTCAATCCATTTCAAGTGGTCAAAGGGTGGTTTGCTTCAAGATTTTTAAATTTTTTGATATTTTTATAGGTACTTTTTAATTTTTTTTCTACTGTATGGCGGCCAATTTTTTTGTTAGTCAAATGCCCGTTTTCAGTGATTTCAGAGCTCTGCGTTAAATGAAATATTCTCTGGTTCTACTAATCCTAGAACATTAAAATAAAAACTAATCTCTTCAGAAAGATCTAAACTTTAATATGGTAATATAGTTATGCACTTATAGGTCTAATTACCTGTTTAAAGTTTAACGCAACGATGTTACGAAAACTGATTTTTAACAATTTATGTCTACATTAAGGCAATTGACTATGTGTTTGTTATTTTTTTATCTGATAGTTATAGGTGTGTACTCCAAATTCTCAAAGTTTCAGGTTGTGGACTTGCATAGGGTTTAAAAAAAATTCAAAATCTTAAAATTTTCTAAATTTCAAAAGTTTGATGCTTAATATCTCTGTTGGGCATGAAAATAAAAATTTCAAATTTGGCTCAGATATAGTATACTAAGTAAAAGTATTATCCTGTAATAATTTCATTTTGTGGACTCAACTGGTTTTAAAGTTATGAAACATTGAAAAGTACCCAAATAAGCATTACGTGTAATAGCGTAGGGAGCATCTATTATATTATTAAAGTGATACAATCAAATTTTATGTAAATGGTTAAGGCCATTTACCAAATAAAAATATAGGCATATGGCACATCAAAATGAAGCTTGGAGTGTGTAGATTTGCCGAAAAGTATTGATATGGATGAATTTCCTAAGGGCTCTGCCCCACAGGCTGATTTCCAAAGGGCTACGCCTGGCATGCTTCCAAAGATTAAATGATTTAATTCAATTTAGTTAATGAAACAGCTGGTCAGTACAATGAAGTGATGTTTGTTTATTTACTCGAAAAATTTGTTTGTGATGCTTTATGTAGTTTTAGGAGGGTTATGTTTGGTTT